AAAAAATGTATGGCGCACTTTTTGATTGGTCCAGCGGATGCTGAGCTACACTCAAAAAGATTTTGGAAAAATTTTCGAAAAATTAAATTTGCAAGATAACTGCTCGGGAATACCGCCAATAAAATAGGGAAAAAGTTTCGAACAAAAAATGTACGGCGCACTTTTTGATTGGTCCAGCAGATGCTGAGCTACGCTCAAATCAATTTCGGAAAAAATTTTGAAAAATTAAATTTTTGAGATAATCGCTCCGGAATATCCCTAAAGTAGTTAGAAGAAAGTTCTGAACAAAAAATGTATGGCGCACTTTTTGATTGGTTCAGCGGATGCTGAGCTACACTCAGATAAATTTTTTAAAAAATTTCGAAAACTTAAATTTTTGAGATAATTGATCGGGACTACCGCCAAAGTCTTAACCCGGGAGTCTCGAACAAAAAATGTATGGCGCACTTTTTGATTGGTCCAGCGGATGCTGAACTACACTCAAAAAGATTTTGGAAACATTTTCGAAAAATTAAATTTGCAAGATAACTGCTCCGGAATACCGCCAATAAAATAGGGAAAAAGTTTCGAACAAAAAATGTATGGCGCACTTTTTGATTGGTCCAAAGATGCTAAGCTACACTCAGATAAATATTTTAAAAAATTTCGAAAAATTAAATTTTTGAGATAATCGCTCCGGAATATCCCTAAAGTAGTTAGAAGAAAGTTCTGAACAAAAAATGTATGGAGCACTTTTTGATTGGTCCAGCGGATGCTGAACTACACTCAAAAAGATTTTGGAAACATTTTCGAAAAATTAAATTTGCGAGATAACTGCTCCGGAATACCGCCAATAAAATAGGGAAAATGTTTCGAACAAATAATGTATGCCGCACTTTTTGATTGGTCCAGCGGATGCTGAGCCACACTCAGATAAATTTTATAAGAAATTTCGAAAAAATAATTTTGCGAGATAATTGGTCGGGAATACCGCCAAAGTCTTAACCCGAGAGTCTCGAACAAAAAATGTATGGCGCACTTTTTGATTGGTCCAGCGGATGCTGAGCTACACTCAAAAAGATTTTGAAAAAATTTTCGAAAAATTAAATTTGCAAGATAACTGCTCGGGAATACCGCCAATAAAATAGGGAAAAAGTTTCGAACAAAAAATGTACGGCGCACTTTTTGATTGGTCCAGCAGATGCTGAGCTACGCTCAAATCAATTTCGGAAAAAATTTTGAAAAATTAAATTTTTGAGATAATCGCTCCGGAATATCCCTAAAGTAGTTAGAAGAAAGTTCTGAACAAAAAATGTATGGCGCACTTTTTGATTGGTTCAGCGGATGCTGAGCTACACTCAGATAAATTTTTTAAAAAATTTCGAAAACTTAAATTTTTGAGATAATTGATCGGGACTACCGCCAAAGTCTTAACCCGGGAGTCTCGAACAAAAAATGTATGGCGCACTTTTTGATTGGTCCAGCGGATGCTGAACTACACTCAGATAAATTTTTTAAAAAATTTCGAAAAATTAAATTTGCGAGATAATTGATCAAAAATACCGCCAAAGTCTTAACCCGGGAGTCTCGAACAAAAAATGTATGGCGCACTTTTTGATTGGTCCAGCGGATGCTGAGCTACACTCAGATAAATTTTTTAAAAAATTTCGAAAAATAATTTTGCGAGATAATTGGTCGGGAATACCGCCAAAGTCTTAACCCGGGAGTCTCGAACAAAAAATGTATGGCGCACTTTTTGATTGGTCCAGCGGATGCTGAGCTACACTCAGATAAATTTTTTAAAAAATTACGAAAAATTAAATTTGCCAGATAATTGATCGGGAATACCGCCAAAGACTTAACCCGGGAGTCTCGAACAAAAAATGTATGGCGCACTTTTTGATTGGTCCAAAGATGCTGAGCTACACTCAGATAAACTTTTTAAAAAATTTCGAAAAATTAAATTTTTGAGATAATCGCTCCGGAATATCCCTAAAGTAGTTAGATGAAAGTTCTGAACAAAAAATGTATGGCGCACTTTTTGATTGGTCCAGCGGATGCTGAGCTACAGTAAAAAACAAATTTAGAAAAAATTACAAAAAATTATATTTGCGAGATTATCGGTCGGGAATACTGCCATTAAAATAGGGAAAAAGTTTTGAACAATAAATGTATGGGGCACTTTATGATTGGTCCAGAGGATGCTGAGCTACACTCAAATAAATTTCTGAAAAAATTTTGAAAAAATAAATTTTCGAGATAATCGCTCCGGAATATCCCCAAAGTAGTTAGAAGAATGTTCTGAATAAAAAATGTATGGGGCACTTTTTGATTGGTCCAGCGGATGCTGAGCCACACTCAGATAAATTTTATAAGAAATTTCGAAAAAATAATTTTGCGAGATAATTGGTCGGGAATACCGCCAAAGTCTTAACCCGAGAGTCTCGAACAAAAAATGTATGGCGCACTTTTTGATTGGTCCAGCGGATGCTGAACTACACTCAAAAAGATTTTGGAAACATTTTCGAAAAATTAAATTTGCGAGATAACTGCTCCGGAATACCGCCAATAAAATAGGGAAAAAGTTTCGAACAAATAATGTATGCCGCACTTTTTGATTGGTCCAGCGGATGCTGAGCTACACTCAGATAAATTGTTTAAAAAATTTCGAAAAATTAAATTTGCGAGATAATTGATCAAAAATACCGCCAAAGTCTTAACCCGGGAGTCTCGAACAAAAAATGTATGGCGCACTTTTTGATTGGTCCAGCGGATGCTGAGCTACACTCAGATAAATTTTTTAAAAAATTTCGAAAAATAATTTTGCGAGATAATTGGTCGGGAATACCGCCAAAGTCTTAACCCGGGAGTCTCGAACAAAAAATGTATGGCGCACTTTTTGATTGGTCCAGCGGATGCTGAGCTACACTCAGATAAATTTTTTAAAAAATTACGAAAAATTAAATTTGCCAGATAATTGATCGGGAATACCGCCAAAGACTTAACCCGGGAGTCTCGAACAAAAAATGTATGGCGCACTTTTTGATTGGTCCAAAGATGCTGAGCTACACTCAGATAAACTTTTTAAAAAATTTCGAAAAATTAAATTTTTGAGATAATCGCTCCGGAATATCCCTAAAGTAGTTAGATGAAAGTTCTGAACAAAAAATGTATGGCGCACTTTTTGATTGGTCCAGCGGATGCTGAGCTACAGTAAAAAACAAATTTAGAAAAAATTACAAAAAATTATATTTGCGAGATTATCGGTCGGGAATACTGCCATTAAAATAGGGAAAAAGTTTTGAACAATAAATGTATGGGGCACTTTATGATTGGTCCAGAGGATGCTGAGCTACACTCAAATAAATTTCTGAAAAAATTTTGAAAAAATAAATTTTCGAGATAATCGCTCCGGAATATCCCCAAAGTAGTTAGAAGAATGTTCTGAATAAAAAATGTATGGGGCACTTTTTGATTGGTCCAGCGGATGCTGAGCCACACTCAGATAAATTTTATAAGAAATTTCGAAAAATTAAATTTGCCAGATAATTGATCGGGAACACCGCCAAACTCTTAACCCGGGAGTCTCGAACAAAAAATGTATGGCGCACTTTTTGATTGGTCCAGCGGATGCTGAGCTAAACTAGAAAACAAATTCGGAAAAATTTTCGAAAGATTAAATTCGCGAGATAATCGTTCGGGAATACCGACAAAAAAAATTTTTGGAAAAAAGACGATAAAAATTTTTTTTTGAGGTATTTTTAAAAATCCTTTGGTCAGATTTGAGATATTAATATGATAAATGAGCCTACGAAATTTTATCTAAATCTATTAAAACCTGTTAAAGGTATCTTCTAAACAAAAAAGGGATCCACACACACACACACACACACACACATACATACATCCGGACAATTCATCAGGATCTCATATAACATGTTTCTATAAAGAAAAAAATTTGTTTCCGCCACTTTGAAAAGTTTTATAAACGAAAGGACTACAAAGCTTCCTCCACGAGGAAGCAAATTTTGTATTTTACTTAATTCAAGAAAAGATTGAAAGTAGGCTTTATAAATATGGTTTTCTGTAAAGAATCTTTGTCAGCGACAAAGCTTTGCCTTGTCACGGGTTTTCCGGTGGTTTTTCTACCAGGTTTTCACCTCAGAACGAGGGAAAAAATTTGTGTTTTACATAATTCAAGAAAAGATTGAAAGTAGGCTTTTTAAATTTGGTTTTCTGTAAAGAATCTTTGTCAGCGACAAAAGTTTGTCTTGTCACGGGTTCTCCGGTGATTTAGAGGAAGGATGGGTCTTCCTCTACTCGTATCTAGCTGCCAATTTTTTTCTACACTTTTAGGTGATTTTTGTGCAAGAAATTGGAATAAAATAGTCTGCCTAAGAAAAATTGAATTTTTTTGTCAATTTTTTATGACGTGGGGTGCTTTAATGTTGGTAATAGGGGTCTGCCCCTACTTGAATCGGTCTGTCAATTTTTGCTACACTTTTAGGTGTAATTTATGCATGAATTTGCACTAAAACTGTCTGTCTGAGAAAAATTTAATTTTTTTTTTGAATTTTTTGTATGATAGGTTAAGCGAGTGTAATTTGTATTTGACCAATTTTTTTTCATTTAACTTAATATGATATTTTTTTATAAATTTATGGTTTATATAAAATATAGTTATTAAATATATAAAATTCGTTAAATTAAGATAAATTTGATTATTTATAATGAATATTTTTAAAAGATTAATTTTTTAAATTGACCACAAAATTGTAGGTGAATCTTTTGCTAAAAAACTTGTATAGAACGTTTTCAATTGAAATCACCTGACCTTAATGAATTTTTTGAATTAATTTTTTTTTCCAGGTGTTTTATATTTTTTCTTTGAACTTTTCATACCAAATAAAATTCCCTGAATTTTCCAGGTTTTCAGAAAGCGTAGTAAATCTGATTGAATATAATTTATTGAATTAGAATTTGAAGAAAAATAGGTGACGAAAAACAAAAATTACAGAATATTCAATTTTTTAAGGTTTTAATTTTTTATAAATTAATAATCTTTTTTTTATAATTTTTGGATATAAAATTATTAGATACAATATTTCTTTCATTTTATATTGAAACGATTAAAAAATAGATTTATGCTAATTTGTTTAAGTTGTAATTAAATTATTCGAAATAAAGATTGAAAATTCTTAAAAATAATATATACAAACTTAATATAATTTAAATGCTGACTTAAAATTTGATATTTATAGATTTCTTTTTTTCAATAAATTTGAAAATTTAATTTTTATTTTCTTTCTCAAGTTCTTTGAATTTATTTTCTAATCTTTTTGAATAATTGGCTAATTTGTAAGCAGCTTGTTCCAATTTATTCACACTATCGTCTATTTGATTAATATTGTCTAAAACGGGTTGTAAATTTTTATATTTTTCATTAAGTGAATTTAATGATTGAGATACATTTGTAGCAATTGTTTTTAATTCAGAATATTTTGATATTGTTTCTTGATTAAGTCTTTCTAATAAACGATAATCGGCATGAGTTGCCGTTAATTCTTCTTGTAAATATTCACTTGTTTTTTGAAACATATTATTAGCAAGACGACTTAAATTTGGATCATGAGGATCTAAAGCTTCAAAACTGCTTGTACTTGTTGATAGTGTTGTTCCACGTTTTGGCGATTCACATTTTGAATTTCCATCGTCTTGATAATCTGACTGTTGATCTAATTTTTGTTCTTTGATTTCAGATGTCATTTTCTATTTTTCTTTAAATATAAATTTCGTGTTTTACTGTAAAAATAATTTAACAAAATTTATAATTTTAAATAATTTCTTATTTTTAATGAAAATTTTTAAATTATATAAATGTAAAAATTTACATTTTTCAAACAGGTAAAGTAAATTTATTAATTTTTTTTTTTATTTAATAACTAAACAAAATGCTAAAATAAATAATAGAAAACTTATAAAAGTTATAAGTTAAAATAAAAAAATTGTTGAAATCTACAACAGGTATAAAATCGTAAATATGCTTAAAAATGTTATCGTGTCCCATGTCTTTATTTACATTTTGAGATTTAAAAAAAGTTTAATTCAATTTTTCATTATCTAAATTAAAATTTCTCTTCGTGTACGTGTTCTTTAATGTTTAAAATGTAATGTAAGAAAGTGGTAAGTATTTTTATAACACTAAATGCAAAATATAAAGAATTTTCCACTTGTCCCCAAATTTGAATTTTTTTTAATGTTAAACTATGAAATAAATGAAGTACGATGTCAATTTGATAATATGTGATTTTGTGTTTTATGATTTTTGACATATTTTAGAACGAAACTCACGAAAAAAAATTTTTTTTTCAACATTTCAAAGATTTTATTTTAATTAAAAAAGTTAGACTCATATTGACGATTTTTTGATTTTTACCTTTATACGTTTTTGAAAAAAATTTATGTTTAAAAAATGTAAATTTATTTTAATAAAATAATAGTTACCAATATGAAGAATCTGTCGAAATAATGCCGTTAATTTATGTAATTTTCAAATTAATCATTTTGCTTTTTTTTTTGCCAATGAAAGCAAAATATATATGATTGATTTTGTTTAATGGGAAAAATATAAGAAAATTTCTTCCGATTATAAAATTTGTCGACATTCATTGACAAACCTAATCCTTCGTGACTTTGTCAGAGATAGGTAGGTAGATCACATAAATTTTTAGTTACCTACTTTACGTCTTTAGTTTTTGTCCAATACTTATTTTACTCGAAACTCGCATACATAGAACGACTGTCAGAAAGCATGATCAAAAGTTTCTTGTAAAAGACGAGGGCGTATTGATCGAGTAGTGTACACTTGTGGCCAGATTATGCCTGCCAGATTATCTCCTTTTCTAACTCACATGTTGTCATGGCAACACGTGTGATAGAAAAGGACAAAAAAATTTAGGCATATCTGGCCACGAGTGTTTGATTTAATTGTTGTAAACACATGTTTCTAACCTCTAAATCGTTGTCATTAATTAGTTCCTATGGAAAAGAAGTTACCACGTGTCCCGCACGCAGTAAAAAAAACTGTCAACAAGTTGTAAATTTACAGGCCGTAAAATTAGAAGGCTAGATAACCTAAAATTTGTTTTTTATTTTATAAATTAACTTATATAATTTTCTGTATATGTGACGCTCCACGAGAGAAGGGACCTAACGTGCTTTAGACTTAAGGTTCGCTTTTACCGTGCAATGACACAGTGAATGAAGCTTAAGTCAAAAGCTCGTTAGGTCCCTTCTCTCGTGGAGCGTCACATATATCACTTAATTATTATAGCATAATTGAGTATTTTATTATAATATAACATTAAATTATAGGTTACATAAGAAAAGTACACTTATTTATAACTGAAAAAGACAGAATAAGTGAAAAATTTATAAAATAAACAACTTTTAGGTTATGTAGCATTTTAATTTTCCGGTTTGTAAATTTACAACTTGCTGATAGGTTTTTTTACTGCACATATGGAACGCGTGGTAACTTTTTTCTAACGTATTTTCCTTTCTATAAAATAAACAATAAATAAAAATATATAATAATATAAAAATAAAATAATTAAAATATTTCAATTATTTTACAACGGTGAATAAGAATAAACATTAAACAATGATTGATATTAGGCTAAAATTTCGATCAGATGAACATTATTTCTGGACTGTGAAAATGCGTGAAAAGTCATTTTCACGGCGGGTATTTTTGAATTGTTTTAAACAAAAAATGTTTTTTTAAGAAATAAAATATTAAATAATTGTTTTAATATGTAAGAACACTTTAAAATAGTGATAGAAAGATGATTTGATTGCAAAAATTTAGCAAATTTTGCTTTAAAACGTTTTCTGCTACAAGAAAGTGTAAAATGACGATGTTTGTGAAATGGTTTGTACAGTGCTTCTTCCTTGTGAGTGTCTCTCAGAGTTTTGTTTATGTTATGTCGGTTCTTTTTAACTTGTAATAATTAATGAGTGCTGAAAATAAATCAATAAGTTGAAATGTTTATCAAATAAATTTAAATTCAACTAATTGTTTCGAATAACTGAAAGAAACTTAATATACAGAAAGTATTTTTGAGAGATGCGTGGAAAATTGATTTATAACCTCAAATTCATACACATACTTTTTGTGTTTTTAAATATCAAGTTTTATAATTACTTATGATTTTCATAAGTAATTATAATTAATTTTCAAATCAAGTTGTTGGATTTAAAATTACTTAATAAACATTTCAACTTACCGATTTATTTTCAGTACTCATTATTTATTACAAGTTAAAAAGAACCAACATAACAGTCATAAACAAAACTCTGAGAGACACTCACAAGGAAGAAGCACTGTACAAACCATTTCACAAACATCGTCATTTTACACTTTCTTGTAGCAGAAAACGTTTTAAAGCAAAATTTGCTAAATTTTTGCAATCAAATCATCTTTCTATCACTATTTTAAAGTGTTCTTACATATTAAAACAATTATTTAATATTATATTTCTTAAAAAAACATTTTTTGTTTAAAACAATTCAAAAATACCCGCCGTGAAAATGACTTTTCACGTATTTTCACAATCCACAAATAATGTTGATCTGATCGAAATTTGAGGTATAAAAGCACCTTAAAGGGATTATGTGTTCTGTCTATCCACGTGTTTATTCACTATTTATTAAGGCGCATTCAGACCTCTCGGCTGCCTGCCTGCTGCAGTTGTCATGGTAACATAATGGGAGTGAGTGAAACAGACGAAAAATTTAAATTTTCTGCTTCACTCACTCTTATCATGTTACCATGGTAATGTAACGAGCGACTATATTCTCGCTCGAATAACTTTTCGATATCTCGAATTAACGATACTTACGCGCTAAATAATAAATATTCAAAATATTAAATAATTAATATTTTGTATTCTAGAATTTATTCTCACATAAATTTAGCAATTGAGGAAACTATAAAAAGTTAACTTAATTGTAAAATAATATCTTCACGCTTTAAGTATTTTCAAGTCTTATTCTCAAATCAAAGAATATAAACAGTTCTAAGAAAAGTCATAAATTAAGTAAAATAGCAAAAGGAAATATGATTCTAACTTTCCTTTAATCCCAACCATGAAATAAAAACCCTTAAAGATCATAAAAAATCCACTTGAAAAAGTTGTGGTCCTTTCTCTACAGGACACCAAACACATGTTGACCAGACACACATGTAGACTCGCTAAATCGAGAAAAGTCACGTATTGATCAAACAAAGGATAAAATATTTGTAAAGAAATATTTTATATCAACTAGATTTTTACATTAAAAATATAAATTAAAAATCATCATCTTCTCTATAAAACATTATTAAATATATAATCGTGGTGTGTGTGTGTGTGTTATTTACACAATAACAAGATAATAATTAATTATTACATTAATACGTATGAGTATGTTATATTGTTAATTATAATATTTATAATATAATAAATATTATGTATAAGATATACCTTGAAATATATAATTAGTAAAGTGTATAGTAAATAAGATACTTCTTCTTCTTCTTCTTCTTAAATGACTTGAGGCTTGGCCAACTGTCAGAACAACAAATAAATAGAAGAAGTCAAAGATCAGAGAACATATAAGACCAAGGTCCATTCATGTACAGGCTGCTCGGGGAGAGGCAAAGCATCAAAGTCCCGACTCTTGAGTGAATTGCAGACGGGCCAGGTACCACCAGTCGGGAGAGGCGACACCGGAACCGGCCGCAACACACTCGACTTTTGGCGCAAAATTTAACGCGAAGATCAAAACGCAAAAAGAAAAAAAAAAAATAAACAAACAAACAAACAAAAAGATAAAAAACAAAAGAGCAAAAAGAGAGACAAAAACAAAATAAAACAAAACAAAGCAGCCAAATACTTATCAGGCAAGTAAAAATGCCAAAAGACCAGAATCAAGAGTCAGATGAATTGATGGTCATGACAAAAGAATCCACCAATCTCTCTGACAATTTCCTCATTAGGGGCAAAAATCAAATCATCGAGGGAAACCGCTTCCGGATCCTCATTGGGAAACTTTCTCCTGAGGAAATCAAAGAATCTATCCCTGACCGGTGCCAGGGAAGGACACTCGTTCAACACATGGTTATAAGTTCTCCGATCAACCCCGCAAGCACACTGCATCCTGGTATTCCAATGGATGCGTTCAAAGTGATCCGCGGTAAAAGTATGTCCAGATCTGAGTCTGGTGACTACATTGATCCAAGCCCTGGGAAGGGAAAGACCCTCAAACCAAGGTCTACTAGTCTTGAGCGATATTCTTTCAAAGTATCGATGTCCGGTTAAGTCACGATCCGAGAAGGGCCACAAATGAGCCAACCTCGCACGGTGATCAGGGACAAAGACACTTCTTCTGAAATCGCTCAAAGATGTTCCAAAATAGACTCTATTAGCAAATGTGTTAGAGGCTTTACATATGGCATCCGCTTTTTCATTGCCAACAATTCCCACATGAGACGGAACCCAGAGAAAACTGAAAGGAGATGGAAGGTCAGAAGGGAGGTGATGGATCAAGTCCAAGATCTTATAGATAATTTCCGGGTTGTCTTTACGGAGGAGGCAATTGTTGAGACGAGTAATCACCTCCAGAGAGTCCGTAACTATAAGAGTTCTTGGGAGATTCAGAGCCCTGGCATGTAGAATAGCCTTGTAAATGGCGAAGGCCTCCGCAACCAAGATGGACGAGAATGGCTGGAGAGGGATCCCATACGAGAACTCAGTTGTTTCATCATAAAAAGCAGCCGAAGCCAATCCAGAATCTGAAAAAAGGGAAGCGTCAGTGTATATTAGGGCAAAATTCGGGTAGTTCCTGGCAATCAAGTCTCTGAAGCAGGTCTCAGGCGAAGCATGATATTGCATTTCGTATCCCGAATTAATGTCCGAGGATGGTGCTGTGGAAAGAATTTCCCACCTCCAATCGAAATAGGCAGGCAGCGCTGTCCTATAAGAGAGTTCGACAATAGGATAAGTGCGAGCGTATGCATTTAGTAGAGAGATTCTTTCAAGATTCAGTTTAGTCCCGCCAGCCTGCACCTTACGAAGCAGCTGGTCCAGTCCGAGTATGACAGGGTTCTCTTTCCATCTGAGATTTCGAAGAATAAACGAGTTAGAAAGATGGATTCTGCGAAAGGACAAGGGGGGCTCACCAGCTTCAGACAGGAGTACCGAGATGGGGGTTGACTTAAGGCAACCCAAAGACGTTCTCAGAGCTGCCGATTGGACTCTGTCGAGGATTTTAAGGGTGGTTTTGGCCGAATCAGCGAAAAGAGGGGCACCCCAATCAAGAATAGCGCGAATAAGATTGCGGTATACTAGCAAAGCCAAGTCAGGGGAGGATCCCCAAGTGGCTCTAGAGATTATTCTTAAGATGTTTGTTGCCCTGGTTGCTTTATCCGCAATCATCTTAATATGAGGAAGCCACGAAAGCTTCCTGTCCAAAAGAACACCCAGATGTTTCATTGAAGCGTCGCAAGAGATGATCGAGTTCCCAATCAAAACATGTATGTCGTCGAAGGACCTCCTAGATCTGGAAAAAATGCAGCATGTGGTCTTGGCCGGGGCAATATCTAGACCAAGACCTCTCAACCAAATGGACAAGCGGCTCAGAACAAGCGAAACGTCTTCCGATATAGAGGCGGAATCACTAAATGTGACATACAAAAGAAGATCGTCAGCATACATTACAAACTTCATCCAACTAGGAAGGATGAGTTCAATCTCTCGGAGGTAGAGATTGAAGAGAATAGGTGATAAGACCCCCCCCTGTGGAACGCCAACGCCGCAAGTCCTAAGATTAGATCCATCCGCGTCAAAAGAAATAAATCTCTTAGAGGTAATAAAAGTAATGAAGTTTATAATATTGGGATGGAAGCCGAGTCTTACAAGTGATTTGTTGAGAATGTCTGGCCGGACATTATTGAAGGCACCCTTTATGTCAATCGAAATGGCGAGAGTATGACGAGAAGCCGCGAAGCCTTTCAGAACATCGGTGGAAAAAGCAGCCACGCAGTCCATCGCTGATCTCTGCTTTCGAAAGCCATACTGGTGAGTAGGAAGAAGTCTCCCAGACTCCACCACATGTTCCATTCTGCCCTGCACAAGTTTCTCAAATAATTTGGAAAAGACTGAAGTGAGGGCGATAGGTCGGAAACCCTTACCACCAGGTTTGGGAATTGGTATGACTCTTGAATTCAACCATGAGTCCGGGAAGGAAGATAGCTGGAACATACGATTGAACAGGACGAGCAAAAATTCAAGGGCTATCGGCCCAAGTCCGCGTATCATGTCCCCAGAAATACCGTCCAATCCTGGCGAAGCCTTAGGCTTGCAGGAGGTAAGGGCCTTTTTAAATTCGTTGGAAGTAAATGGAGGAATCCTGTTAGGGCTGGATACAGGTGGAATGTCCAGATTTGGGATAAACACCGGAGGAATATCCTCCCTAATCAACTCATCCCTGAATTTCGTTAACAGAGGAGATGTAGGATCAGAAGATAAATTGGTATTGACTCTGGCCGAGCGGGAAGACAACGCCCGGAGTGTACGCCAGAGACTCGACACACCTCCCGCCGGCGACATACCTTCGCAGAAGTTTCTAAAGGCCAGATGCTTCTGCTCCCTCAATATTCTCTTGATCTCGTTGTCCCGCCTTTTAAACTCAGATCGATTTTCCACCGTTTGATTGGATTGATACCATCTATAATTCTCCCTTCGTCTTGCCAGAGCCGCATCGCACTGCTCATTCCACCAGAGAGGACGAGAAGCTGGTTTATATGAGCGTGGCTGGGGGAGATATGCTCCGCACTCCAGTAAAGACGACTTGAGGTTGTCCACAAAGGAGTTGTAAACGTGGACTGGAGAATGCTCTTGGGCTAGTAAGGAAGTCAAGTCAAGAGAGAACTGTTCCATTTTATTCTTGAAATCCAGCCAATCTAGATCCTTGAGGCAATATCGAAGAGACGAGGAGGACACCCTTGCCGGAACAATGTCGGCACGAAACACAACCGGCAGATGATCCGAAGATGATGAGTCCTCCAAGACGGAAATAGAAGAGTTCTGAAGAACCGATGGCGAACAGAAAATAAGGTCCAGATTGGAGCCCATAACATTAGCATCACGGAATCTTGTAGGGGAAGAAGTGTTAGTGATGAGCAAGTCTCTGTCCAACACAAAAGTCAGAAGAGAATCCCCTCTGATATTCGAGGCTTGATCACCCCAGCATGTATGATGTGCATTGAAGTCACCACAGAAAATGTGGTTGACATTCATGGGTAGCATTTCAAATATCTCAGACCATGATTCCGGAGAGATGTCACCACCAGGGGGGGCATAAAGACACGTAATCTGGGTGGTGCCAAACATAGTGCGGAGGGAGATAGAAGCAACATCGATTTGAAGATTTCTAGTGTGAAAAGTGAAAACATTTGTAAGACGGAAAGCTATCTCCCTTCGAATCAAGATCAGAACTCCACCACCCCTACCAGTCAGACGATCCTGTCTAATTGAGATAAATCCCGGAATTTCAAAGTTCGAAGAGGATGTGAGCCATGATTCCGTGATGCACACAACATCAGGGTCATGGGTCCATAAAAGAGCCTCCAACTCTGGTCTCTTCGATTGAATACTTCTGGCGTTCCAGAGAATTAGTGAAAAAATTTTATGTATTGGTCTGTGTTCTTGCATAACGAATATTTTAAAAGCCGAACAGAGCAAAAGCAAGACAAGACACTAAAATTAGTTTAAAATCAAAATATAGGTAGGTCGATAAATAAAATAAAATATATCACATGTAGGCTGTCAAGAAAAAATAGAAATAAAATAGAAAATAAAATAAAAATAATAAAATAAAATAAATAAATAAACAAAATAAATAAAATAAATAAAATACATAAAATAAATAAAATAAATAAAATAAATAAAATAAATAAATAAATAAAAATAATGAAAATAAAATAAATAAAGTAAATAAATAAATAAATAAGTAAAAAGTAAAAAATAAATAAATAAACTAAAAATAATAAAAATAAAATAAATAAATAAACAAAATAAATAAAATAAATAAAATAAATAAATTAAATAAAATAAATAAAATAAATAAAATAAATAAAATAAATAAAATAAAATAAATAAAATAAATAAAATAAATAAAATAAATAAATAAATAAATAAAATAATAGAAATAAAATAAATAAAATAAATAAATAAGTAAAAATAAATAAATAAACAAAATAAATAAAAATTATAAAGAGTATAAAAAATAAAATAAAAATGAAATAAAAATAAATAAGATCAAATAAATAAATAAAAACAATAAAAATATAAAAACAAAGATAAATAAAAATAAATGAAATAAAAATAAATAAATATTAAATAAATAAATAAACAGAAACAAAACAAAAAAACAAAAGGTTTTATGGGACACAGTTCCAAAATTAAATGTAGTATAAATTAGATAGGTCTGCTTTCGGCATTCTCCGCCGTCTTATCCTCAGTAGCTGGCTGATTATGAGCAGCCGAAGTCATCGGCTCCTCCCAGACTACCTGGTAACCAGGTCGAGAGAAACCATGATTCAGCAGCCAGGATTCAGCCTCCTCGTAACCCACATTGAATTCCAATCTGTGTCTCATCACAGCAAGCTCATACTTAAAGTAAGGGCATTCCCTTGAAGCTGCAGTGTGATTGCCCATGCAGTTTGAGCACTGGGAGGATCTATTATGATTGGGACAATTGTTTTTAGTGTGATGCTCTGAGCAAAATTCGCAGGTGGGGTGGGTTGCTCTGCACTGAGTTGCGAAGTGTCTGAAGCGTTGGCATTTGAAACAACGCTTAGGTGGAGTTACACTAAGCGTAAGCTTGAATATGACTCTGGCGATGAGGATAGAGTCCGGAATTGTAACACCAGAAAATAAAAATTCTACTATACCAGAAACCTCGTTGAGGTCCTTTATTTTCCTACGAATAGAAATAATTTTATCTCGTACCTCCCCCTCCAGCTTTCCACTTATAGCAAGAGGAGACAGACCGAGATCAACATCGTGAGCCAGCGCCTTACGACTGACCAATGATGTGGGGATAAAGGACCTATAACCGCTACTACTCAAGTGGGTGGAGTTCAGAAGAGAATTAGCAAGGGACCAGCTTGAGGAAGTAATGCGCAGCTGGTTAAGACCGTTGGAGACGATGGTGCGAAGAGGATCACTGACGATCGACTCCAAATAATCCGCGAACGCAATGCGGTTATATTTACCGATTTTTTTATTTTGAGTGGATTCAACGAGAATGGTAAAAGGGGTAGGAGACTCCTCGGAAAACCTAGGGTCATCTTTGAAGTCCTCATTCATCCAAATAAGATCGTAAGAGACAGAACTAGAGTTCTTAGGTGAGTTGGTGTTGGGAGACTCATCAATGAGAGACTCAGGCCCAGAAGCAATTGTATCTGTTGAATCAGATTGAGAAGAGGACAGATGTGAAATGGCTAGATCTGACGACGTTTCAGTAGGATGATCAAAAAGAATAGAATTCGATTGAACAATTGGATCTGTGAGGGGATTGGAAGCAAGGGGTGACCTTGCCTCAACTCCATCAACCGGAGTAAAATCACAGGTCTCCATCGGGATGTTGGAAATGGGGGGATGTTGAGAATGTAATGAGGATGTCAGAGAATGAAGAGGATCCCCACCTAACCCGATATTGACCCTAGAACGCTTTTCGATGTTAAAAACAGACCCCGGTTTGAGGTTAGAAATATCCCGCGATCTCTTATTTATGTTCATGGCTCTTCCGGTAGAACGAGCCTTTATCATACCATGTGGACGGTGAGTGCTTGGAGACGAACGCAAAGGTGACTTGCGTGGGTGGATTGGAGACATGAGCACACCTAAAAATAGAAAGAAACGCCGGCAAGTATAAACTCCGGAAACGATCTCGGCCTCAAATGCCAAGCAGGCTCAAAAAATTAATTTAATTAAATTTAAATATAAAAGACTTAAACATACATGTGAATTCAGTAAACAAAAAATAAAATAAAAACTTTCTTCCTCTATGGGTAAGTGAAAGGTATCAATTTAATTGTAGAAGGAAGTGTTTTAAATAATAAAAATAAAAAGTAGTATAGTGTAGACAAGTTTAGTGTCGTAAGGTATGTAAGAAAAATTCACTAATTGTGTTTACAGACCTCAAGTATTTGGTTTGTTTATTTATAAAAGAAAAGAGAAAATTATTATTTAGAGATATATATACTGTTTGTCAATTTGCTCTTAATAAATATAATCAAAGTTATGAGAATACAAAATTAATTTAGTTTAAAAGTTTGAATTTTAAGATTATTGACAGGTGTTAAATTTATTTTATTTACAAACATCCAAAAATCGAGCGTAAATACAACCCACAGGGAAGAAGGGTATTGTGTGTAGTTAGGTAAACAAGGTAAAGTATAAAATGAAGGACGGCAGTACCTGGAGATCCAGACAAACTTGATATATAAATGTGACCTTATATTTAAAATTTTCCAAATTTCCAAATTTTGCGAAAAGGTGTAGGTTGAAATTCAATTAACTACTGGTAAACAACCATAAATTCCATAAGGCACATGTATCCAAGTCACGTTCTATATTGCCATTTATTCCTGTTCCGTGAAATTGAGATTTGTGATTTGGAATGACTGCTGGTTTAATTTCCTTAATATGACGAAAAGTATAAATTCCAGAGATGTGTTGAGTCAAGACCAATATAAAGCTTTAGTAATTATCAAAATTTATTATCAGTCCAAAGTATATATAATCCAATCAATTGAACTCCTAATTATATGTTAAACTTCTCAGCGTGAGGTGTAACCTCACAAAAAACTGCTTGAGTACTGTATGCGAGAACGGTCAAAACACGACTCCACCGTAAATAAGATACGTAGTGTTGTGCAGTGCAGTGTTGCTGGAAACAGCATAGAATAAGAAAATATAAAGAGCATGCGCAAAGAAGCCACATGGACTCACAGCTGAGCGCTTCTCCACTACTTGTACTTTATGTTTTACGTCAGATCTTATCTTGCCTTCGACTTGTCGAGTTCGCTCCAAGTCAACTTTGTATTTGTCTCTTTCTATATTTAATAAAAGCTTGGGTTTTAATCTAGAAGTCGGAACAATTAATAATTGGTTAATTCGTTATCTAATTATTATTGTTCGTCTTCAAGAGGATTTTCCCTCCGTTTTAACGGAAATTAATTGTGTAATTATTTTAACTTTCCCGGTTCATTTTAATGATTAACACTAAGGCTGAATCCACAAAATAACCAAGTGAAATTGCGCTTGCGCAATTAAATATACAACTTGGCTCGTAACATAAATTGGGGGCTCGTCCGTTCCTTAGTGCGGGATTTTTAAAAAACTTTTGAACTTTTGAAAAATTATACATTGTTGTTCTTGATTGCTGTTCATGTTCCTGATTGCTGTTGATGTTCCCGATTGCTGTTCTTACAGTTTTGTGTTGTGTTGTGTCGGGAGTGCATCCTTTAATAGGATAAATTATGGCCAATTTCGAAATTAAGTGCATAAAATTTGGTTGTGTTTAAGTGAAATAAAACAACGTAAAGGTTTGATTATTCTATAAGACTATGAACATTTTATGAACTCTTAAAATATAAGAATAATTTAATCTTTATTCTATATAAAAAATTTTTTTTTTTATATAATTATACCGAATATAAGTATACATTATATAAGTAAAACAGTGAGAAGATTGTTAAACGTTAGATGCTATTTGTTTATGCAAAGTTGTCCAGATTTTATTAGAAAAATTTTAATACTGTTGGTTTAAATTTCAGGTTATATTACTAATAATTTAAATTTACCAATAAATTATTACAACATGGACAATTTGCATGAACAAGGCGTTGAATATAGAGATGATGATGATGATATTATTATAGATAATTCTGATGAAAATTTACAATTTAAAGACATAATAGATTATGAAAATGGACTCTTAAATTCTGAACAAAATAAAAATAATGAGCAGGGAATATTGAAAAAATTTTCGCAAAATGATTTTCTCGTATTAGCTAAGGCTATATCCGAACATTTTAATAATAAAGGTATGAGCACACTTTCAGAACCTTCTTCAAGTACAAACTCACGATCTATCATAGAGGAAAATATTCCTAATGATTCGTTAAATTTAATTAAATTACCAAGTGTATCATTTAGAGATACTGTTGCAATTTTGCCAGAATTTGATGGTGAAAATATTTCCATTTTAAGTTTTCTATCGGAATGTCGTTATGCAGCTCAAAATACCCCGATCGAAAATCATAATATTCTTTTTAGATATATACGTGGAAAATTAAAAGGTATAGCAAAAGAGTATATGGCACATTCTTCTGCTAATACCCTTGAACATTTCTTGTCCGATTTACAAGACGGCTTCTCATTACCCTACGATAACTCGTCAATTTTAATAGAAATCGCGAAATTAAATCAAAATAAAGATGAGTCTATTCATAGCTATATTGCCAAGGCTAGAAAAATTTTATTTTCGTTCACAGAAATATCTCGTAGAGATACGCCTGCTGATTTCTTAAATGCGAAATTATTAGAAAATGATAAATTTTTAACAAAATCATTTTGTAGAGGGCTTCTCCCGGAATGTAGATTGCAAGTTACATTAAGAAACCCAAATAGTTTTCAATTGGCTACAAAATATGCCATAGAAGCTGAGTATGAATTAATTTTTGATCATGAACGCTATGATGATAATAAAAATAATTCAAATCAATCTGAAGATGTTCTTAACATTGAAAATGAATCTGAAAACTTTTGATAGGATTTTTTTTTTCTCTTTCCTTTTTGTTTAGATTTCAAACATAACATAAACACTTCCTTCAGTTATAAAATGTGAATTCAAGGTTACTCAGGTAGAGACATCGTTTGAGAGAGTATGATCACGGTACATAAGGTGTACTAAAAGACAATTGCGCTTATGCATTATCTATTAGCCTTTGTGATATTAATGGAGAGATGCTGCACAGAATAAAAATTACATTACGTTAAATGACGTTTATTCATTATAAATTAATCCATATCCGTAGCATAAGGTGACTAATACACCTGTGCTCTCCTCTTTATCCCTAGACGAACACGAATTGACAATTGAATTGGTGCAGTATTCTCTGATATACATTGGTTGGATAGTGTATGAGAGCAATAAAATTTGCTAAAATAAAATTTTGCAAGGAAACGATTTTTTCAAAATGATGATTTTGAAAAGTCAATTGTTTGAGAGAATCAAGAGGCCACGAGATTACAGGAGTTAATCTCAAAAATAATTTCTAGACCGTATGGCGAGGTTATTCGTCGGTCTATCGAGGAATCTCGAAAATAATGTTGTTTCTGCTGAAATTATCTATTTCGAAGATCAACAAGTTGGATCGAACGGCGAGTTTGTTCGTCGATCCTTGGGAATTTTAAAATTCTTGAATCAGAGCGAAGGGCGTCTGAAGAGTTATGTGGCAGGATTCTTGAAATTAACAAATAATTAAACATTCAATAAAAATACAAAATCTCCGATGAACAATGTCAAAGTATTCTTGAATTCGAAAATAAATCATTATTAGTTGATTATTTGTAAAGTATACAGAAAATTTTTAAATTTTAATCAAAATAAATAAGTGACAGAATATTTGTCTGTTACTTGTTATACAATATTTTCATTTTAACATTGCTCTTCTCATTTGGGGAGGAGTGAGAGATGAGCAACTGTAGTTTTGCTCAGTGAATATATTATTTTTCCTTTTCTATACATAACAATAGTAATTATACAATGTAAAAATAAAATTACTTTATCTTATAGATGTAATCTTATATATTTAATTTTCTAACGAAAATTTTAATAAGGGGGAAAGTGTAACGAGCGACTATATTCTCGCTCGAATAACTTTTCGATATCTCGAATTAACGATACTTACGCGCTAAATAATAAATATTCAAAATATTAAATAATTAATATTTTGTATTCTAGAATTTATTCTCACATAAATTTAGCAATTGAGGAAACTATAAAAAGTTAACTTAATTGTAAAATAATATCTTCACGCTTTAAGTATTTTCAAGTCTTATTCTCAAATCAAAGAATATAAACAGTTCTAAGAAAAGTCATAAATTAAGTAAAATAGCAAAAGGAAATATGATTCTAACTTTCCTTTAATCCCAACCATGAAATAAAAACCCTTAAAGATCATAAAAAATCCACTTGAAAAAGTTGTGGTCCTTTCTCTACAGGACACCAAACACATGTTGACCAGACACACATGTAGACTCGCTAAATCGAGAAAAGTCACGTATTGATCAAACAAAGGATAAAATATTTGTAAAGAAATATTTTATATCAACTAGATTTTTACATTAAAAATATAAATTAAAAATCATCATCTTCTCTATAAAACATTATTAAATATATAATCGTGGTGTGTGTGTGTGTGTTATTTACACAATAACAAGATAATAATTAATTATTACATTAATACGTATGAGTATGTTATATTGTTAATTATAATATTTATAATATAATAAATATTATGTATAAGATATACCTTGAAATATATAATTAGTAAAGTGTATAGTAAATAAGATACGTAGTGTTGTGCAGTGCAGTGTTGCTGGAAACAGCATAGAATAAGAAAATATAAAGAGCATGCGCAAAGAAGCCACATGGACTCACAGCTGAGCGCTTCTCCACTACTTGTACTTTATGTTTTACGTCAGATCTTATCTTGCCTTCGACTTGTCGAGTTCGCTCCAAGTCAACTTTGTATTTGTCTCTTTCTATATTTAATAAAAGCTTGGGTTTTAATCTAGAAGTCGGAACAATTAATAATTGGTTAATTCGTTATCTAATTATTATTGTTCGTCTTCAAGAGGATTTTCCCTCCGTTTTAACGGAAATTAATTGTGTAATTATTTTAACTTTCCCGGTTCATTTTAATGATTAACACTAAGGCTGAATCCACAAAATAACCAAGTGAAATTGCGCTTGCGCAATTAAATATACAACTTGGCTCGTAACAGTAACTACAGCAGGCAGGCAGGCAGCCAAGAGGTATGAATGCGCCTTTAGACGCCATATTTGAAATGTAAATTACGTGAATTTTCTACGGTTGTCAACGTAGATTACTTATTCTACGTAATTTACGTTGATAACTTCGAGTTATACGCAATTGACCTTTGATCAAAGTACAATAGACCTTTTCATGCTGATCATTCTGTCCTCTTCCAAGATATCTATGATTCACAATTTTCGATGAAATTAAATTTGTCATAGAACATTAAGAACCGTAAAAAAACAATCAGAAAAGTGCTGTTATCCATCTCTAACTTGCCCATTATACATACTACTCTTTAAAAATGTTGAGGATAATTTATTTTTTCACAATAGTAGTGTTTACAGTTTTCCATGGTGAGTTTTCCTTAATCCTTTGCGGCATTGTGACACTCCTGAGTGTCACCTTTTTTCTTGTACTTTTTTGAATACTTCAGCCACTATTTTACACATTTCAGTAACAAAATGTATTTTAGAATATCTATTACAATATAACTACATTAAAAAAGTGTTTTTTATAAATAAAATAAATGTTATAAACAAATTAAGTTTAAAAATAGCGTTTTTTTACAATAAATGTAATTGTGACTAAACAACAATAGGAAATAACATAACAATAATGTCTATAAAGTTTTCGGGGTCGCTGATTACGAATCTGGCATCAGATTTTCAAAATTCAAAATGGCGGATCCAATATGGCGGATGATAAAATGAAAAATTTATAGGAATGGCTTGAAACTTGTTACTCGGGGGGTTTTTGGGTCGCTCGTTACGAATATGACGTTGGATTATCAAAATTCAAAATGGCGGATCCAATATGGCGGATGACAAAATGAAGAATTGATCGGATTTGCTTAAAACTTGTTATTCGGGGGTCATATATTGGATCAGCCATTTTGAATTTTGAAAATTTTTAAAATCTGGCTTCGGATTCGTAATCAGCGACCCTTAAAACCCCCTATAATTCACTTCAAAGATAAATTCCTGTTAAAGAAAAATGTATGCTTCAAAGGGTTAAATTATAATTTCAAAAACACTCTAAAAACTGTGTTCCCTTTATGGAATAGAAATTTAAAAAATTAATTAAAAATAGTTATTCAAAAAATTGTATATTAAAGATATGTGGGAACCTTCTACGTGACCTAGTATTGGAAAATGTGTTTTGCGAGTATCAATTTTATTCTAAAATGAGAAAAGATTTTTGTCTAAAATTTTAAGGGATTATATATTTGAGTGCAATGCATCTCCTTGTTCTCAAAAAAAAAATACAAAATGCAAAATTTTGCGTTAAATTAAAAATGAAGTTTAAAAATTGACATTTTTTAACGAAAATAACAAAAATCATCATCATTTTCTTTCAGATTCACTTTCTTTATCACAGCAATGTGAACTAACAAACAATAATTGTGAAAAACTGCAACCTGATGTCAATAAATGGTAACAATATCCCTTATAGACTATAATTTCGAATTAAATTCAGATACTAATGTTTATCATAATCTGTAATATCATTTCACTTTAACTTTGATTCTAGTTTCACTCAACTGCATTATTTTTAGTTGAATATTTAATGGCAAAAAAAAATGCAATACTTGTCATTTAAAATAAATTACCTTTAAATAAAATGTCTATAGGATTATAATTTATCATTTTGAAGGAAACAACAGCCTAAATCAATGGATGAATCAGATCATGTCTCGAGAGCAATAAATAATAATGAAGATGAAGAAAAAATAAAAAATTGTGATTTATTTTCTATTTTAAGTGAAGACGTGCCTAAAGAAGAAATTAATAAAGCAATTAAAAAATGTCTAAAAGATGGAGCCAATGTAAATGTTAAAGATAAGGATGGTAGTACATTTTTGGGCATATCTGCAAAATATGATAACTTTGAATTGGTAAAATTGGCGATAGAAAATAATGCAAATATCAATGCCACAGACAATAAAGGTAATACTGCTTTACATTATGCGGTTGCAGTTCATAACTACGAAATGGTGAAATACCTTATAGAGAATGAAGCATTTGTTAATGCTCAAAACAATATGGGTAATACTCCTTTACATGTTGCGGTTTCTGAATCTTTTTTAAATGATTGAAATAATTTTTTAGTTTTTCAAAATTTTCGATGACAAAAAAAGTCTAAATTTTGATAAATTAATATAAATTATCTATATATAAAAATAAAGAACAAAAACCTTCTGTTATAAATTGCACATGCATGCAATTTTTAATCATATTGTCAATTTTAAATGATTTAATAATTGTTTGCATTCTCATCTCTCCTTGACTCTTTGCGTTTATATGCATTTCTAATATAAAGTCAAAGTTTTATTGCGTTTAATGTATCTTATTAAATGTCTACGACGTTAAGTAACCATCTGTCGAAAAATGACCGATAAAACAGTATAATTTTTTTAGTAAACAAATCAAAAAAATATATATATATATGAATAATAGAAGATCCCAATAGATCTAAAATTTCTCCTGGTGGTAATAATTTTAAGAATTTAAAAATTTCTTTTTTAAAATTAGAAGAAAAAAAAAGTTGCAGGTACTCATTTTGTTTTTTCAATTTAAATTTAATATTAAGATTAATTATAAATGAAAGAGAGAAAAAAAATTGTAATTTCCAATGTTTCATAAATTAAAATTAATATACCTATGTATGTTCATTAGATATATAAATCCAATAAAAACTGAATTACTTTTTTTTGTAACACAATATATATGTATAATACAAAATATTTTGTATACGTTTGTAATAAAAAAAAATTACTTGACATAACAATTTTACTTTATTGATTCAAGTGAAATAAATTATTTAATACGAGTAATGCAATTTTTGCAAAGTTATTTGATTTTTTTTACAGATTTGGACTCAAATTTTCAGAAATAATTAGAGAAGTCCTTTGTTAAAATTTCAGACGTATTCCAGATTAAATCCGGATAAATCAGTTCAGATTAGTCCAGAAATTATACAAAAACAACAATCAAAAAATGCTCCATATCAATTCGAAATTAACATATAAAATAAATCCGTAATTAGTCCGTAATAATCTGAATTTAATTCAAACAAAAAAAAAAAAAAATTAATCCAAAATTAGTACTGCGGCAAAAAAATTGAATCCGATATAAATTTGGAATAATCTGAAAACTTTATGTGAAAAAATTTGACGAGAAAAAGAAAATTCTTTTTGTAAAAAAAAAATTTTCATTTGTCCAACCCGAAGAAACAAAACTTTCAACGCGATTTTTAAAATCAATAACAATTTTATGGACAATTTTTGAATGATTAATTTTAAAAATCGCGCCAAAAAATTTCGGACAAAGTAAAAATTCTATCACTATTAGAAATTCTGTTAAATGATTTTTCGATTAATTATATACTTATATATAAATTCGTGTAGTATGAAAAATTGGTTATATGAAAATTCTATTAATTAATAATAATTCGAAAATAAAGCTAAAAAAAAATCCTATATCCAATGAAATTCTGTCTAATAAAAATTAATTAAAATAGCTATTATGTTAAATCGAAAATTTGAAGAAATAAAAATTCTGTTAAGTTAATTTTTTATTATATAAAAAAAATTTTGTAATATATATAGAAAATCGGTTTTAATGAAAATTTATTCATGCATTTCATATATATGTTCACAAAGAGTACGCGCGCTTAGTACACTTGCACTGAAAGAAAAATTATAGAATCTTTGTTTAATACTGATTGCACTTTCCTATCCGGTGCGTGTGAGATATAAACGGAAATGCAAACTATTAAAATGACTTTTAGTCACGCATTAAAAATGCCTCGTATGCAGTAGCTTATAGTACTAGTACTATATAGTACTCATTTTAATAAACATGTTTTTATTATAATGTTAAAAACTAATAAAAAAAAACTTATTTTTTCATGTTAAATTTTTCAAATATAGTGTAAAATTATAATCTATAAAAAATTTTAATTGTTGTTTTATTAAAATTTCCTTTAGATTAAAGAGGAAGAGGAAAGAAGATTTTTAAAAAAATTTAAAAATTGTTTTACCATCAATCGGTAATGTAGATTTCTATGACGGTAATTTTTATATTTTCATTTTCATGTTTTACCATTAGTCGGCAATGTTGATTTCTATGTCGGTAATTCTAATATTTTCATGTTTTACCATCAGTCGGTAATGTGTTAGTAATCTTTATATCATCATTTTTCTGCTTTTACCATCAGTCAATAATGCAGATTTCTATGCCAGTAATTGATTTTTATTTTAAAAAAGTTTTGACCTTGTATTAAAAAAATATTACTTTTTTTTTTTGATAATATTGAAAGTTTTTTTTTTAATAAACATTTGTGGTCCCCTATGTATAATATTTAAAAAGTGCCATACGGCATTAAAAATTAGACAAAATATACTGTGATTTAAGCCCATATAGAGCATTTTTTTAAAAATAAATCTATTCTGTGCAGGAGGACAATTTAAAAATTGTTTTACCATCAGTTAGTAATGTAGATTTCTATGTCGGTAATTTTTATATTCTCATTTTCATGTTTTACCATCAGTCGGCAATATAGATTTCTATGTTGGTAATTCTAATATTTTCATGTTTTACCATCAGTCGGTAATGTAGATTTCTATGTTAGTAATTTTTATATCATCATTTTTCTGCTTTTACCATCAGTTAATAATGTAGATTTCTGTGCCGGTAATTAATTTTTATTTCCAAAAAAGTTTTAATCTTGTATTAAAAAATCCCCTATGTTTAATATTTAAAAAGTGCCATACGGCATTAAAAATTAGACAAAATTTACTGTAATTTAAGCCCATATAGAGCCTTTTTTAAATTAAATCTATTCTGGGCAGGGGGACAATGACAATTTATTAAAAATTTTGTATGATGTAAACAATTGTTTTTCAAAGTTATAATAAAATGACTGATAAAAAAATTCTTTTTCACAGAATTTTCTTATTAATTATATATTTCTAATAAAACTTCTTGATTGATTTCATAGAAAACAAAAAAAAACAATTTTCTTATACAAAACATTTTCTTTTTGTCTTTATAATGACGCGACAACAACGTAATAATGATGCAGATGATGATCATTTATATACATAACAGTTAGTCATGTCGACTTTAAGTCATTATTATTATATGTATATAGAGATATAGATGTTAAACATCTGTGAACTTTAATTCTCAGAGATTATAATAAAGGAAACAAAATTTTCATTAAGTTGCAAATTTTCTAATTATAAAAAAATTTTAAAAAAATTAAATTTTATTTCGTAAGTATGTCATCTTTTGAAATTTGTATACAAAAACAAAGTACAAAATAATAAATAATAATTTATATATACATATTGTCATGTTAAATAAATTATTATTTAATAAGTAAAATTATTTAAAATAATTAATTACAATTATTATTAATCATATTAAGAATTAAATTTTTTTTTTTTAATTATGAAACTTTTTGTATTAGAAATTGGTAACTTTAATATAGAATATACAATGTAGCTAAAATTTCGACCGACCTAATTAGAAATATATTATGTATTATTATTCTTTGTAATGAATAACTGTCAAACAAGGAAGTTGGAGATAATTAAAAATACTTACGGAAGAAGGAGATATATATAGGAAAATATCGGTTGCAATTAATAATTCAGTCATTTTTTTTTTTGAATTTATATATACACACGTCATTAACGTTGATACGCTATTTTCAGTTTAACTCAATAAAATTTAATTTAAGTATAATAATAATATTAATAAGAATTCTCATTCAAGAGAATTTTAAGTGATTTAAATTTAAAAAAGCCAGGATTATATCCATTTACTGAATTTTTATTTCCACAAATTCTTATTTGATAGAATAATTAAAATTATTATAAATTAATAAAATTAGTTAACTTATTAAAATTTTCACCCGATAAAATTAAATAATAATAATAATAATAATAATAATAATAATAATCTATTTGTCGAACAAATATAACCTGCAAAAAGATTTCGGCGCGAATTTAAAAATTTGCCAATCAGAAATTATTAAGAAAATTGTGATTGGTTAATTTTAAAATTCGCGCCGAAATCCCTTTTTTTGTAGGTTATGTATGTTTGGACATTTGCTATTTTGGACAAATTGAACTTCGGTTTTTTAAAAATTTTATTAAATAAAAATTCGCACAAATGAAGAATTTTTAAATGCCACAATTTCCAATTCAAGGAATCTTTAATAATTGTCCTAATTTTTATTTGACAAAAATTAATTTTTAAAAACGTCGAATTTCAATTTGTCCAAAATTGCAAATGTCCAAACATACATAACCTACAAACAAAAAAGATTTCGGCGCAAATTTTTAAATTAACCAAACCCAATTTTCTTGATAATTTCTGATTGGCTAATTTTAAAATTTGCCCCGAGATCTTTTTACAGGTTATGTTTGTTGGACAAATAGATTATTATTACTATTATTATTCTTATTATTATTATTATTATTGAATTTTTTTCCAGTATGTATTATAATAAATTAACTAATTTTATTAATTATAATAATTTTTTTATTATTTCTGGCTTTTAAAAATTTGAATTAGAATTAAAAAAAAAAAAAAATGTTAAAGAGAAATTCTGTAAAATAAAAATTCTGTCAAAAAAAATTTGCTACCTAAAAAATATGTTAAATAAAAAGTCGTTTATTCAAAAATAAATAATAAATTTATTAATAATAGAAATAAATTTAATAGAGAATAAAAACAAAAACTCGATTTCTCTTTTTCTTATTTCGTGCAATTGTTATTTATGCAGATCATTAAAATGAATTGCATTTTTCAATTATATTATATAATAGGTACACATAGTAATTTTTATTGTAAGACCTTTTTTAAATTTTCGAAAAAAATGATGAATATTCAATTAGAAATAAAAACAATTTTTTTTACACAAAATACATTTTTTTATTGTTAAAAAATTGCCATTTACATTTGATTAAATTTCTTTATTAAAAGCCGCGTATTTTCACCAAAAAAAAGAAGTTTCTTCATCCATTCCTGTAAAATAAAAGAGACGTCATGACATAGTTTTTGTCATTTATGAAATTAATTAACTCCCCAGTTTAACTGTCACTAGAAATAGCTGGATTTATAAATACAAAATAACTTTAATAATAACAATATTAATAATAATAATCTCTTATTGTTTTATGAAAAGAAATTAAAGACAAAAATTAAAAGATGAGAAATAAAGTAATTTTTCACAAATAAAATCTAATAATTCTAATTATAAATAATAACAATAATGAAGATATAATAAGAAATAAAAAAAAAAATTAGAAGATATAATTTTACAAATTATAATTTGAAGAAACTCATTTAAAAATTAGGCTAATTAGAATTATTGATAAGATTTGTCAATTAACATAATTATTTGACAATAAATAATGTTCACGAAATACAATTGTGGTTTTGATATAATAAATTATTTGTTAATTAATGTGATTATTAGACAATAAATGTTTTGTCTTTTAGTGGCTTTTTAATTACAATTTTTTATTTCTTTTCATATTGTTCTTTTTGGTGTATTATTTTCCCTTTGGTTTATGAATTATTGCAATTAACACTAATAATTTATAAATTGAAAGTATAACTAATCATTTTTTTTTCTAATAATAATGAAAATATATTATATTTATATTATAATATATTATGTATTATATGCTATATTATATTATATATGACTTACATGACTTTCCACTTTAAGGAATAATTTTTCAAATGATGCAAATATTAACATTATTAAAATTTTATCTAAATTTTGAGGTTATGTTCGTTTCTTGATTAGGGGACTTTGAAGTTATGTTTGTCGGACATAGTCTTTAACCCAATGATCCCTTGACCTATGTCCTTGAATTTTGAGGTTATGTTTGAACTAAGGCCTTAAATACTGAAAACCTATTCCCTTGAATTTTGAGGTTATGTTTCATCTATGACTTTGAATATGATTTTCTGACGTATTTTGATGCGCTGAACACGAATCTGAAATCCGATTTACTCCATTAGGTCAAAATTTTTTTCTAACCTCAAAAAACATGTCTAATCAAACAAGTAACTCAAAATTCTTGTGGGCTTGGGTTCTAGGGGTTTCTGGGGTCACTGATAACGAATCTGATGTCAGATTTTAAAAATTCAAAATGTCGGATGCGAAATGGAGGACAATTTTAAAACAAAATTATTGTATTTTTCATGCAAATCTGTGTCTGGGAACTTTTTTTAAAATTGTCCTCCATATTGCATCCGACATTTTGAATTTTGAAAATCTGAGATCAGATTCATAATCAGCGATCCCAAAAACCCCTAGAACCTAATCCGATAAAAATTGTGAGTTACTTGTTTTTGATAAAAAGAAGAAAGAAAAAAACAATTTTGTTAAATTAAACAAATTTTTGCTATTTTAACACTGATATATGGTATTGCTCAAGTATTTTTTTTTTTTTTTTGTATCTATGACACATGTTTTGCCTATATATGTAACTATTAAAGTATATAAAATGTCATTGCTCGCTGTCAATACGTATCTCAAGGGGATCTTTTATGACATCATTCCATTTTAAAATTCATTTAGAAGGCCAATAAAACGTTACTTCTTTTTCTCTTTTATTGTTTTCTTTCTTTCCTTTTTTTTTTTTTTGTATACAAGCTTCAACTCAGTTTATATTTGAAACAAAGTAACTTTTTAAAAAAGGAATTGTAATTAACTGAGCTTCCTCTTCCTACGTTAGAAAATTTTTGTAGTTCATTGTTTGTTTTATGAAGGAGCATGATTTGTATCTACGATTACAGATTGAGGAAATAATTTAACAATATAAGAATCTTTCTTTAAATGAAATAATGAAAAAAATAGATTTACCGTAAATATAAAAAGAATTATATTTGTATAATTTTAATTTATTAATACTAAAGAAGAAATTAATTAAATAAATAATAATAATAATAATATCTAGAAATATCTATAAAAAAAAAGATTTATAAATAAATTGGATCCCTCTGTGGATACTAATGTCAACATTAATTTGTCAATTATTCATAATATATATCTTTCTGTATTATAAAAAGATTTCGCCGCAGTCGCCGCTGTTTCAGAAATTTTGACCTAGGAGGGGGGGGGATTCCACCCTCCTAAATTTTGAGGTTATGTTCGTTTCTAGACTCTGAATATAGCCGCAAGTCCCCTCCCCCGCCAGAAATGACCTAAATTTTGAGGTTATGTTCTTTTCAAGGCTCTGAATATAGCCGCAAGTCCCCCCCTCCCTCCTCTCATTTCCCCTCCTCCGCCAAAATGACCTAAATTTTGAGGTTATGTTCGTTTCAAAACTCTGAATTTAGCCGCAAGTCCCCTCCCCTCCCCCACCTGAAATGACATAAATTTTGAGGTTATGTTCGTTTCAAGGCTCTGAATATAGCCGCAAGTACCCCCTCCCTCCTCTCATTTCCCCTTCTCCGCCAAAAATGACCTAAATTTTGAGGTTATGTTTGTTTTAAGACTCTGAATAAAGCAGTATGTCCTTCCCCCTTCCCTCATCTCTCTCTCTCTGTATTTCCCGCCAAAAATGACATAAATTTTGAGGTTATGTAAATTTCAAGACTTTCAATATAGCCGCAAGTGGAGGTGGAGTTCCCGCGAAAAATGACTTGAATTTAAAGGTTATGTTCATTTCAAGACTTTTTAATAATTTATTGGTTTTTAGGCAATTTCATTGAAATTATTTTTAAAAATAATTTCTTAATGTCGATTTTAATTTATTTAATTATTTATTTATTATTAATTAAAATTTAATCATTTTAATTTTAATAATATTTATTCAGATTTCAATGAATTTGTAATAATAATTCTTTGAAATAGGTGGTTCATTTGGAAAAATAAGATCAATGGAAAAAAAAATGATTAGTATATATATATATATTTTTTTTTTTCAATCAGAAAAAGATATAAAATAGATAATAAAATAACAATAATATAGGTCAAAGAAGCAAAAAATAATAAGATCCATAAAAACAAAAGGAAACAAAACTTACACAAATTTGTCACAATATTATATATTATTATATTATATATATTCAAATATATATAAAAAAAAAATTGTTTTTGTTTTTATTTTGCATATTTTTGATGTTTTATTTATTTTATTTTTTTTTTTTAGAACAATATGTAATTACTTGCAAACTTAAAATTCATTATTTCAGCTTCTGGTTTCTATATAACTAGCTTCTAGAAGCGCATATAGTTTAGATTTAGATGAGAGCGCTTTCTAATAATATCGCTTAAGATAAATTACACTGATGGCATAGCGCGCGGGGGTTTAAATGATGATTACAAGCAGATGGGTCCATTAATGGAAGAAAGTTATAAAAATTTTTTTTATAAAAACTATATATAGACAATAAATTTTTCTATTGTAAAAAATTTTTAATATGAATTGAAAGCAATTTCTTTTTTTTTTTAGGAAATGTTTAATCGAATTTAAATTAACCATAATTTATACATATAACAGAATTTCTATGTATTCAAATTTTTATTTAACAAAATATTTTTTCAACATAATTCCCATTTTTTTTTTTTTTTTTTTTTTTTTTCGAAAGAATTATTTTTAACGCAGGAATGTCTATTTATCAGAATTCTTATTAAATAGAATTTCGTCTGATTAGAATTTTTAAATGACAGAATTTTCATTATAAACCAAGTCTTTATATTTGTCCGAATTTTAATTAACACAAAATGTCAATTTAATAGAATTCCCTCCTTTTTTTAGCATAATATTTTTTCAATATTATAAAATAGTTTAAAAAATTTTAATAATTATTTTCTTTCAATGTATACGTGGTTAAAATTATTAAAAAAGAAAAAAAATGTTCAATTTTAGGATTCCAATTAAAATGATAAATTAAATTTTGATAGGCCCAAACTACATTCAAATTTGATTTTCTCAATTAGAATTAATTGGTTCGACAAATTTCGATCCAATTTCCATGTTATATATATGTATATCTATATTATAAAAAGATTTCCCCTCTGTTTCCAGCATAGGTCATTCCATGTCAAGTGTACCCAACCCATGTTTTTGACAAGGTTAGGTTAGGTTAGGTTAGGTTAGGTTAGGTTAGGTTAGGTTAGGTTAGGTTAGGTTAGGTTAGGTTAGGTTAGGTTAGGTTAGTTACTCTTGACATGGAATGACTGTATTATAAAAAGATTTTGCCGCTGTCTCCAAAATGGATCATTCCACATAAAGTGTAAACAACCATTGTACTAACCATGTCAAAAACATGGGTATTTTAGTTGGGCAAATTGACGTGGAACGACCCATATATCTACCTAAATTAGTATTAAAACGAACATAACCTTAAAATTCCAGGTCCTAGGTCTCTAAGATTCAAGGTCATGGATCAAACATAACCTTAAAATTCAAGGGTATAAGGTTTTAGGATTCAAGGTCAGAGATCAAACATAACCTCAAAATTCTAGAATATAGGTTTCTAAAATTAAAGGCCTTAGTTCAAACATAATCTCAAAATTCAAAGACATAGGTCAAGGGACCGTTGGGTTTGAGGCTATGTCCGACAAACATAACTTCAAAGTCCCCTAATCAAGAAACGAACATAACCTCAAAATTTAGATAAAATTTTAATAATGTTAATACTTGCAAGCCTTTAAAAAAAGTAATTACATTAAAGTGTAAAATAATGTAATAACAATAAGATTCCAACTATTTGTATGCAACTCCAATAATTAAAAACTGATGAGAAAAAAGTCATACAAATTTATGATTACAAATGAAAAAAATAATAAATAAAGTGATCGTTAATTTTGAATTAGTTAAAAATAATTAATTTGATAGTGTAATAAGTTAGACTTTTACCAAAAAAAAGAAAGAATATGTACATTTTTTTTACTATAAAAAAAAGAAAGAAAAAATTATTTTACAATTATATTTACTCGATGAAAAAATTAAAAGTATTTTTAAAAGAAAAAGAATTTCGATTTCTATAAAGTTCCAAGGGTGCCTCAGTCAGTTCATCAGACATTTCCCTGAATGACGAATACTGCGAGCATTTTGAATGAATCATACAGAAAAAAGAAAAAAAAAAAAAGGACAACCAAGAAGGTACATTGCAGAACTCGAATCGACTTTAAGGCGCAAAAAAGTAGGTTTATATAGTCGATTTATATTAGGAAAAAAAGTTAAAAAAGACAAATATTTTTTTTTGAATTTCAATAAATTTAATTTAATAAATATTCTACTTCTATGAACCATTGTTATTACAATTACAGAAAATCCAATTCACCGAATTTTAATTTGTCCGTATTTTTATTTGTACAAATTTTTAATTTGCTAAAATTTTTAAGACGCCGAATTTTGTATTTTGTCCGAAATTGCAAATGTCCAAAAGAAAAAAAAATCGAATTAAAATTCGTCTAAAAACTAATTACTTTTTAATAAAATTCGAGATGCATGATTTTGTTCTATAAAATATCATTAGTTAGAATTTTCATTTTATGGAATTTCATTTGTCATAATTATTTTTGAGCCGAATTTTTATTTATTATTGAATTAAGTATTTTGCAGAATTTTCAATAAAAACTATTTTCTATATTACAGAATTTTTATATAACGAAAAATTAACTTCACAGAATTTTCTATTTGTTCGAATTTTTATTTTTCAGAATTTTTATTTGCTCGAATTTTCAATTTAATATAATAGGCATTTTAAAGAATTTTTATTTGGTAGAATTTCATTGCATAGAATTTTTTTTCCGATGAATTTTTATTTGTTCGAATTATTATTTGATATAATTTCCATATAACCGATTTTTTACACTACAAAATTTTTACTTAATCAAAAAATCATTTTTAAGAATTTCTAATTGATAGAATTTTCATTTGTCCGAAATTGCAAATGGCCGAAAAAAACTTCGGCGCGATTTTTAAAATCAACCAATAAAAAATTATCCATAAAATTGTGATTGGTTGATTTTAAAAATCGCGCCGAAATCGATTGTTTGTTCGGCCATTTCCAATTTCGGACAAATGAAAATTCTATCAATTAGAAATTCTTAAAAATGATTTTTTGATTAAGTAAAAATTTTGTAGTGTAAAAAATCGGTTATATGGAAATTATAACAAATAATATAATTCGAACAAATAAAAATTCATCTAAAAAAAAATTCTACCCAATAAAAATTCTTTTTAAAATGCCTAAATTATGTTAATGGAAAATTCGAGAAATTGAAAATTTGAGCAAATAAAAATTCTGTGAAGTGAATTTTCGGTTGTATATAAATTCTGTACACGGAAAAAAAAGAAAAAATAATTTTTGCTACTTTTAGAGTACAACGGAAACTGTCCGAAGTTTCTGCGCATATCTGGCAACTTTTATTCCAAAAATAGTAAAATTAACTATTTCTGTAGTAAATTTTTCTGTTTCTGTAGTAATTTTTACTATTTCTGGAGTAAATTTTACTATTTTTGAAGTAAAAGTTGCCAGAGATGCGCAGAAAATTCGGACAGTTCCCGTTTTACTCCGAAAGTAGTAAAAATTACTTTTTTTTTCCTTGTAATATAGAAAATTGTTTTTATGAAAATTCTGCAAAATACAAATTTGAATAAATAAAAATTCGGCTCAAAAATAATTATGACAAATGAAATTCCATAAAATGAAAATTCTAATTAATTAATTTTATGGAATAATCATGCGCTCCTTTTTTTTCTGTAAGGAACGAAAAAGAAAATGTATCCAAATTTAAAAAGTCATAGATAAATTTCACGTGGAATCGATCATATATATACACAATAGTTTAAATTTCATACAATTCTCCTCATTGTCATTTGTAATATAAAAGGCTTCAACAAAAAAAGAAACGAGAAAAAAAAAGAGAGAGAGAGAGATTCATCAAGAATCAATCTATAATATCGTAAAAGTATAGAGATAGCGTGCAAATAGTACTCTCTACTTAGGCTTGAAGAATGAGATATATAGAAGAAAAAAAAAATTAAGAGAGTAAAAAAAGAGGAAAGAGTGAGAGAGAAAGAGTGTGCGCGCGCGAAGAATAGCGCCTAAGTGAAGAAAGGAACGAAACGAAACGTAAAAGTTTTCAGTGCACGTGTACTTGCAATGCACCGAGAAAAGTACACTTGCACTCGAGATCGCGACTGGTTCAACTCTTTGGTGCCAGAGTATCGACCTGAACGGCAAACCATGCGGTAGAGTAGAGTCCATTCTCTCTCCTTTCATTTTATCTCACTTACTCACATTGACCTTATTATTTTTCCTTCCTTCTCACACCTAAACAATCTTGAAATAGTTGTATGTCCCGTCTCTAATGGTAATTTTCTATAAGGTTGAAAATTCACTGACCGTTCAAGCCAACATCGTGCTTATTTTCTTGACATCTTTGTTTTGTACATGCGCAAACTATAAAATCCAATGCCGTATCAATTGACAATAAACTCCCTCATTTTGCAAAACAAAAGAAAAATTTTATTTTTATATTATTTTTAATAAAAAAAAAAAAATTTCTTTCTATAATTCATTATTTTTCATTATTTATTATTATTATTATTATTATTATTACTTTTTTATTATTTTTTAATAAAATTTTATTTTTTTTATTTATTAATTCATTATTTTTTATTAATAAATAAAAAACAAAATTATTTACACACAATCTATAGTAGATCATTAATTTTGATTTTGTTCATGAATAATTTATTTAGAATAATTTAAATTGTTAACATTTTTTTTTTTCATCGAGTGCATTATTTTAAATATTCTAAAATAATATTAATTTTTTGAAACAATATCAAAAAAATTAAATTTTTTAAAAATTCTAAAATAGTCTAAAAGAATTATAATATTGCCTTAAATTGTTGGATGTGACTTTTGGTAAAAATCCAAGTTTAAAAAAGATTTTTTTCAATATTATATAATTAAATATTCATATAATAACTGAAAAATATATTATATAAGGGGAAAATATTTTCAAATGATCCAACATAAAAAATGTGATTTTTTTTTTTAAAGTCGTAACTGTTATGCAAATATTAAAAATAGTAATTTTAATAATAATTTTAATAATAATAAAATAATAATTTAAAAACCATTTGTTATAAAAAATTTTAATTTTGTGCACTTTTAGTATTAAAAGAAAATATGAAAATGTTCTCTTTTTTTTGAAATAATTATTCAATCAATAGAAATAATAATCAATAGAAGCAAAATTTTGAATAGTTGACCATTTAAAAAACACGTGTAATGATTTTTATATTTTAAAGTATATAATATTAAGGCCGTGTCAATTGAACTTTACACGTGGGACGGTAGTAAATGATGAATTAGATGATTCTCACTATATCAAACTTCATTCTTTAGTTTGAGATTAGGAACTCCTTTTTTTTTTAAATAAGAATGTTTGTTTTTAAAATACAATACTACAAGTTTGCTGCGGCAGCGAATTTCTTTTTTTTTTTTTTGCTTTCATATTGCAAACTTTGGTCCTTACTAATTTTGAGGTTATGTTTTCAACTTTGTTAGTATTTTGGCCTTAAGATCATAAGTCAAGAAACCGCTAAGTTTGACGTTAAAAACATAACCTTAAAATTAGGGCAAAATACTACTAGTAAACATCAAAATTAGCTAAAATACGAACATAACCTCAAAAATTCACGATATATGTGACGCTCTCTGAAGAAAGACGAAGCAAACGAATTACAGATTATCTTTACAATAGTTTTATGTCTTGATTAAAAGTTTATATTTTTGATTTTTTACATAAAATCAAAATGAACTTTAATATTCGATGATACGAAGACTTAACATAAATTCGTTTTGAGAGTTAATTCTCTTTTTTTGTATTTTCACATAAAAAAATTTCGAAATATAACCTAAAAATTTTTTTTTAAAGTTTTCTTCACAACGCGTCACCATATATTTGATTATAATTCTTCGTGGTTTGTTTTTCTTTGTTCTTTTTTTTTTTTTGCAAAAGATGAAAAAAAAAATTGTACTCTAAAATTATGAGAAGATTTGATGTATTTATTAAACTTGAATAATCGTGGCCTGTCGATATTTATACTTGAGAAAAGTTTCCTCTTCCTAAGAATCATGATGACTATCACAAGTGTGTAGAGCGCACATCATAAGAGTAATACAAAGTAATATATAATTTTCTTGCAAAACAGCATCCTGTCTTTATAAGCGAAACACCAATTATATGTGAAATCGACTAGAGCTGTTCACTATATATATATATATATATATATATATATATATATATATATATATATATATATATATATATATATATATATATATACAGCTGACTTACAAATGTTTTGCTGAGAATTTTATTACTTCTTGTACTGAATATTGCTTTATGCTCTAGAGGAGATTTGTTTCCTTTCTCCTTATTTATATTGTATATATTTATATATATACACACCAACGAAAAACTAAAAATATTAATTTTTTTTATCACTTTTTAAAAAACAGTAAATTACTTCTTATTTTTCAGAACTTTTCATAATTCATAATATTTATAATTATTCTATATTTTTCCAAATTTTGTCATAATTATATACATATTATAAAATTTCTCTTTGAATAAATAAAAAAAAATTACATGCGAATTATATTTTATTATATTGTCATTTATAAATAACTTGGTAATAATTTTTTGTATATATTATTATAATGTTAAAAAATAAAAAAAAATAAAAATTGGAACAAACTTGATTCTTTGTCTTCGCAATGCCCTAATTTCTAAAGACGTTAAGTTAAGTGTGCAACCGCAAAAGTACTAAAAGTTCTTGACCATTCTGGCTCATACTTATAAGATATTAAATGGCTTTATAGCCCCAGTTGTAAAGTCTTTTTCCACGAATCCCTGGTACTGACTGATTTAGAGACAATTTGAAAAAATTTTTTTTTTTTTAATAGAACTTTTGGGAAAGGCATATGGTGAAGAAAACTTAAAGAAAAATGCCAATTAATAATTATTATTAATTTATATTATAATAATAATAATAATAATAATAATAATAAAAACATAATAATCAGGTCCGAAGTTATATGCATGCAAAATAAGCAGCTGCTTACCCGGCCACCAAAGTTTTGTAAAGCTAAATTTTTTTTCAAATTTTTAATAGCAATGATGTCATGCACTCACTTCAATCATTTATTTGAAAATAAGTTAACAAAAATATCAATTTTTTTAATATAATAAAAATTTTCTGCATTTTTTTTGCAGACTTTTGGTTCTCGATTAATCGCAATGCATTTGTATTTTTCTTCTTTTTATAATCTCATTTCTTCTCATAATTCAGGAAAGAGAACATTAGCATATAATGCCATCTACATTTGGTAAAGAATAACTATTTCAAAGCTTACGCACCAAGATAGCTCAGCCCTGCCTTGACTGTGTTGATCAGCTGGTATCAGAAAATCAACATGGCGCATCAGTATTAACATGAAAATAGTTTATGTTTATTTCAATTATAGTTGAATCGATTAGAAATTAATAACAATAAATTAGTGTTATTCAAACGCTTACACTTTAATTTTCGTTTTGGTTACTTAGTCAAAAATATCTTTGTCAAAGACAACGAAGCGGGTAAGAGGCACATTCTGCAATTCGTTTATAACCTGAAAAGACTCATTTTGTATATAAAAATAGTTCTTACTTTTGATCTATTTTTTTGGACTTTAATATGACACAATTGCAAATTACTCAGTTCTTTTTGTTAATATTCATTGTGTTTTTTACATAATTTGTAATAGAATTTGTTAATAATAAATAATAATTTGTTCGGAATTTTTAACAGGCAGAATTTTGGTTATAAATTTCGATCTTAGGTAATCTTGTAAAAATACAAGTTTACTGCATCATTTTAAAAACATTGTTGTTAATTTAAAATTTTAAATATATATTGAATTAAAGGTATATACAAAATATATTTTTTTTAAAAAGTGTTTTATTACGTTGTAATAAAATTTTCGTCAGTTTTTGATGTGAAGTTGTCTAATTTTTTATCTCAAATTTCAAAAGGGCTTATGGCCACTTTTTTTGGTAACTCCTGTCTAGGGCCCCCCTATAGGTGTAAATCTCACCCTTTTGTTAAAAGGTCAAATTATTAACAAATCTTATTTCTAAAATTTCGAATTACCAAAAATTCGAATATTTAAAATTTTCAAATTATCAACAAATAGAAACTTTTAAAAATTCGATATTTTGGTTATTTGAACTTTTAAAAATTCCTTCTTTTTGTAATTTTGGACATTTAGAAATGTGATTTTTTAATAATTCGGATTTTTAGAAATTTGATCTTTTGAATATTTGAACTTTTAGAAATTCGATTTTATTTTTTGGTAATTAGAACATTTAACAATTCGATTTGATAGTAATTCGAAATTTAAAAAATTCGACTTTTTAAACATTCGACTTTTTGGAAATTCAAACTTTTAAAAAATTTTCTTTTCATATTACGAACTTTTAAAAAAGTCGAACTATTAAAAACTTTATCTGTTGGTAATTCGAACTTTTAACAAAATCGATCTTACAGTATAATTAGAAATTTAAAAACATTCGAGGTTTTAAAAATTCGGGTTTTTAAAAATTCGAACTTTTAAAAATTTGTCTTTTGGTAAATCGAACTTTTAGAAATTCGAATTATTAAAAATTCTACATCTTTTGGTAATTCGAACATTTAATATTTGGATCTTATTATTGAAAAATTGAATCTTGAAAAAATCAAATTACCAAAAGAACGAAATTTTGAAAATTCAATTTTTGAATAATTTGGATTTTTAAAAATACGATATTTTTTCGTAATTCGAACTTTTAAATATTCAATTTTTTGGTAATTTGGACTTTTTTTAGAATTTTTTAATATGAATAATCTCTGAGAATATCATAAGAGTAATCTAATCCTCTTAATATAAGATCACTCGTTTTTTTTTTAAGATATGTTTCATAACTTTTACAAATATATATATAAAAGATAAAAAAAAATATACAGAATATTTCATTATCATTTTACAAAACAATTTTTTTTTTAATCTATTTATCGCAATTCCTCCCCCGTTGATTTTGAATAGTTTTTATCTTTTCAAAGTTGTTTACTCTTTGCTCATTGAAAATTGACATTCGGTGAGCTACTACTCGTTTTGTCTATATACATATTTGATGTTTGAAGTTAATAATCTCCGGCCATTAATGATGAATCATCGTAAGAAATCTATGATATGCGAGGATTCTTGTCAGTGTTTAGAGAGAAAAAAAAAAAAATTAAATGGTCATTAATTAAAATTATCGTTCATTGTAACTATTATTTATTCGCTGAAATTACAAAGGGGTCACAAAATTTTGCTATTAAACTCGTTAAAAGTTATAAAATAGATCAGAAAAACGATAACAATAACATTTTTAATAAGACAATATTGTTGAAGAAAAAAAGGCAAATAATTTCTATAATCCAATAAAAGAAAACGGTGATACAAAATAATCGCAAAAAAGTCACAAAATCAAAAAATTAATTATAAAATGAATTAAAAAATTGTCATAAAATATGTTTAAAAAAATTTTTTTAAATTCTCATCTTGTACAATAAAAAAACAAATGTGATAAAAAAAAGAATAATATAAATGTTACACAAACAATAACCAATACAATAAGGCATAAAATGGTCATAAAAAACGTTTCAAGCAGAAAAAAATCGAATTTAAGTTTTAAAATTACCTCAAAGATGTTAGCGTGTCAAAAAATTGCATACAAGAATGTGGTCAGAAAATAGAAAAAGAACATTATTCAAGAGAAAACCGAAAAGTCATAAAATAGTTCTTTTTTATTTAAATGCCAATTTTGTCATTTTATGACCATAAAATATATTATAAAAGTCAAAAACTGGTAAAATTGGTCAGAAATACGTTTTTAATACCTACTTTAACGTAGTCAGAAAATGGACATAAAGAAGCCATTGCGTCAAAGGATACAATAAATACCAAAATAGTCAGAAAATGATTATAGAATGTTACAATATTTATAAATTATAAATTACAAGGTACAAAGTCACAAGCTGGTCATAAAAAAACCTCACAGTCATAAAAATAAGGACAATTGAATAGAACAATAATACCCGACAAAATGGTCAGAAAATTCTCATAAAGAATACAATGTGTTAGCAATGATACGAATAATAATATTAGTCGGAAAAAAAATCTATATCGAGTTTTTAAATTAGAAATAACAAAATTTGAAGTAAAAGACACAATGGTCAAAAACAATAAAATGAGTCATAAAATTGGACATATATTTATATATCTTTTATTGTTTAAAATTTTTTACTTCTATATCAATAATGCAACTAAAAATGTTTGAAATTTTTGCTTAAAAGTCGTAAAAAGTAGAAAATAATTCACAAAATAATAGCAGAAAATATAAAACAGGTAATCATATTGAGAAACGTTCGGTCAGAAAATAAAGTGGTAAAAATAAGTAATATAAAAATTATAAAACAAGAACTACAAATAAGTCGTAAAAGGGTCATAAAGAAGATTTCAAGTCGAAAAAAATTCTATAGTTTAAGGTAACACAGTTTCAAAATTACCATAAACTAGGGATCGTAGAATGATTTTTTTCCAATTTCAATATCGATTTATTCTTTTTTCGTCCAATTTCTGACCACACAAAAGTTATAAAGTCAAAAAATTGGTAAAAATGGTTAGAAAAAATCGTCTATATAGTATATTAACGTGGTCAGAAAATGTACATAAAGAAATTAATCCGTCAAGGAATATATAACAGACAATAAAATGATCATAAAATGGTCAGAAAATGAATTTATTAGTTACAACGAGAAATAGAAGATTTAAAGTAGTCACAAAATGGTCAGAAAATTTTCATATAGAGTTAAATGAGTTTGCAACGATACTAATAATAAAAAAAATCTCTGCTATATTATATCAAATTAAAAATTTTAAGAGTTGTACTAAAAGACACAAAGGTCATAAAACATGCATTAAAACAGGTCATAAAACGTCAATTTACTATGCATAAAATTATAATTACTTACAACCAGAAATAGAAGTTTTAAGGTAGTCTTAAAAAACCTTATAGTCATAAAAATAGGGACATAATAGAATGAAAAATTGTCCATAATACCTGATAAAATAGTCAGAAAATAGTCATTAGCAATGATATGAATAATAGACAGAAAAAAAACCCTGGATTTATCAAGTTAGAAATTATAAAAATTGATCTTAAAGAAACAAAGGTCAGAAAACAGGCATTAAAATAGGTCATAAATTAGGACATAACACGACCATTTTTTCTGACCATTTTTTGACTACCTTAAAATTTCTATTTCTCGTTGTAATTAATAATTTCATTTTCTGACCATTTTATTGTCTGTTATATATTCCTTGACAGATTAATTCCTTTATATAAATTTTCTGACCACGTTAATATACTATTTAGACGATTCTATGCACAAAATGATGATTAGTTGCAGCGATTAAATTAGAAATAATAAGAATTTAAACTAAAAGATACACAGTCGGAAAACAAGCAGTAAAATAGGTTATAAATTAGGTCATAAAACAACAATACTATAAATATATAATTATAATTAATTACAACGAAAAATATAAGTTTTAAGGTGGTCATAAAATAAAAACCTTACAGTCATAAAAATAGGGGACTTAAATGGAACATTGTCCATAATACTCTATTCAATATGGTCAGAAAATTCTCATAAAATGTTAAAAGAATTAGCAATGCTACGAATAATTAAATGGTCAGAAAAATCATCTCTGGAATTATCAAATTATAAGGAATTAAACTAAAAGACATGAAGATCACAAAGTAGGCAATAAAATAGATCACAAAATAGGTCATAAAAAGAGAATACTATGCACAAAAGGAGACAAAAAGAATATGAATAGAGATACAATAATATGTACAATAACGCGTGAGAATATGGTCAGAAAATAGAAATATGGTCGGAAAATCGTCAATATTTCCGTCAACGAAACGGTCAGAAAATTTTTTTAATATAGATATGTATACATTGTTTTAGAAAATACAAAATTGATCATATATAACTCATAATAGTCAAAAAAAAAAGAGATAAAAATGGTCCGAAAATAGTCAGAAAATAGAAATATGGTCGGAAAATCGCCAATATTTTTGTCAATGAAACAGTCAGAAATTTTTTTAATACAGATATGTACACATTGTCTTAGAAAATACAAAATTGATTACATATAACTCATATTTGTCAAAAAAAAAAAAAAAAAAATGAGTCAGAAATTTGTCAGAAAATGGTCAGAAAATTATTTATACAATTTTTCCTTTTTTTACTAGTATTTTGTACTTTAGTTTTGTTTCTTTGTTATTTTAAAGTAAATTTGTAAAAATCTTTTGACGATAGTACATAATATGATGAATCATTGAATCGAGTGGATTATGGTGGAACTGGAGAAAAACATTGGGAGGCACAATGGACCTAGAGTATTATATATATATAGGTATATATATATATAGAGGGCACCCAAGCAATTTGAACCATTTGTATACGTTCCTGGTTTGACTCGTGAGTATAGTTCGGTTAAATTTCTGTCAGTGTACTCGGTGGCAACGCAGTTCTACAGCTGATTTTGAAAGGCACAGAGAGGAGGCACGCCACACGGGCGATGTTTTACTAGTGATTGTTGTTTCATTTTTGTTTGATTAATTTTCATTGGTGCAAATGTACATTATTCCTTTGTTTCTTTATTATTTCAGATAATTTTTTTTTTTTGTTTTTAATTTTATTTTACAAATCTCTTGGTGTCATTGTCTTGGTTGTGTATAATCGCGAGTGAATATATATATTTTTTTTGTTTGTTATGTGAATACTTCATGGATACATGTGATATTTAACATATATATATAAATATGTTTATATATAGTATTCAATAAGTGAAAATTTCAAATTTGAAAAAAAAATCATACTTTAAATTCACCCTATTAAGGTAATTGATTAATTTTAAATTTTATTATTAGTTTTATTATTAAAATTACGTAAATTACAAATAAATAAATAATATTAATATTTTAATAATAATTATTATTATTACTATTATTATTATTATTATTATTGGTACTATCAATAATATTATCATATTTATTATTATTATTATTATCATTATTAATAATATTATTAAAATTATTTATTATTAATATTATTATTAAAAAGAAACATTAAATTGTTGAGTTGAAATGATACTGTTCTATAGGGTACAAAATACATAGAAGCAGAGTCATTTAATCAGAGGGCTAACTTTATTTTTAGAAAATGAGATCATGTTCAAAAATTTGACAATGTTTGAAAATGATTTTGGGGTTTTTTTTTATTTATTTATTCTTTTTTTTTTTTTTTAAAAAACTGCTTCTTTTTTTTTATTGATTTTTTTTGTTGTTATTATTTTAGAACTTGAGACTAAAATAAAAAATTGATAGAGAAAGATAACATTGACATTGTAATTATTTTTATAACAGTTTTGGATAATTTATGTACAAAAGTAAATTGTTTTTTAAAATAAATATTAAAGTTAACGAAAATTAAAATAAATTAATTAAAATAAATGAAAATATAAATAAATTTATAATGACATAATATGAAATGTATTAATTTAAAGATTTTGCATTTTATTAAAAAAAGGAAAAAAAAAAAAAAAAAATTTGTTTCAAAGTTATGGAAAATGTTTGTAAAATACGAGACATATTGTATAATAAGAGAAATTTCTTCATGATTCAATATTTATTTATCTTTTTTAAATTATTTTCATATCGATCGATTTTTTTTTTGTTTCTTTTAATGTATAGGTATTTATTTAATGATTGAAAACATAATATTAACATTCATTAGAAAACAAATGGAGAGGAAATTTTTTTTTCTATTTGAAAGTATTTTTTTCATCTGATTTAGGAAAAATACTGTATTATTTGCTAAAATGTTTTTTTTTCTTTTAATACGAAAATTTTTTTTTTATGAAGAAAAATTTTTACCTTGCTGCGTATATTTAAATATGTATTCTCAAAATTTTTAAATAATTTTTTTTGTATTTAAAAATTTTTAAATAATAAAATAAAAAAAAAATAATAATATTCATATATAAATTAAAATTAATTTGGTTTTTTAATTTAAAATAATATTTTTTCTATTTAATATTTTACCGATATAAATAAAAAAAAAAAAATTTTTAACTAGAGAATTTGTTATGCAAATGAAAACAAGTTTTTTTAGTATAATTTTTTTTTTAAATTCTGATTAAAATGAAAAACAAACAGAAAGTATTAGTTTTGAAAAATTGCAAATCTATAAAAAAAAATAATAAAATAAGAAAATAAAACTTAAGGGAACAAAAATTATTTTCATCTATTTTTTGTTATTTCTATTTTCTTCTAAAATTTTTATTTAAAAAAAAAATAATTTCACAATTTCGTTTTGAATGCGCAAATTTTTTTTTTCTTAATTAATTTTTTTTTTTTATATTTATATTATAAAAATTTTAATAGAAGAAGAAAATTTCTCTTATCCCGTAAACCGTTATTTTATATAGAATTATTACTAGTTTTAAAAAGTCAATATTTATGATTTAATTATAAACGGACATTAGACTAAAATATTTATTATTAAAATTTTGCATTATTAATTTGTAAAAAAAAAATAGCTTTCTATTGATTTATTGTTTCAATTTACGTAATAGTAAATAAATGAATATAAAAATAATAATAATAATAATAATAATAGTAATTAAAAATTAATTAATTAATTAATTAATAATAATAAATAAATACTAAATAAATAAATATTCAATAAATAAATTAATAATAATAAACAAATAGATAAAAATTATTTATTTAGAGCATAATTTACCTACTTTTTAAATTTAATTAATATTTAATTATATTAAAAATTATAACATATACAGCAAAAATTTTTTTTGATTATAGAATAAAATAGAAAAATTAAACATCAATCGTGTAATTTTTTTTTCTTAATCGAATCTTATAAAATAGAAACATGATTATTTTCTTAAAATTCAAGTATGTATAAAGATAAGAAAAAAAAAATCGAGATGAAGAGACGATATGTAAAAAAAAACTATTTCAAAATTATTCTTTGAAAATTGTTATCTATTATATTGATTTTAACTATACATATTTGATAGTGAAAATAAGTTCTCGGTATATTTGATGATTTATTTGTCAGAAAAGTGCATATTCCAAATGGAATTTTGCCAATCGATATTTCTTTTACGACCTATTTCAAGATAATTATACAAAATATAGTAACTATTATATAAAGGATACAGTTTTGAATGAAATTACTTTTTTTTTTCTTTTTGCCCAAAAAAAAAGTTCTATTTTAATTATCAATTTGTATTATTAATTAATAAATAATTAATTCTCATATTAACATTTAATTAATTTGTAAATTATATTATTTTCATTATTTATTTCTTTTAATTGTATTATTATTATTATTATTATTATTATTTTATTATTATTATAATAAATTATTCCATATACAAGTTTTAGTAGGTCTTTACATTGATTTTCAAATCCTTACATTCTATTATATGATTGTATAATATAATAATTATTTTTAAAATATTTGCAAAATTTTTAAAAAATTAAATAAAAATTATAAATTATAATTGATATTAATTTTTTTGTTATTTACATTTAAAAAAAAAAATCAAATATAATTACAGATTGGGAGTTGTGCGCGCGCGATTTTAATGTGGAATTATTGTGCCACAAATTCGAGATCAATAAAAGAAGAGAGGAATTTTTTAATATTTGCAAATTTTTATATATAATAACCCTTTTTGGTGCTGAAACTAATGACACACGGGCCAAGAGACTTAAGTAGCGTGATCCACGTTTTGTCAGACGAGATCGAAATTTTTCTGCCCTTCACAGTGGTATGACTGCGGCCTTCTCGAACACCTTTGTTCGTTCGTTCGAAGTGAGGTGAGTTCAAATTGAATTTTTTTCTTTTTTGTTTTTGTTTGAATTTAAAATTTTATTTTTCCTTAACTTATTTTAAAAGTTTTTTTTTTTCATTTTTTTTTTACTATAATTATAGAAATTATAATAGAAATAATAATAATAATAAATTAGAAAAATTATAGAAAAGGGACCTAAATGACTAAAAATTTTTAGGTTATGTTTAGTTATAGTTTTACATTGTTTAAACATTTATCTTTAATTATTTAAAATAGTAAATAATAATTTATATTTTGTAAATATAAATTTATAAATTAATTACAAATAATAATATAAATTAGTTAATTAATTATTATTATAATATATAATTTTTTATTATTAATTAACATAGAATACTGTTATAAATTTGATATAAAAATAAATATTAAAACGGAATTAGTATCAATGTACTTTTTCAAGGATATATATTAATTCTTGTCCTTTGTCCTTAATGTGACAAATGGGATGGACTTATTAAGTATTGAAAGAAAATGATACAGGAAATCCATTTATTCAACATTCATGGAAACTCAGAACATAGAGACAAAAAAAAAAAAAGAGAGAGATATATTGTTGAAGGTATTACAATTGACTCCAATTGTTTTAATACCATTTATTTTATTTCCGGTCCCGTTTCACATTGTTACGTTTATTTACAAAACTTTTTTTTTAACTTCTTTTTTTTGCAATTTCTTTATTCTAGAATATTTTCTTCAATATTTCATAAAAAAAAAAAAATATTTTTTCATTAATAATTGAATAAATTGCCAATAAAAATTATTTTTGATTTTGAAAAAAAAATGTTAAAAATTATAATTACATTTTTATTTAGAAATAAAAAAAAAGTAATTATAAAATGTTCTATTCATTAAATAAAGAATCACGATTTTATAATTAAAAATACAAAAAAAAAATGGTTTTAACAAAAAAAACAATAAAATTGTTTTTTATTGAATTATTTAATATTATTTAAGATTAATTTGTTTTTTTTTCAATTTTGAAATAAAACTTTTTTCTATATGCGCAGAAAATATGTTGCAATTTAAATGAATTTGCATAGAAAAAAATTAAAAGAAAAAAAAAATGTCAAGATGCGTTACAAAAAAATGAATTATAAAAATCCAATTATATGTGAATGTTTTATAAAATATTATTCGCAATTATCATTGATTATAAATTAATTTGTATATAAATCAAATACAAATGCGTCACATGTGACATATGTTTTTGCAAGCCAGGTCACAGTTTATATAGATTGATACACGTACTCCTAATATTCTCTAAAATTAGATGAATCTCATATACCTATACTCTAAACAATAGAGTGCAGATAATGACAAATGAGGGACGATTTATTTAATTCTATTTTCACTTTCGCCAATTCTAATTTTCACATTTACTTTCACTTCCATTAAAATAAATCAAATTTCTAAAAAAAAAAAGTCCGAATTACCAAAAGATTATATATTCAAAAGTTCGAATTACGAAAAAATATCGAATTTTAAAAAATCCGAATTATTCAAAAATTGAATTTTTAAAATATCGTTCTTTTGGTAATTTGATTTTTTTCAAGATTCAATTTTTCCATAATAAGATCCAAATATTAAATGTTCGAATTACCAAAAGAACGAATTTTTGAAAGTACGAATTACCAAAAGATGTAGAATTTTTAATAATTCGAATTTCTAAAAGTTCGATTTACCAAAAGACAAATTTTAAAAAGTTCGAATTTTTAAAAACCTGAATTTTTAAAACCTCGAATGTTTTTAAATTTCTAATTATACTGTAAGATCGATTTTGTTAAAAGTTCGAATTACCAACAGATAAAGTTTTTAATAGTTCGACTTTTTTAAAAGTTCGTAATATGAAAAGAAAATTTTTTAAAAGTTTGAATTTCCAAAAAGCCGAATGTTTAAAAAGTCGAATTTTTTAAATTTCGAATTACTATCAAATCGAATTGTTTAATGTTCTAATTACCAAAAAAAAAAATCGAATTTCTAAAAGTTCAAATTATTAAAAGATCAAATTTCTAAAAATCCAAATTATTAAAAAATCACATTTCTAAAAATGTCCAAAATTACAAAAAGAAGGAATTTTTAAAAGTTCTAATAACCAAAATATCGAATTTTTAAAAGTTTCTATTTGTTGATAATTTGAAAATTTTAAATATTCGAATTTTTGGTGATTCGAAATTTTAGAAATAGATTTGTTAATAATTTGACCTTTTAACAAAATTTTCTTCTGTTCAATTATTTAACAAATTTTGAACTAAAATGATTCTTCACTAAATTAATTATTTTTAATAATTTTAATGAAGTACATCACAAATTCAATTTTATCAAAATTATTTTTCAATTAAAATTTGTATGAAATTTAACAATTGTTTATAATTAAAAAAAAAATATCACAATAAAATTGAATTATTTTTCAAAAATTTCAATTCAAAATAAACTAAAATTCAATTATTACCCGAAATTTTAATTCAAAATCCAATAATTATCCAAAATTTTCAATTTAAAATTTAATTATTTACCAAGTTTTCAATTTAAGATGAAATAGAATTCAATTATTTTATAAAATTTCTATTCAAAATTAATTATCCAAATTTTGAATCAAAAATGAACTTAAATTAAATTATTATCCAAAATTTCAATTAAAATTTAATTATTTCCCAAAATTTTCAATTCAAAATGAACTGAAATTCAATTATTTTCCAAATTTAAAATCAAATAAAATTTCATTATTCTCAAAAATTTGAATTCAAAATTAATTGAATTTTCAATAATTTGAATTTAAAAGCATCTAAAATTTAATTATTTCTAAAATTTTCCATCGAAAATTTTTTTTTTGAAATTTTATAATTTCAAGAAAATTCAATTATTTTTAACTATTTTAATAATATTCTTTGAAAATTCAACTATCTAAAACCATTTTTCAATTAAAAATGATTTTCAAATTATTGTATTTTGTCCGCATTTTCTAATAAATTTTTAGTGAAATCATCTAAAATTTTAATTACAAAACACTTAAAGTTTCAATTAATTTCAAAAATCTCAATTTTAAATCTTTGAAAATTCAATTACATTTAAAAAATGTTTTCCAAAAACTGTTTGATAAATTATTTTTAGTTCTGTAAAATTTAATAATTGTTTGAAAATTAACAATATCTTTTGAAATTTAATTATTTCTAAAAATTTTAACTTTAACCCTTCGAAAAGGATTATTATTAAAAAAAAATTTTTTATTTAAAAATCTGTAAAATATTTTTGTTAAAATAAAAAACAAATCCACTTTTTTTTGGAATATAAATCGACTAAAATGACTTTTTGTGTCTTTAAGTTGATTCGAGGCCTGTGTTTTTATAATTAATATTTAATTGGTATTCGTTGGCCCCTGGTACCTTAAAAATTAATTTTTAAAAATAAATTTTTTTCAAATTACTATCTTGTACGAAATTTCCTGGTGCATCTTTTTTCTCATCATAAATTTTTTGTATTTGTATACAATTTTTGAATCAATAAACAACTTTAAAAAAATTTTCGTTGGTAAACTTTGTGTACTTCAGCTTCGTGAATTGAATTTTCGAATTTGGAATTTTAAAGAAACTTATTCCGAAATTTGGAAACACAATTATACAACTTTGGCAAAAATGAGAAAAAGAATTGTCAAAATTTGACACGTCGTTTATTAACAAATTCGATTACAAATTATGTAAGAAACACAATGAATATTAACAAAAAGAACTGAGTGATTTGCAATTGTGTCATATTAAAGTCCAAAAAAAATGGATTAAAAGTAAGATCTATTTTTATATACAAAATCAGTCTTTTCAGGTTATAAACGAATTGCAGAATGTGCCTCTTACCCGCTTCGTTGTCTTTGACAAAGATATTTTTGACTAAGTAACCAAAACGAAAATTAAAGTGTAAGCGTTTGAATAACACTAATTTGTTGTTATTAATTTCTAATCGATTGAACTATAATTGAAATAAACATAAACTATTTTCATGTTAATACTGATGCGCCATGTTGATTTTCTGATACCAGCTGATCAACACAGTCAAGGCAGGGCTGAGCTATCTTGGTGCGTAAGCTTTGAAATAGTTATTCTTTACCAAATGTAGATGGCATTATATGCTAATGTTCTCTTTCCTGAATTATGAAAAGAAATGAGATTATAAAAAGAAGAAAAATACAAATTGCATTGCGATTAATCGAGAACCAGAAGTCAGTATAGAAAAATGCAAAAAAATTTTATTATATTGAAAAAATTGATATTTTTGTTAACTAATTTTCAAATAAATGATTGAAGTGAATGCGTGACATAATTGCAATTAAAACATTTAAAAAAAAATTGAGCCTTACAAAAATTTGAGGACAGCAAGTCGAGGCCCTAAGAAGCTGCTTATTTTGCATGCATATAAATCCGTCACTGAACTTCTACTAATTTCTAATTAGTGGAAGTGAAAGTTAAAGTGAAAGTGAAAATTAGAATTATAGTGAAAATCAAAACTAAACTATGTACAAGTTTTAGCCCGATATAAAAAAATTCTTTTGGATCACTTGAGAAATTTTACCCCATATTTATGGGGCAATATGATATATTCGTTGCCTTGTTTTAATTTTTATTCATTATTACACAGAAATCAAAAACATTTTTATTGCTACTAGATTTTTTCACTTTTTGAATTGCAAAAAAAAAAAAAAAAAAAGTTTAAATAAAATGAAAAAGCATCTGACACAAATAGTGAATAGAAATAAACAGTTAGTATTACGTTACTATTTTTTGTTCGCTCTAAAGTTCGAGGTAATTGTTAAGCGAGCACAAATGTATGATTGCTTGATTGCAGAATCATTTTATGTCATACATACACATACCCTTATATGCTCTTCAATCTCTCAATGGTAAATATACTTTCACCATTTAGTTTGCATTGTTAATTTTAACTTTTTATAAACTAATTATACAAATGTTTAGGTAAATTTACTGAAAATTAAAAAAAAAAATTCCTTTTTTTTTTTAATTTTCATATTAATTTACATTTATTTAAATTAAATTATAAATATTCACTAATATTTTACTTATATTTTTATTATTTATTTATTAAGACAGTTTAAACATTTGACATAACCTCAAACTAATAATTTATTTAATATTTTATTTTTGCTTTATTATTTACTTATTAAGACAGTACAATAACCTCAAACTAAAAATTGGTTTTATCTCCAAATAAAAGTATAATTTAAATTAGTTTTGCTAAATTTTGAAACATTCAATATTGTCGAAAAAAATTAATTTGTACCAAAATTTGTTGTCAAATAATAATTGTTTAAAATTTTTGTTTATTTTTTGTTTAAACTTAGTGGACAATTGTAATATACATTCAATGTAAATGCTCAAATTTTAATTATAGTTTTAATTTTTTTCTTAAAAACAACTTTTTAGTTTTGAGGTTTAATGTCAAATGGTATTGAACCTCCTCAAAGTATCAAACATTAAAATAACCAATAATTATCAATATGAATATAAATTTTCTTTGTTAAAAAAAAATAATTTTTAATATTTTATACAAAATTTTTAATTTTCTGCTAAAAAGCATTTCCGTATTAAAAATTACAGCATCTTTGATTTTGTAAATTTAATTTTTGAAAAACAATTTCTGTTTATAGAAGAAAAATAAAATTATATAAAATCGAAAATGAATATTAGAATTCCAAGAATATTGACATTTTTTTCTACTTTGTATTTAAAATATTCAACAACGTGAGAGATATGTGACTTCATTTACATCAGATCTTACTATTACACAATATATATATATAGTGTCTAATAAATATTTCACGATCAAGAGACATTATTCTACCATTTCATTAGAAATTCTAATTATATTCATTGTTTTGGAGATTGAACTTTGTTTTAAATCACAGAAATTTTTTTTATCTGTCTTAATATAGTCTATATAGTCGAATTATTTATAAGCAATGGTAACAGAGAAAAAAAAAATTTTAAACTAAATTTTAAAAATTAATTTTTATCTACTTTTTTTTAAACTAAATTTTAAAAATTAATTTTTATCTAATTTTTTTAAACTAAATTTTAAAAATTAATTTTTTTCTCCTTTTTTTTACTTAAATGGGATCTAAAAAAATGAGGTATTATTGCTTGGAAAAACTACTTTTTCTGTTTAAAATAAAAATGTTTTCTTGAATGAAACATATTTTTTATTTATTGCAAAAAAACTTAACTGGAAAAACTACTTTTTATGAACAAAATGTAAATATTTCCATGACGAGCAATAACGTCCACTTAAAAATGTTGATTAAACAAGGTAATTTTACATATACCTACATCAAAAAAAAAAAATTATACGTGACAAAAAAGTAATTTCTTTTAGTTAAAATAATGAATACTTATAGTAAAAAAAAAACTTTATTTACTTGGAAAATGTTATTTTCACAGTATAATTATTTTTTAAACGAATTTTCATTTTTCGAATTAGCATTTTATATAGAATTTTTTTTAAACGAATCTTTAGGTACCAAATTTTTTAGATACCAAAATTATAAATTAGCCAAAATTTTTATTTTACCAAATTTCTATTTACTAACGTTTTAATTTAAAAAAATTTCAATTTAAAAAATTCGAAATTAACCGAATATTTATTTTAGCAAAATTCCCATTCAAAGAAATGAAATTCAAATTTTTTATATGCAAAAATTTCCAATTCACCGAATTTTCATTTATTCAAATTTTTTTTATTTACACGAGTTTTTACTTGTTAGCATTTTTAAAAAGCCGAATATCAATTCGTCCAAAATGGAAAAAATTGAAATGCGGCTAAAGAATTATAACCTACAAAAAAATAATTTCGGCGCGAATTTTAAAATTAACCAATCACAATTTTCTTCATAATTTCTGATTGATTAATTTTAAAATTCGCGGTGAAAATGTTTTTTAGGTTATATTTCTTTGGACACTTTGCAATTTCGGACAAAAGGAAAATTTGGTGTTTTAGAAATTATACCAAATATAAAAATTAGTGTAAATAAAAATTCGGCCAAATAAAGATTCGGTGAATTGAAAATTTTGACATTTAAAAATTCGAATTACAATTTATAATAATTATTATTAATAATGTTATTTATTAATATAAATTTTCTTTAAAAAAAAAAAATAATTTATAATATGTTATAAATAATAAATTTAATTTAATATATAATTTAAAATTTATAAAAATCAATTTTATTTATTATTATTATTTTTATTATTATTATTATTATTATTATTATTATTATTATAATTAATATTATTGTTATTAATATTCTTATTATTATTCTTATTATTATTATTATTATTATTATTATTATTTTTTATAATTGTGTTTATTTAAAAAAGATTTTAATTAATCTTTTTTTTGCAATTAACAAATTTTAATTAATTTCAGAATTGGAATCAGCATAAAATGGCAGATTTGAAGAATCTGACACATGGGTCAGGCGGTGGAACTAAATTTCTTGGTTTTGATCAAGTACAATTTATTGCCAGTGCCAGTAATCAAGGAGACAATCAAATTGCAATTAGATCTCCACCGCCAACGTTACATCTAGAGAATCTTAATAATGCAATGCACGGGTAATTATCATAAAAAATTTACAACTTTAAATTAGTGAACATATTGTTTTCATTATACGAGAAAATGAAAATTTTTTAAAACCAATTTTTTTTTATTAAATTGCAAAATTTATTATTATCATTTCTTAATATTACTATTATTTACAAATATTATTGATTATTTATAAACTTAAAAAAATTGATTTAAAAAATTTATTAAATAATTATAAATTAAAGAATTATTTGTCTATACAAAAAAAAAAAAAAAATTTCATTCAAACTGTATATTATAAATTTTCTCAAGAATGTTTTATAGTAATAGAAATAAATTATATTTCTTCTAAATTGAGGACAATCTACATTGAAACTTAAAATCTAAGTGAAATCAATTTAGTCATGTAACTACAATGATTGTCTGAAATTGAAGGGAATCAAAAGAATCACGAAGGTGTATTATTAATGATAATCAGAAGTTAATTTAAATTTATTGTTTCGATTAATTAATGTGACTGTGGGCTTGTGAACATTGTTGTTTTTTTTTCCTCACGAATATGAAAGTGTCAATATGTCGCATTAAAGATTTAAAAAGATGAGAGTCAAAAAATATTCTTTCTTTAAATTGACACACATTTCTTACAGAAGAAAAAAAACTTAATTGCATAATTACAAAAATTAATTAAACAAAAACTATAACTTGAATTTAATTATAAAAACAAATTTTATATATAAATTTTTGCAAAAAAAAATATTCATAATTTTTTTTTTTTTTTTAAATAATTTATTTAATAAATTTAAAAATAATTCTAGTGAGTAAAAAATTTTACTTTTACTAAAAAAATTACAAATTACCCAAGTTTGAGTGCAATTGGAGATAAAAATTTTTTTTTTCACCTTGATCACTTCATTTGAAATTCCCCATATGGGGCAAAATTTCTCAAGTGATCCAAATATAAAAAATGTGAACAGTGGATTCTTTGAAAAGTCGTAACTATTTTAAAATTAAGTTTTAAAAAAATATAATTATAAAAAACTAAAAATTATAATTATAATATTTTTATAACCCTTATATGATTTTTGTTAATTTAACATTTTTTTTAAGTTTTTAAACACAAAAATGTCCTTTTTTGTTTTCAAGATTTTATAGTTGACAAATAAAAAAATTAATTAAATAAAAATTATTTAAATATAAAATATTTTTTACAAAGAAATAAAATTAGCGTACTCACCCTTAGGGTTAAACTGTGTGCAAGTAGCAGCTTGATCTAAAAACAAAAAAAAAAATATATATATATAATTTGTATACATATATATATATTCTATCGAATGTACTTATTGTTCGACCAGAAAATTCTATTCATCTTCCCAGAGGATTAGTTTACACTTCACTTGTACAGATTATGCCTTCATATTAGTTTCCAAAAAAAAAAAAAGAAAAAAAAAGTGAACGAGGCATATTTCAAGTGACTTTGAATTGTCAAGGACATAAACGATTTTTCTACGATATATAATAGAAAAGAAAGTGTCGACACGCGCCGTTTAAAAAAAAAAAAACTAGAGATAATTTTTTTGAAGGAAACATTTTTTAAAAAAATAAATAGAAATTTTCCGCAAAAAAAAAAAATGATCGGAAAAAATAACTAACAGAAAGATTTTTATGGTGAATTCAAAAATTTACCAAACGAAATTTTCTCGATAATTTTTGATTGGACAATTTTAAAAATAGCGCCAAAATATTTCTGTTGATTGTTTTTCGGACATTTTCAAATTTCGGTCAAATGAAAATTCGCCATTTACAATATAATTATGAGCTCTAATTTCAAAATAAAAATTTTAATTCAAAAATAAGAAACTATTTTCTGCGAGTGACATTAGGAAATTTTTTTTTTTTTTTTAAACACAGAACAAAAGAAAGATAATTAAAAATTCATTATAAATAGTATAAAATAATACTAATTATACTTTAATTGATAAAAATATATTTATAAATAAAAAAAGAATATAATCTATTAAATAATAATTTTAAAAATTGATAAATCATAATGCGTATAATTGTTAAGTGGTTGTTGGTAAGTTAAGTGGTTGTTAAGTAAAATTTAGAACCCATTTATATTGTTATTTCTATTTGAGAACACTTTTTATAAAATGTTTGTAGTCAGTGATAGAATTTTAATTGATATTCCAGAACTGTAGATAAATCTTTTAAGTGTGACATATATATATATATATATATTATCAATATAATAATTAAATATAATGATATATTTATATATATATATATAATTTAACTGTTTGGTACATGGAAATTATCTATCAGAAGAATCATAATGATAAAAATTATTTCGTATATAAGGCAAAACATTTTACTATTGCTGTTATAACGATAAAATTTGTGAAAATTGATAAATTTTTATCATGTGTCATTCATTTAAAAATGTTACTATTTTCATCTTTTTTATATAAATATCAATGTAAAAGATAAGTGAATATTAAAAATGTCTCTCAATGATTGAATTCCCAATTATTGCAAATTAATGTATTGCTCGTATTTCAACCAATAATAATGATAGTTGTAACTTATAGTAGTTACAACCAATAGTAATTATGGTAATTGTAACTTAGGGTCACTACAACTACCATAAGTTTTAACTACAATTCTTACTAATGTTTTTAACTATTATTATTTAAAACTATACTCTAGGTTTATGGTAGTTGTAACTTATAATAGTTACAACCAATAATACTTATGATAGTTGTAATTTATGGTAACCACAAGTCCCATAATTTCTAACTATCATAAGTACTATTGGATGTAACTACTATAAGTTACAACTACCATAAACCTATGGTATAGTTGTAACTTATAGTAGTTGCAACCAAAAGTAATAATTGTAGTCGAAACTTATGATAGTTATAACAGTGGTTATAGTTGTGGTTACCCTAAGTTACAATCACTATAAGTACTATTGGTTGTATATACTATAAGTTACAACTACCATAAGTACTATTTGTTGTAACTACTATAAGTTACAACTACCATAAACCTATGGTATAGTTGTAACTTATAGTAGTTGCAACCAAAAGTAATAATTGTAGTCGAAACTTATGATATTTTTAACAGTGGTTATGGTTGTGGTTACCCTAAGTTACAATTACTATAAGTACTATTGGTTGTAACTACTATAATTTACAACTATTATAAGTACTATTGGATGTAACTACTATGAATTACAACTACAATTACTACTAATGGTTGTAACTACTATAAGTTACAACTATATACCATAGGTTTATGGTAGTTGTAACTTGTAGTAGTTTCACCCAATAGTAATTATTATAGTTGTAAATTACAGTAGTTACAATCAATAGTTCTTATGGTAGTTGTAACTTATCGTACTAGTTATTCAGAAATACTTATATAGTAGTTAAAATCAATAGTGCTAATGGTAGTTGTAACTTATAATAGTTATATCCAATAGTACTTATAGTAGTTAGAACTTATGGTAGTTGTAACTTATGGTAGTTGTAACTTATAGTAGATTTAACCTATAGTAGCTGTAATAGTATCTAATAATAGTAATAGCTGTAATAGTAATAGCTCCAATAGTACTTATGGTAGTTAAAAGTTAATATAGTTGTTATCTACGGTAGTTAAAGTAATAATATACTTAAAGTACATCTAACTTAATAGCACTAATGGTATTTTCAACCTATGGTAGTTGTAACTAACGGTAAATAAAATAAATACTAGTTATGGTAGTTCTAAATTCTGATAGCGTAAACCAATATTACTTATGGTCGTTATAAATTATGGTAGTAACAATCAGTATTACTTTTGGTAGTTCTAATTAAAAGTAATTATGGTAGTTATAACCTTTAATGTTATACCAGATAATAATACCAATTGTACTAGTGGTAGTGATATTGAATAGTACTTATGGTACCTACAACGAATACTATTTATGGTAGTTATGACTTATAGTATATACAACCAATAGTACTTATGGTGTTTGTAACTTACAGTAGTTAAAACCAATAGTACTAATTGTAGTTAAAACTTATGGTAGTTATATTCAGTAGTACTTATGGTTGTTGTAACTAATGGTAGTTCAAATCAATAGTAATAATGGTAGTTGAAACCAATAGTAATAGTTTGTTGTGACTTACAGTAGTTACAAACAGTAGTACTTGTACTTATAATAGTAGTTGTAACTTATGGTAATTTCAACCAATAATTTTAACTTATAATATTACAAAAAATAGTAATTATAACTAATGGTAATTACAACCATAAGCGATACTAAATTACTAAATCACAACAATAGTAGTTGTGATTATTGTTAGTTGTAATAATTAGTGGTTTTAATAACTAGTAGCTATGATTATTGGTAGTTGTAGTTAATGATAGCTATGATTATTGGTAGTTGTAATTAATGGTAGGTGGAATTTAAGGGTAGTTGTAATTATTGGTGGTTGAAATTTATGGATAGTTGTAATTATTGGTCGTTGTAATTACAGGTAGCTATGATTATATGTAGTTGTAATTACACTGGTAGCTACAATTATTGGTAGCTACAATTATTGTTAGTTGTAGCTAATGGTAGTTATGATTATTGGTAATTTTAATTATTGGCAGATGGAATTTATTAGTAGTTGGAATTTATTGGTAGTTGTACTTATTGGTAGTTGTAATTGCAGGTAGTTCTGATTATTGGTAGTTGTAATTAGTGGTAGGTGTGATTATTGGTAGTTGTAATTATATGTAATATGTATGTAATATATGTAGTAATTATTGGTAGTTATAATTACTGGTACCTACAATTATTGGTATTTTTAATTATTGTTAGTTGTAGCTAATGGTAGTTATGATTATTGGTAGTTTTAATTATTGTTAGTTGTAGCTAATGGTAGTTATGATTATTGGTAATTTTAATTATTGACAGATGGAATTTATTAGTAGTTGAAATTTATTGGTAGTTGTACTTATTGGTAGTTGTAATTGCTGGTAGTTATGATTATTGGTAGTTGTAATTACTGGTAGGTGTGATTATTGGTAGTTGTAATTATATGTAATTTGTCTGTAATATATGTTGTAATTTTTGGTAATTGTAATTGCAGGTAGCTATGATTATTGGTAATTTTAATTATTGGTAGTTGGAATTTATGGGTACACTGAAAAAATTATATTCTAGATTTAAGAATTTCTTTTTAAATAGGCGCAAAGAATATTTCCCATTTATAGTAAGTGAAAAATATTCTTTACAATAAGTAATATACATAATATATTCTTATTGTAAGAATATTTCCCACTTACTTTAAGTGGGCAATATATTCTTGGGCGCCTATTTAAGAAGAAATTCTTAAATCTAGAATATAATTTTTTCAGTGTAGTCATAATTCATGTTAGTATTAATGTTATTTATAATTAATGATACTTATAAACAATAATAATTGCGTACCTAACGATTTTTGTAACTATAATAGATAGTTGTTTAGAGTAAATATAATACTTTTTTTATCACCGATAATAACCATAACAATGCTAATGTCAATATAAATGATTGATATTTAATATTTTGAAAATTGTTTGAATAAATAAAAAAATTTTTCTATCACTTTATATCTAATTGATTTAGCAAATAATGTTCTCTATGGGAAATGAATTTTCGTTTAAAGCTGAGAGATGAATCAAGAATGTCTATTAAGTAGATCAAAAGACTTCTTCCAAATGAAAAGACTGTTGATACATTCTATTTTCATGCAACGAGAGCCACGTAAGGAGTTTCTCATGCATAAATAATCGATTGATTCAAGGTTTCTAAAAAAAACAACCTTTTAAGAATCCTCAATATTTCACATAAATAGCCAAATAATCAGATAAAATATGAAGATTTCATTATGTTAAATAAAAATTGACAGTATGGAGGGGGAGAGGGGAAATAAAAATGAAAACTAATAAATTTATTGTTTTTCAAATTTAATATTTAATTTATATATTATAATCTGCATCATACAGCGAGCGTAAACAAAGTATATGTATTGAAAAAAAAATTTATTTAATTCAAATAATCGATTACTTGACTATTATCAAAATAAATATTTAATTGAATGAAATAATTTTCATTTGAATTAAATAAACTGTATTTGTATTAATAATTTCTGTATTTAAAACAAATACCATTTAATTGATTTTAAATAAAAATTATTTGTTTCAAGTAAAAATTTATTTGATAATAATCAAGTAAATAATTATTTGAATGAAATAAATTTTTTTTTCAGTTATATAATATCAACAAAACTTTTGGCGAAGAAAATTTTTGTTGTCTCAATTAAAATTTAAATATTTTTTTTTATTTTTATTTTTTTTTAGTTTCTGATTACTATATATACAAATTATCATATTCTTGACAAAATATTCATATCTGATTATATCTAATGATATTTATAATAATAATAATAATAATAATAATAATAATATTTTTGTAAGGTTAAAGATAATAGTTATTATATATTTTCTTATAAAATGTTTTATCATTATTCTTCTGGCATAACGTAACTTGAATTTTAATGATGGATAAAAAGATTACTTTAATATTTCAGATTGCCTTTAAGGCCATAGCCTTTATAAGCCACTGATATTTTTCAATTTCTTATATGGAGTTTCAGTATCTATTTTATATAGACTACAGAAACATTTCCAGTTTTTCTCTTATTATTTTCATGAAAAAAAAAAATTTTTTTTTGTTCCCTACTTTTACCTTATAACAAAAAAGAAAAAAAATAAAAAAAAAATTTTTTTTTCTTTTTTCATTTACTTCAAACAAGATTGAAACTAGTTATGTAAATTTTGTCAAATGCTTTTATTATTCTAAAAAAATATAAAGGAACAGAAAATTAATTATTTTTCTAACAAATAAATTTTTTTTCCTCAAAAATTTCTTTTTAAATTCCATTTATTTTTACTCTTAAAATAGAAATATATTGTAAATAGTTAATAAAAATATTCTAAATTTGAGAATATATTCTCAATAGTGAGAATGTACAATAAAATTTATAAAAAAAAAAAATATTTTCCAAATCGTAAAAATATAGGTTCTAAATTTTTAAAAGAAAATATTTTAAATTTAACAATATACAAAGTATTTTTATTCGAATTTTGAAAAATATTTGTTCATAAAATATTTCCGCATATTTTGTTTTTCTTTTTTTGTTATAAATGTACTTTAAAAATCGTCAAAAAAAACCTTCAATTATTATTTATACTGCAAGTTTCATTGTTATCGAAACATTTGAAAATCATATACATTTAACGAGCTTTATTTGAAAACTATAAAATATAATAGGAAATGAATTGTAAACGTTTACATGAAATATTTCCGTTTCATGTCAAGATGAAAACATATTGTTATATATGAAAAAAGAATTTTGCAAATTAAATTCTGAAAATACGAGATACAATTTTTTTTTTATTAAAAAAAATATAATCAAAAAGGAATTTAAAAATTAAACAAAAATGAAAAATAAATGAAAAATAAATGTAAAATAAATGTAAAATAAATGAAAAAATAAATAAAACTTAAATGAAACATAAATAAAAAATAAATAACAAATAAATAAAAAAATCAATAAAAAAAGAAAAAATAAATAAATAAGTAATTCAATTAATCATAAAAAATAAAATATTTAGCCATAAATGCGTGAATACATTTTTAGATAGACAATATTTTTGCTGTATTGAATTTTAAAAAATAAAAATTTACTTTTCTTCGTTTATATGAAAACTTTTTTTTTATTAATTGTAAAAAATTAAAAAAAAAAAAAAATTAATATCAGCATGATTCACAAAAATAATGATAAAATTCTCATGTCTTTGATTCTTTCTCTATTGACTCACGTTGTAAGGACAAAGAGATGATTTCTCAACCTATAAAGGAATAAGAAATGAAATTGCTTTGAAAGGATTTTCCGAAGGTTGCCACTTACAACGCATATATAAAATTATTACTATAGAATATTGTGTTTTTAAATGATTTTAAACTGCCATTAGATTGTTAATAAAATAATCTTATGAAAATAAATTAATATACATACCTATATACATATATAGAAAGTAAAGAAAAAACTACTTAAATGGTTCAGAAACTAGCTAACGAGGTAATTCAATATTTTATAAAACACAATAATAAATTCATTTATTATTGCTGTGATAAAATTAATAATAATAGACCATTTTCTTATTATTATAATTTCTAATTTTTAATTAATTTATTTATTTTTATTATTTTATTTATAACATAAAAAATTTGATTTCTTCTAATAATGAGAGTACTCAATATTTGAGTATTTTTCTTATCTTTATTCATCTTTCTCTTATAAAGGTGGATGAAAATAGAAACTTTTATATAAAATTCAATCAACAATTGATGACGTCAATAGGATAAATATTATTTAATAGATTCATAACGAAAAGAAGCGTGAGAATTTCGAATATATAGATATGTTAAGGAACCCAATTAAAATGTAAAAATATCTTGACCATCGATCATGACGTGCAACCCTTTTTGTAAATACATATATAGAAATATTTCTGTACAGAAATTCAATCAATATAATCGCTTCTTAAATTCACGAATAGTAAATATACGATTCAATTTTTTTTTTTACATTTTAATTATACTTTCTATTTTTATTTACAAAAAAAAAATTATAATTAAATAATAATAATAATTATTATGTTCGTTCATTATTATGTTTATTAGTTACCTATAGTTAATACACTCTTTGTAATTTTTCTTTAAAAAAAAAAAATAATAATAATAATAAATAATTTATTACTAGTAAAAATGTACAAAATCTGCAATGCCTGTATAATTCGGATAGAAAATATTTGGCTAACATATCTATCTCTTGTAAATTACGTCTGAAAATGATTCAACTAAAATTGAACATAAGCCAAGATTTTTTTCATTCTTTCGATAAATTGAAAAATTCTCAAAAGTACTTTTCATTCATATTATAATAGTAATTTACTAAGTAACCGCTTCTATAGTAACAGATACTATAGTAGCGGTTACTAAAGTAATCGTTGCCATAGTAACTGCTACTATGGTAACTAATATTATAATAACCGATATTATAGTAATTGATACTATTCAGTAACCGTTTTTATGGTATCCGTTACTATACAGAAACCGCTAATATGGTAATCGTTACTATGCAGTATCTACAACTACGGTAACCGCTACTATACAGTAACCGCCACAATGGTAACAGATACTATATAGTAACCACTAATATGGTAACCGCTGCTATAGTAACCGATACTATTCAGTAACCGTTACTATACAGCAACCGCTGACATGGTAATCATTACTATGCAGTATCCACTACTACAGTAACCGCCACAATGGTAACAGATACTATTCAGTAACCGTTTTTATGGTAACCGTTACTATACAGTAACCACTGACATGGTAATCGTTACTATGCAGTATCCACTACTATGGTAACCGCTATTATACGGTAACCGCCACAATGGTAACAGATACTATATAGTAACCACTAATATGGTAACCACTAATATGGTAACCACTAATATGGTAACCGCTACTATAGTAACCGATACTATTCAGTAACCGTTACTATACAGTAACCGCTAACATGGTAATCGTTACTATGCGGTATCCACTACTACAGTAACCGCCACAATGGTAAGAGATACTATATAGTAACCACTAATATGGTAACCGCTACTATAGTAACCGATACTATTCAGTAACCGTTACTATACAGCAACCGCTGACATGGTAACCGCTACTATACAGTAACTGCCACAATGGTAACAGTTACTATATAGTAACCACTAATATGGTAACCACTAATATGGTAACCGCTACTATAGTAACCGATACTATGCAGTAGCCGTTACTATACAGAAATCGCTACTATGGTAACCGATACTATACAGCAACCGTTACTATGGTAACCTCTACTAATAACCGTTGCCATAATAACCACTACTATGCTGCCGCGTTAAACAAAAACTTACGTAAGTGATATTGTCGGTTAGGCTGACTTTGGTGCATTTTATACTATTGAAATACCGACTTACACAACAATGTCACTTACGTAAGTTTTTGTTTAATACGGCAGTAAGGTAACCTTTATTATAATAACCGCTACTATGGTAACTGATATTATAAATAACCGTTGTCATAGTAACTATTATACTATACAATAACCGTTGTTATGGTAGCCGATACTATAAAGTAACTATTGTTATGATAACCGATACTATCAGTAACCGTTGTTCTGGTAACCGATACTATATTGTAACTGACAATAGATTGTACTGGATTATAACCAGTACTAGATTGTAACCGGTACTAGATTGTAACCGTTGCCAGAGTAACCGTTACTGTACAGTAACCGTTTCCATGTTAGACGATCTACATTGTACGACAAACAGACAGACGGACACAAACAAAACCCCTAAAAGTTGAATAATATTTTTTTTTTTAAAATAAGAATTAGCAATTTAAAAAAATTAGTAATTATTTTAAAAAATATTCTAAAAATTATAAAAAATTAATATTTTGTAATTGTTACAGGGGTTCACAAAATAATTTACACGTGTCCTGTAATGGTGCTGCGACAAATGGTTCAGCGGGAGTTATTTCAAGTGGACTTTTAGCGAGAAAGGTGCCTAATCATGTTGGTGCTAGTCCGGGCGAGCCTAATAAAAAACCAACCGTTTCTCTCACACATTTACCAAAAAGACCGCCAGTCGACATAGAATTCAAAGATTTATCCTTCAGTGTTTCTGAAGGTAGAAAGAGAGGTAAATCAACATACATTATCATATACATATACTTAAAAATATATTAATGACTCTGTGTGACAAATGAAATTTAATTTAACTGTGTTAAATGAAAAAAAAAAAATTATTTTTCTTGAGATTGATTGGATCTATTGTTAACTTTAAAAATTGAAAAACAAATTTTAAATCTATTTTTCAGATTTCGTTAATTTTTTTTAAATATTTAAAAATATTGTAAAAAATATTTTAAATAGTGTAGATTTTGTAAATAAAATTGTAGAATGTCATCTTTAATGACTTAAAAGTTATTTAATCTATAATAAAAAGAAGTGCAGATCGAATTGAGGTTAGAAGTTCACATTGCTAATCCCAATTTGACCTACACTATTTTCTTGTAAATTAAATAACTTTTAAGCCATCAACGATATGACATTAAAGAATTTGCTTTAGAAAATCTACACAATTTACGATATTTTTAAATTAAAAATGATTGAAATCTAAAAAAAATTAATTTAAAATTTGTTTTTCAATTTTTTTTCAGTTAAAATTAATCCACATCTTCAAAATTAATACCATGATGTCAAATGTAATTAAATTTACTACAAAATTATTATTTATCAAAAAAAAAAAAAAAAAATAATATATCTTTTACCTTATAGACTGCAATCGATGTCATCATTTATATGTTTTGAACGATAAGATGTGCCGAAAACATACACACAATACACACGGGCGATTTAAAAAATTTCGATCACTTTCAAAAACACGTTTTTAAATATAATTTAAAAGACAAAATACTTTTTTTTCAAAGATTTAAGCGATCGCGATTTTAAAATTTTCCAACACTCCCGGAATAAAAAATTTACTAAAATTACAAAAAAAAATTTAACGCAGACTAAAAATTTTTAAATTTACACTCATACAGATTGAAATGCAGGTATAAAGATAATTAATTTCAAAATAGCTTCGAAATATTTAAAATATCGTTAAAATTATAATTTTATAATATAAAGTCAATAATATAAATTACTTGAGGTATAAATAATATTACAAATAAATATAGATTTGCCAGAGATACAGTTTGAAATAATTATCAATTTTTTTTTATTTTTTAACATTTTACTTAATTTTCCCATAACCTCAAAATAAAAATTATTCAATCATTAACTCCTTCGCAAGTCTAGTAAAAATATCGTTTGTGGGTTCTAAAAGAAGATTTAAAAAAATTATCACATCATCGTATTAAAAGTTTTTGGGGTAGTTGAATCCAAATTTGAAGTCAGATTTAAAAAATTGAATATGGCGGACCCAATATGGCGGAAAATTTTAAAATTGATTCGATTCGTTCAAATTTCGGTACTATGGGGGTTTTTAGGGTCTGTAAATCAAAAAAAAAAAAAACAAAAAAAACTCCAAAAACATCCGAAAACGAATTTTGAAAGAATAGAATCAATTTTTAAATCCGCCATATTGGGTCATCATATTGGGTCCGAAATTTAAAAATTTTTAAATCTGACTTCAAATTTTGATTCAGAGACCCCAAAAAATTCTAAAGGAATCATTTTTATGCAAATTTGGTTAATTTTTAAATTATTTGGATGCCATGTTGGGTCCGTTATTTTGAATTTTTTTAAAATCTTGACCTCAAATTTGAATTTAGCGACCCTGAAAACTGCCGAGTACCAAATTTTGAACGAATCGAATCAATTTTAAATTTTTCCGCCATATTGGGTCCGCCATTTCGATTTTTTTTAAATTTGACCTCTTTGGATTCAACGACTCCGAAAAACCTTTATAGAACCATTTTCATGCAAATTTGGTCAATTTTTAAATTTTTTCAACGCCATATTTGGTCTGATTAATTTCTCGATTAATCGCAATGCAATTTGTATTTTTCTTCTTTTTATAATCTCATTTCTCCTGATAATTCAGTAAAGAGAACATTAGCATATAATGCCATCTACATTGGTAAAGAATAACTATTTCAAAGCTTACGCACCAAGATGTCAATGGGTTGAAAATCCTTAATAGATTTTTCGACAAAATATATGAAAATATTCTGGCAAATATCAGCATTTCTTTATACTATTTTTGAGTTCTCCATAAAAATTTAGCTTAATCTTTTAAAGAACTAGGGGTATCAAAGGTAATTAAAGGATTAAGAAAGAATCGTAACAAAACTTAGTCCAACTGTGTATTTTTGTATTTTTCAAGGAAAAAGTTATTTAAATTTTAAATAATTAATCAGCTTTACTTATCAATTTTAAATAATTAATTTAAATCAAAATTAGAACCTCCATATCATCGAAAATTTCCTAAAGATTTCCTAAAGATTTATTTGAAATATTCCAAACATTTCAAATAAATTTTTAGGAAATCTTTAGGAAAGTTTCGGTTCTGTGAGGAAAGTTCTTATGCATAGGAAAAATTTTAGGTAACATAACCTATAAACATTATTTTTAAGTTATGTTACACTGCAAAAAGAGGTATCTTATTTTAAGATATTTTGGTCGCCTTTTTAAGATGTTTTTTACAACTTGCTTCTAAGTTATCAAAAACATCTTAAAATGCGCATTAGTTTCTTAAGATATAAGATAGATAGGAAGATACTTTTGCTAACTTGCTTCCAATGTGTCTTATAATAAGATACTTCTTTTTGCAGTGTACCTAAATCGTTTTCTATGCCTAAAAACTTATAGATACGATTTAGATAACATAACCTAAAAATAATGTTTATAGGTTATGTTACCTAAATCCTTTCCTATGCATAAGAACTTTTAATTTTAATTTAAATTAATTATTTAAAATTAATTAGTAATGATTAATTATTAAAAATTTTTCAAATTAAATTACTTAAACACCGAAGTGTTTTCAAAATTAAAATAATGCTTTTCTTGAAAAATACAAAAAATACACAGTTGGACTAATTTTTGTTCCGATTCTTTGTTTGATTCTACCTTAAAAAAAAAAATTACTCTGGACCACAAACTAAATATATTTATAAACAATTTTTTTTAAATATTACAATTCTTTTTCTTAAATTATACAAATGAAAAAAATTGTAAGTACTGTGAGACATATAAATTGTTTTATTTTCTATGTACTTTAAATAAAAATAAATATAATTATTTATTTTTAGATCATATTTTTTAAAAATAGTTACATTAGTTCCACTTTCCATGTGAAAGATTGACGTAACATATAGGTAAAGATTATTATAGTTAGACAAGTTAAAGGTGAAGTTCTCGAAGAGAAATATATATATACAATATAGCGATATCTATGAGAAGGGTGACTAGAACAATAAGAAGAGGTCAGTGAGTTTGGATTAGAAAAGAAATAGAGGTGAAGGCGCGGTTTTCTTTCGATAGGCACTTTTTTTTTTTTTTTTTTTTTTTGTTCATGGATATAGAAGTACCAAATGTGAATGACCTGCTTGAAAGAATCGATAGTAATGCACTCGGAAGTTCCCATTTCTAGGTGCTGATGCACTACATCCAAAGTGCAATTGCACTTACATTATCACATTCATTTTTACCAATAATATTTATTTATATGAAGATACTGTATACATAGTAGCTATATATGTACTTTTATCTCAAAAAATTTTATTCATAACAATAAATCTCAAATTAATATTCACTTCAAAATTCACGATCATTAGCGCACGGACAGAAGAGGCTATTGTGATACAAATTTTTTTTTTTTTCTTTCGATGTAAATGAAGTGTATTTTAATTTGGCTATTGTTGTCATTGTAGTTTATAAAAGTTCATCTAAAAATTATTCGAGATTTTTTAACAATGCCTTTATTTTACAAAAAAAGGACAAATTTATAAAAATTGTTAATTTATAAAAAATTGAAATTTATAAACATTGTTAATTTAAATAAAAACTAAAAATTTATTTATAACTTAAAAACAAAATTCTTTTTTTATATTTTTTTTTTATTTTTAAATTACATTGTAAAAAAGTAACAGTTATCTTAACAGTTAAAAAAATTCATAAAAAAAAGAATGACTGAAATAATTTAGAATTAGTTTTAAAAAAAATGGTAACTAATTTAAATTTATGATTTGATTTACAAAAATTTTACACAAAAATTCTATTAATTAAAATAAGAATTAAATTAAAGTGTACAATTTTAGGTTAGGAATATTCTGAATTGATAAAAGTACACTACCCAGATAACACGGAAACTTGCAGCAAGCTTGCGGCAAGTTAACCGTGCAAGCTTGTCAAGCTTGTCTGAGCTAGCGAAATGTCCCACCCAGGGCAAGCTTGCCGTGAAAGCTTGCTGTAAGCTTTCCAGGAAAGGTTGCTGCAATCTTGCCATGAAAGATTGCTACAAGATTGCTGCAAGCATACTAAGAATGATTGCGGCAAGGTTGCCGTGAAAGATTGCTGTAAGCTTGCTACGTCAAGTTGCAGGAGAATTTTAACAAGCTTCTGGAAAGGTTGCTGCAAGCTTGCTGCAATTTTTAAAAAATACATTTAAAATTTAAAAAAAATTTATTTGTTTTTTTTTAAATTGTGACGTTGTGACGTTTATTATTATTAATTATGTCCTGTTTATTTTCATTTGGAAACTTAACGAGAAAATTTTCGAAACAAATTTGAGGGGACTGGGAATTGAACCCGGGTTCGACAGACACTAACCAAAGACCCTAACCGAGAATCTACTCGACCAACTATCAGAGAATAAAAAAATCTTGCAATCTTTTACGGCAACCTTGCCGCAATCATTCTTAGTATGCTTGCAGCAATCTTTCATGGCAAGATTGCAGCAACCTTTCCTGGAAAGCTTACGGCAAGCTTGCCCTGGGTGGGACATTTCGCTAGCTCAGACAAGCTTGCAGCAAACTTGCACGGTTAACTTGCCGCAAGCTTGCTGCAAGTTTCCGTGCTATCTGGGTAGTACCAACGTTGTAAAACTAAACTATTGAGAAAATGGCGCTAAATTTAAAAATTGTTAAAATAAAATAACTATATACAGTAAAAAATTATATTTATATAATTACTAGGGGGGCTTCACCACCCTGCGCGATTCGCGCGCCAACCCCCTATTTTTTATTAGTTTTGTAGATGTTTGAGGTAATGTTTAACCAATTTCTGGAATTTGAAACTATTATTAATATTTTATTATTTATTTCTTTAAATGTTATTTACGATTTTTATTAACAATAATTTTTATTATTTTCAATTTTTAAAACATAATTTATTTAATTTTTTAAATTTTCCAGCTAAAATTTGATCTACATTTAAGGTTATGTACGTTTTTTTTGGTCATTTTCCTTCAAAGTTTGTCCTAAATTTTGAGGTTATGTTTGTTTCTTTGTCTTTTTGCGCCAAATTTTAGCCTAAATTTTGAGGTTATGTTTGTTTCTTGGTCGTTTCCCGATAAAATAACTTAACCTTAAAATTTAGTTCAATTTCGGCGGGAAATACGAAGAGAGATTAGAGAAGGGGTCACTTTTAGCGAGAAATACGGAGAGAGATGAGGGAAGGGGGAATGCGACTTGCTGCTCTATTCAGAGTCTTGAAACGAACATAACCTTAAAATTTAGGTAATTTTTTGCGAGGGAGGGGAGTGGAGAGGGGCGGGGGACTTGCGGCTATATTCATATGGGTCATTCCATATCAAGTGTAACCAACCATTGTACTATCCATGTCAAAAACATGGGTTGCCTAATCCTTACCTAACCTTGTCAAAAACATGGGTTGGGTACACTTGACATGAAATGACCCATCCTTGTCAAAATTTCTGAAACAGCGGCTGCGGCGAAATCTTTTAATAATATAGAAAGATATTTATAATAATAAATATAATAATAATAATAATAATAATAATAATAACATTTATAATAATAAAAATAATTTTTTTCAGGTTACAAAACAATTCTAAAATGTGTCAACGGAAAATTCAGATCCGGAGAACTCACAGCAATTATGGGACCATCTGGAGCAGGAAAAAGTACACTTATGAATGTTCTCGCTGGATACAAGTAATGAAAATAAAAAAAAATTCTTTTTTTTTAATTTCCCCTTTTCAAAAAAATTGTAATTATTAAAAAAAAAAAAAAAAATTTTTTCCCTCTTACAGAACTTCGAATTTAAGTGGATCTGTTTTAATAAACGGAAAAGACAGAAATCTTCGAAGATTTCGTAAAATGTCCTGCTATATTATGCAGGATGATTGTTTAATGCCATATTTAACAGTATACGAAGCAATGACAGTCTCAGCGAATCTCAAATTGGGCAAAGATATTAGTGTTGCTGCCAAAAAAGTTGTTGTAAGTTAAAAATTATAATTTTCATTTTATTTTTAATTATAAAAATAGTTAATTTTAATACATATTTGAATGAAAATTTCTCAAAAAAAAATCTAAATAAAAATTTATAAAAATATCAATTTTCGAAAATTGATTAAAAAAAAAATGGCAAAATAATAATTTTTAAAACAATTATAGAATTGAATTTAAATTTGGATATATTTTTTAATTGTTTTTTTTTTTTTTTTTTTTTAAATGAAGGTTGAAGAAATCATCGAAACCTTGGGCCTAAGCGATGCGAGTAATACCCAAGCGGTTTGTTTAAGTGGAGGTCAACGAAAAAGATTGTCCATTGCTTTGGAACTTGTCAATAATCCACCCGTGATGTTCTTTGATGAGCCTACTTCCGGTCTCGATAGTTCTTCCTGTTTTCAGTGCCTCAGTCTTTTAAAATCACTAAGCAGAGGAGGTCAGTTTTATAAAGAAAATATTTTTTTCCTAAATTGGACAAAAAAAAAAAAAAAAAGATTCTCAACATCAAAGAAATCATTTTTATTTTGATGCAATTTTTTCCACAAAATATATATATAAAATTCCTCTTATATTGAGAGGATTTTCTTTTTGATTTAATATGTTATTAATATTATAAACTATGCACAAAAAAACACGGAAACTAAAATTAAGAATAAATTCTTGGCGTCTATTTAAGAATATTTTATACTTAAATTTAGTAAATATTATTCTTAAAATAAGAATATATACTACATTTAAGTATAAAATATTCTTAAATTATTATTAAATATTATTATTAAAAATTCTTAAATTATTCTTAAAATAAGAATATATATTACATTTAAGTATAAAATATTCTTAAATATACGCCAAGAATATATTCTTAATTTCAGTTCACGAGTTTCTCTGTGTCTTTTCTTTTAAATAAAAAAATTTTCTCACTAATAGAAAAATAATCTTAATACAAGAAGAATAATTTTAATACCATAGGAATAATTTTAATACTAGAGGAATAATTTTAATTGAAAAGAAAAATAAAAATCACTCTTCTATTGAAAAGAAATATAATTTTCTACTCTAGAATAAAGTATATTCTCATTTTAAGAGTAGAAATGTAATTTAAAAAAAGAGTATTTTTTTAATTTGAGAATATTTTTTTTAATTTACAAAATTAAAAAAATTAAATTAAATTAAAAAAAAATCTATAATTAAAAATTGTTTACATGTAAAATTTGTTGTTTTTTTTTAATAAATAAATTAAAATTACAGGAAGGACCATTATTTGTACAATTCATCAGCCAAGTGCGAGGCTTTTTGAAATGTTTGATAAACTCTACCTTTTAGCAGAAGGACAATGTATATATCAAGGAAATGTAGGTGGGCTTGTGCCCTTTTTATCATCAATGGGACTCGATTGTCCGAGTTATCATAATCCAGCTGATTACGGTAAGAATTTTTTTTTTCAATTTTATCGACTTTCTTTTTTTATAAAAATTATTAAATAATAACAATTTAAATAAAATTATTAAAAATTAAAATTTTTTAAAAATAAAATTAATTTCTTATTTTACAACAAGAAAAAGTAATTTTCTTTTTGTACACTAGTATTAAAAATGATTTCCTCTCAATTTAAAAGGATACATTCAAAAGGAGTATTTTTAAAAATTTTCTACCAGTAGCTATATAAGAGACAAAATACCTTTATATGAACTGTAATAAACAAATTATTTTGTCTTTTTAAATCCTCTCAATTAGTACATATAAACTCTTAATCGAAGAGGAAAAAGCTTAACTAGTTCTTCGGAGGATATTTCATTTAAAACAAGAATAAAATCTAAATTAAAAAAAAAATATTCTCATTTGGAAAGGATAACTTAAGAGATTCCTGAAAGAGTAATTTTCCTCTCAAAATAAGATTACTGTTTTTTTTTTTTATTCAAAAATGTGTATTGCAAAAAAATGTTTAATAAAAAAATTCTTTTTAAAACGCAAGAGATTGTTGAAAGAAGAATTTTCCTCTTGAAATAAGATTACTGTTTTTTGTGGCTCAAAAATGAGAATCAGGAAAAAATTTTTTTTTTCTTACTATAATTATAAACAAAAATTAATTATTATTATTATATTTAATTAAATATTATTGAAAAAACAATAATTATTTTTAGTCATGGAAGTTGCAAGTGGAGAACATGGCGAATGTGCGCACAAATTAGTAATGGCCGTTAATAATGGCAAATGTAATAATTATCAGCATTATCAGGCGACATTTGCGGCAGCACATGCATTATCGAATGAGATTGCAAAACAATCGTCACCGCAGGAACAAACAAAATCTGATGATACGCCATTAATTCCAAATGGTGTCGCAAAAGGAACTGGTGGACAAGCCGTTGTCAATATGCCCGTTTCTTGCACAACTTCACTATTAGATAGTGCTGAAAGTATAGAACAAAAAGTCGGTTTTCCAACTAGTAGCTGGGTTCAATTTTGGATTCTTCTCAAGCGGACATTTTTATCACAATACAGAGACATGGTAATATTTAAATTTAAACTATTTTTTTTTGTTTTCATTTTTTAATATTTAAAAAGTTTTCTGCAAAAAAAAAAAAGTTTTATTTTATAAATATAGTTTAATGAGGAAAGTAAAGAAGCGTTTTTAATCCTAGGGAGTAATTAAACTTTTTCTATTTCTTAAATAAAAAAAATTTATTTTTTTGTACTCTAGGGAGCAAAATAAACAATTTTAATATAAGTGAGTAATTTAGTATTTTCCAAACTAGGGAGAAAAAGGAATATTTATAACCAAGAAAGCATAAATTATTTTCTATTAATCGAGGGAGAAAAATGGTTCTTTTAACTCTAGTGTACAAAATTGACAATTATCTAGGGAGAAAAAAAGACTATTTTAATCTAGGCAGTAATGTAGTATTTTGTAAACTAGGGAGAAAAAGTGATATTTTAATTCCAAGAAATAAAAGTTATAATTTAAAAACCGAGGGAGAAAAATGGTTTTTTAACTCTAGTGTGCAAAATTGACTTTTATACACTAGGGAGAAAAGAAACAATTTTAAAACTAGGGATCTAATAAGATTTAAACCCCAGAGAGAGAAAATTTATCATCTAATATTAAAAAAAAAATAATATTAATTATAAACTCCAGTTTGCAAAATTGTATTTTTATACTCTAGGGTTTAAAATAAACATTTATGATTCTAGGGAGTAATGTTGTATTTTGTAAACTAGGGAGAAAAGTGATATTTTAATTCCAAGAAACAAAAGTTATAATTGAAAAACCGAAGGAGAAAAATGGTTCTTTTAACTCTAGTGTGCAAAATTGACTTTTATACACTAGGGAGAAAAGTAGAATTTTTAAAACTAGGGATCCAAAAACATTAAACATTTTTAATTCTAGCGAGTAATATAGTATTTTCCATACTATGGAAAAAAGGGTTTTTATAATTCAAGAAAGCAAAAATTAACTTGTAACAGATGGAAAAATAATGCTAATTGCAGTGTGCAAAATTAAATTTTTATACCTTAGGAAACAAAATACTTTTAATTCTAGGTGTAAGATTTAATTTTCGAAACAAGAGAAAAAAGTGGTATTTCAATTCCAAGAAACAAAAATTATAATCTAAAACCCGTGTGAGAAAAGTAGTTTTTTAACACTAGTGTTCAAAATTTTATACCCTAGGGAGAAAAAAAGACTATTTTAATCCTAGGACGTAAAATTTTTACTATATATAATTCCAGGGAACAAAATTTTTTTTCCAATTGGGGAGCAATAGGGAAATTTTAACTCTAGTGAGCAAAAAATATCTTCCAATAATTGAGGGTAAAAAATGGTTTCTATAAACTCTAGCGAACAAAACTGTTTTTTTATACCCTAGTGAGAAAAATATACGTTTTCTTAAATCCTACGAATTAGAAAATTACATTTTTAAATTTAGGGAATAAAGTTTTATTTTCCAACACTAGGGAACAAAGAAGAAAATTTTAAATTCATGCAAAAAAATTATCTTCTTAATGCCAAAGGAAATAGAATAGTAATAATTTTATTAGCTCGAGTGTAAAAAATTGTTAAAGTGTAAAATAATTTTTTTAACTCTGGAAAGTAAGGTAGCAAAGTTTTATTTTTCCACACTAGGTAGAAAAAGGGGGTTTTTCCAACACTATTGGATGCAAAATTGTTTTACAATACCCTAAGGAAAAGATTGTGTTTTTCTATCTAAAAAAATTAATTATTTAAAAAAAAACCTAGACCGTAAAATAGTTTGAGTTAATTTTGTTTTTTTCCCTATGTTAAGTATCAAAAAATTATTAAAATTTCAGACACTAACGAGGGTAAGACTGATTTCACACATCGTCGTTGGATTTTTGATTGGTGCTATTTATTACCAAATCGGAAATGACGCTGCCGTGGTTACAAGTAATTCTGGTTGCATTTTTTTCACCGTCATGTTTATCATGTTTACCGCAATGATGCCTACGGTCCTTACGTGTAAGTTTATTTTTAACGTAAAAAATTCAAAAACATTTAGGCAGAAAAGTAAATTATTATAATTTTCTTTAATGAAAACTACAAAAGTATTCAAATTGTGACTTTTTTTCTAAAAAAAATGTTTTTCTAGAATTTTTTTTTTTAAATTTATTTTTCTCTTTATTTTACAGTTCCAGTAGAAATGGCTGTATTTGTAAGAGAACATTTAAATTATTGGTATTCTCTGAAGGCGTTTTACCTTGCGAGAACTTTATGTGATATACCATTTCAAGTACGTATAATATTTTTGTTATTAAAAAAATAAAAAAAATATACTATTTTTCTGTTATAACTATTATATTATATTATTCATGATTTTAGATAGTATATTCCGCAGTATATGTGATGATTGTCTACTTCATGACCGCACAACCTTTGGAGTTGGAAAGGTTTTTCATGTTTCTAAATATTTGTATATTAACTTCTCTCGTGTCTCAGTCAATTGGTCTATTAATTGGAGCAGCAATGAGTGTTGAGGTAATTATTTATATTTATAGTTTTTTTTTTAAATTGTCATAATTAAATTAAGGCCATGCTTTAGAAAACTAACGTCATCATATCTTTTTACATGTACTGTTACGTCTCAAATAGAGAAAATAACTAAAGAAATAATATTTTATATTTATATTTTTATCCGCTCAGTGATTCGTGTTTCAATTATAGAGCAGATGGCTCTGAGCTAAGGGTACAGGTATACGGAGAAAAATGGAAAAACAAATAAAGCATTTTTTACTACTTTAAAAGTAAAACCGGAATTGTCCATAGTTTCTGCGCATTTCAATTTTTACTCCAGAAATAATAAAATTTATTCCGAAAATAGTAAATTTTACTTCTGAAATAGTAAAAATTATTTTGGAAATAGTAAAATTTTACTATTTCTGGAGTAAAAATTTCTAGAAATGCGCTGAAACTGCGGAAAGTTCTGGTTTTACTTTTAAAGTAGTAAAAGTTACTTTATTCGTTTTTTCATGTTTCTCCGTGTAAGAAAGAGAATATTGATTTTCAATGACAAGGTTACAAGTTTATTTAGACAAATATATTTAGATAAAATTGATCATAAAAAAAGAGAGTATCCTGAAGCAACCAGTCTTAAAAATAAAGGAAGTCAACATACCACTGCAACAAGGAATCAGTAAATGTTATTACAAATTTTTATAATGATTTAGATAAAAAGTAATACGACTTTTAGAAGAAAAATTTTGAAGTAAGATGTATGAAAAAGGACCACTGGTGTGTCCTTAAATATGGGCAGGAACGGCTGGTACCAGACCACAGGTCCGTAGTTCAGTTGAACGTGATGAAAACCCAAACAATGTAATTCTTCCAGAAAAGGCAGAAGAGATGATTTCCAAATATTATGGGAAAATCAAAACCTTGAATACTTGGATGAGTTTTTTCTTGACGTAAAAACTTTTAGCACTTGACACGCAGAGATTCTTCTAAGTTCAACTTAAGTCGCTGCCGATGATGGTTGTCCGCTACCAAGAGTCTTGTAAATTCTTGGTAGACCTTGTTGTGGTGGTGGGGCTTTTCACTAAAGGACTTCTAAAAACCAAGATGTATAGTGGGGAGAAATATATATATATATGGAAAGGAAAGGATTGAATTTACGGTGCAGGAGAAGGATACCCCAGTGCCGGCGCCTTAGGCTATGCAGCATGCAATCGGGAGGACCGGACCAACAAGAGAGAGCGTATCCATGAGAAACGTCTTCGAAGCGCGGTCATGGAGGCGTAAAAGAAGAAACGAAGTACCGGCAGTCCGGAAGAGACAAAGGCCGAAGTAAAAAAGAAAAATGAGGAAGCACCTCCATTGAGAAAGGATGCCAAGGTGACGAAGGCACCGAAGCGTCCAACAAGACGAAGGATTCGAGAGGATCAACAGTGGTCGTCCGAGGCGCTTCAGGAAAGACGTATATGTATGCTGATGTGTTGGGAAAGCTCCACAAGGAAGTTAATTCAGACATCAGTCACACGAGAGTTTTGGTGGCAAAGCTCACTAAAAAGGAAGACCTCTTGATCAGGGTCGGAGGTGACTCGGACAAGGTAGCTTTTACCGCCGAGGTGATCAAGACTGTTGGCAGTTTGGGTAAGGTGCAGGGGGTGGATCGGAAGGTTACACTCGAGATCAGCGATCTGGATTTCCTTACCCATGAAGCAGAAGTCCAGAAAGCGCTGGAACGAGAACTCGGAAAGCCAGTAAGCAGGAAGGTGACGGTCTTAGGACCCAAAAAGCGAGGGATGAAGCTCGCAGTTGTTGTCACTGACCAAGAAGAGGCTGCCAGACTGAAGGAATTAGGGCGCATAAAGATTAACTTTATGTGCTGCCAAATAAGAAACAGAGTCATGGTCGTCCGGTGTCACCGATACCTGGGTTACGGCCATCTAACAAGAAGTTGCAAGGAAGCAGACAGATCGACTGCGTGCTTTAAGTCCGGGAAAGCCGATCATAAGTTTGCAGATTGCAAGAGCAGCCCCAGTTGCTTCTTGTGCAAAGCGAATTCCAGCGACAAGGTTCATGAGAGAAAAGAACAAAATTATGTTGTATCATTTTCTCTCATGCTTCGCGTTCATAAGTGGGTGACAAATGAAGTTTAGGCCAAGTGAAAATTAGATCAAATGAGGATAGGCCAAAAGAGAATTAGGTTACATTAAGATTAGGCCAATTAAGAATTATGTTAGATTAACATTAGAACAAGTAACAATTTGGATAAAGTAAAATTAGGCCAAATGAGAATTAGGTTAGATAAATATTAGAACAAATAACAATTAGGTTATAGTATGATTAGGCTAAATGAGAATTAGGTTTTTATAAAGATTAGATCAAATGAAAACTAGTTTAAACGTTGTTTAGTCCAAATGATAATTAGACCAGATGAAAATTATTTCAAATGATAATTATAGGAAATGATGTTTAGGCCAAGTAATAAAATAAAAATGAGGCTAAAAAAGTATTATTTACAGAAAATTTAGCCCAAGTGAGATTTAGGGGAGATAAATATTACGTTAAATAAGAATTAGTTTAAATTAAGATTATGCCAAATGTGAATTAGGACAAATGACGATTAGTACAAATGAGGACTAGAATGAAGATTAGGACAAATGATGATTAGGACATATATAGATTAGGTCAAGTAACAATTAGTTCATATGACTTTTAGGCCAATTGAATTTATGTCAATTAAGTTTTAGGCCATTTGAAATTTGGAGAAAATTCATGCGCCTCATAAAATTGGGCAGAGTAACAGTACTTGTACAAGATTTCGTATATGAAGTTGGCGTGCTGGTATCAAAATCTGAACTGAACCCTCCTGGCATATGTGGACCTTTTATGCAGAAAAGGCGAGATTTACGTGACTGTGTATTAATGTAACTCATACATGACCTTAATTTTAATTTTTCAATAATTGAAATCACATTGATAAAAATGAATATACCTTCATTTTTATTTATTTTTTTGTTTGTTACAGACGGGTGTTTTTATCGGTCCAGTGTCGACGGTCCCAGTAATTCTTTTCTCGGGATTTTTCGTCAAATTCAAAGCAATTCCATCGTATTTGAAAATTTTGTCTTACGTCTCCTATGTAAGATATGGATTTGAAGGTGCAATGATCTCAATATATGGATATAAAAGAGAAAAATTAAAATGTTCAGAGCCTTATTGTCATTTTAAAAGTCCACAAAAATTCCTCGAAGAAATGTCAATGGTCGACGCTGTTTATTGGATTGACGTTGTGGCTCTCGTTAGTTTCCTCATTGGCCTCAGGATCGTCGCCTATTTTGTTCTTAGGCTCAAGCTTAGATCATTACGTTAAAAAAATTTTTATTTTTTTTTCAACTTTATAGGAAATTGAATAATAATAATTATTATTATTACTAAACAATCAATCGCTCTGAGCGCGTTGACATATTCAAGACATTGACTGAGCTTCTTCAACAAAAAAATTATTAAAAAAAAAAGAAGAAGAAAAGAAAAAAATCAACACTTTCGGACCAGATGTTATAATAAAATTTGAGATATATTCAATTTAAAAAAATATATATTTAGAATTATCGAAGTAATTGTTTAAAAAATATAAAATGAGGAAATGAATCCCAAAAAATAGATTTTCGATGAGAGGTAACTTTTCTTTCTTTCGACTCAAACTCAAGATTGATTAGTTGCCTTATAGGTTTTGCAGCTGCTTTATTCATATATATAAAAAAGCAATGAAACAAAAGAAGTTCTTTCCAGCTTTAAATTTTGTAACTTTTTATATATAAAAAAAGAAACTAAAAAAAAAAGTTTTTTGACGTAAACTTGACAAAAAAAAAAAAAATGTTTACACTCAAACTTAACGAATATTTTATATAAATCATTGCTGCGCCGAGAATTTTTTGGTAGCAGTTCTGTTTCTATTTTTTATGAAGAGTTTGGGTCACTGAAGACACACACACAATTAGTTTAGATTTTTAATGTTTAGCTTGTAAGTTATTAGATAGAAAAATTCAAAGAGAAAATTGTTATCAAATCCCCGCCACCCCGAAAAAAAAAGAATAACGTCTATTTTATATAGACGAAAAATTATATTTGTGAAAAAAAAACAAATTTTCAGAGGGTCATAATCAAAATATTAAAAAAGAATCGAAAAGAAATTATAATTTTAGATTTAAATTTAAAAAAAAAAAAACATTTATGGAAAATCTATTTTATGTTAAAAATAAAATTTTTACTTATTAAAATCTCTTTTTTAATAAATATATAAAAATATGTGTTTTTATTAAAATACAACCTTCTGAATTTTTGAAGAATACAGTCCATTCTTTTTTTTTTGAAAAAAAAAAAAACTGCCGATTACGAACTGCGTAACGTCAGTTTATATAAATGTATAAAAAAAAGAATATAACATAATTTCAAAATATCAGTGAAACTTACTCGCCATAATAAAAGGGATTTTAGAATCCAAATTGAATACTTTTTACTTCCCTCCATTTATTAAGAAAAAGCGAAGTTTCACTGACTTTAGGTCCTGTTTATTAAAAATTTGGCGTCAAAGCGTACGAATTAGAATTTTAGAATCTTTTTTACCAATCTTCTGATTGTAATTATCTTCGTAGTATATCCAATCATTTCAATATGCAAATAATACTGTGTCAAAGTATAAAACTAAAATTAAAAAAAACTTTTTATATTTATGTCAGTCCACTGAAAATCATGTCATATTTTGAAAAATTCTAGTTTTAACCCTTAAAATGGCACAATGGGTCCAGTAGACCCGAGCATTTTTTTTCGAGCTCAAATTAATTGAATGTGTAGCTTTTGAATATTTTTTATATTTTAATTTATTAATTTGACATATATTAGTAATTTTGTAAGTTTTTTGATACAACTAATTTCGATACAAACAAATAAATTAGCTTCAAAAATTAATAATTATAAATTTTTAATTTTAACCCAAAAATTCAAATTTTATTTTGCAAAATAAATATCCTTTTTTGCAAGGCATGCTGTTGTGGTAATTTTTTCCTTAAAGAAAAATAGTATAACCTTAAATTTTTAAGTCATAATATTAAAATTTAAATAACTCATGAATTTTTAAGTAAAAACACGCAATTTTTTGTTTTTATTTTTCACAATTTTTTTTAACTAACTTAAAATAAATTAATTCCTGTAAAACTAATTATATTTCAAAAAACACATTATAAGGTACTTTATGATTAAATTTTTGTGCGCAAAAATATTCAATACCGGCTGTACAATACACATTTGAATACGTCGGGTTCAGCAGACCCATTGTGCCATTTACGTTTTAAAAAACATTATCGTCAACGAACTCAGAAATTGATCGAGTTTCACATATATTAAAACAAGATTTTTTTCAAAATCTGCCAGCAACCACTTTCAGATGATTTTCAGTGGACTGACTTCATTTGACTGTTGACAATAAGAAACTAAAAAAAAATCGTATCTAATATAAATTTTTTTTATTTAGAGAAAATAAACTGTTGTTATGTATATATTTTTTTACCTTTAAATTAAAAAAAAATCTGATCTTACCCCAAAAAACTAATATTTATAACAGAGATAAAAATTGCAACTAAAAAAAAAAATTTTCACAAATTCACTTTGAAACCATACGGAAAAATTTTATTAAAACCGACAAAACTTGTCATATTTGAAAAATGACGAAACAAATAAAAATTTTTGTTTATAAAACCATTTTTTAGGCTCTGAAGTAAAAATTTGTCTACATTCGGAATTACATTTCTTTATTTTTTTTTTTAGTTTTTTACAGTCGACAGTTGATAAATTTTTTCTTTTTTTATTGTCACTATAACACAGTAAAATAATAATAATAATAATGTCTTTCAATCGAAAAGTACTGAGAAAAAAAAAGAGCAGCGTGTTTTAAGATATTTAAATATTGCCTTGGAAAGTTATAAGAGTATTTCCAATTCAACGACCTAGATTTTTTAAATTTCAACAATATTTACAGTCAAAAGTAAATTTTTAAATGTATAACCATTTTTAATGCTTTTAATAACCAATTTATAAATAGAAAACATTTTTAAAAAAAAAGCATTTTCAATTCTAATAAAAGTCAATAATTTTTCTTAACGAAAAAATAAAATGTCCTTATTGATGAAATCAGTTTATAATAATTAGAAAATACATCAAAAAGGAATTATATATACATAGGTGAATTGAAAAAAAAAAAAAACAAGAAAAAACATAAATGCGATTTCCTTAAAATAAGCTGCCATTGCAAATATTTTTTAGATTTACGTGCCGCCGAGACGCCTGAGTATTTTATTTATTTATTGATTTTTTTTTTAAAAAAGGAGAATCTATAATGATTAACGTAATTTGCAACTGTAAATAAAATGTATTTTTTATTTTAATTGCAAAATTTTTATCATTTTTTATTACTTGATAATTTAGAAAAAAAAAATTTAATTAATTTTTAATGAATTAGTTTTTAATTTAAAAAATTAAATTTACAATTTTTTGTAAAGAGAAATTTGTTTAAATGAAAAATAAAATTATCACTAAAATTACGTTTAATTGGATGGATTCTACTTTTGTATATATATATAATATAATTTAGTGACAGATTTTATAGTTATTTGTTTATGTAATACACGATTATAAAGATTAAATTTTCATGAACAAATTTTGCAATGTAAGTTGTTCATAAATACTTGACCAAACTCTGGCTGCTTGAAAAATTGCTTCTATTAAAGTGCAAAAGCAGTTACAATTATTATTATTATATAATAAATGTAGATAATTGACAAATCGAATGTTTGGTGAATGTTATTTGTGTAATATTTCTTTTTTTATTCGTGGAACGAATGATTTTTATTGGTGCTTAATTAAGTTTATTTCTTTTTTTATTATTACAATTTTTTATAACTATAATTTTATTATTATTATTATTATTATTATATATTTATGAATATATTAGGCAAGCAAAGCAGATAAGCTGCGAAAAATATTTAGACTTGCTTATATACAGCGAAAAAAGACTAAGATCGCATTGTGAATTGTTAGAGTAGTTTTTAGATTAATAAGGTTATTATGTATTGAATAGAGAACAAGTTTTTTTATTAAATGAAAGTGAAATATTAATAATTTTTTTTCATTTAATTTTAATCTTTTTTCATTTTCCTATCTAATATACACTTTTATTACGGATCCTATCAAATTTTTTAATTACAATTTTCATTTAGTTAATTTTTCGCTAGAGATAATATTACAACTTCCAACGTAATTCCGTCGGAATTCCATCGGAGTTCCAAAGAATTTCCGATGGTATTCCGACAGAATTAGGACTCTAAAAATTTTGAAAAAAAATTAATCGGAACTCAGTCGGAAATTCTTTGGAACTCCGATGGAATTCCGACGGAATTCTGATAGAACCTCCAGTGGGCACTTTCCGGGAAATCTTTCCAAGTGGGACAGATATTTTTATTACCGAAATTATAGTGGAAAGTATAAACTTTAAATCGAGACTAAGTACAAATGTTCTAGAACTTTTTGTTCCATCGCTATAGAAGTACTCAAATATTGCAAAAAAAATTCTGATTTTTTTACCCTTTAACCACGTTTATAACAAGAAACCAACAGCTGATAATAGAAACTGTTTGGTTACGAATTCGTAATCAACATAAAAAAAAACTACCAGAAACACCTTTGACATTTGCAGCAATAAAATCAGTGTTGTCATGTATAAATTAATCGAATCATTCAGAAATCGATATCTTATAAACCTAATCCTTCTCTGATCATGTTAAAACAACGTATGAAAAATAAGCGAATTTTTGACCAACTAATGACGCTCAGAATTTCTACAATAAAAACCATCAATGAGATAGTGTATCCGATACCAAGAATGTAAGTAACTATCAGAAACAATTTTTCCTTAGATATTTCTTCTGGCGCAAGCGGAACATTTTGCGACTTCGTTACATCATAGTATAAAAATTTTGCCAATATCCCAGATTCTGAGACTCGTAGAATTATTTCGTTAAAATGACCAATGTATGGTGAATAAAATCTGGATATCCAAGACTTTATAAAATATATCAAAGGTTCCGAAAGTATTAAAGTGTTCAATTTTTGAGTAACTTCTTCGAAGCGCATGATTAAATTCTCAGGGTCCATCATAATACAAGTTACATTATTATAATCAGTCAAGTAATTAAGGCAGTCCCAATCAGTTCCACGGCCAGGAATTCTAATAGCTTTTCTGCCTAATTCCTGAATTTCGGATACAGGAGATGTTAGCAATAATTCTCTTACAAATGAATCTACCATAGGTATCAGAGACGAGTTCACCAGATCTTTGAGTGTTGCTATTTCCGGTTCAGATATAAGACTAAGGTCTAGAATCATGGAGTATAAATAGCTTGTATAAGCGATGCAACTCAACATTAGAACACCAAAGGAAATTCTTTCAGACAATTTTTCAGGCTCATTGACAATCGACATTCCCATTATAATTTGACTGATTTTAAACGTTTGCCATGTGTTTCTGTTGAATTTTAACAGCGAAGCTGTTAATCGAATCAATGCAATTGCTCCAGCTGTTACATACAAAATTGTAACTAGTTCTTGTGAGACAACAATAATGGTAGTTGATCTTGTATTTTTTGGAATCACGGCTTTTGCAGAACTTAATTCAGTGACGCGCATTCTTGGAATAACTACTTTTTTATTATCAGTTTTTGTAAAACCAATAATCGTTAACAACATTTCTATTTTGTTTTTGTTGAGATACATTTGAATCATCGCACCGAAATCACCGTTGTAATTATATAATTTTTTACAGCCATTCATACTTTTTGAAAGGAGATCGGCAAATTTTCTAACATTCTTCCTCTGCCTTTTTGAAACAGAAATCTTTCCCAAATAGGAAAATTTTAATTCTTGACCATGCAGGTTTCGTATTTTATTCGGAAACCATTTTCTGTCTGATGTTATTTCACGAACGGAATACATTTTATCAAAAGGATTTATCTCATGAAAATTTGATTGATTTAATTTGACGTCAGCTTGAAATTGTTCGTTATCGTTTTGTTGTGTCATTACAACAACGTCGAGAAAATCATTTAACCAAAGAAATTCCAACAATTCTTTTATTGATAAAGACTTGTCGTACGGAAAAATGTTAATCAAACATTTTGGAGTTGAATGAGCTTGGGAAAGATATTTAAGATTTACAATTACAATTTCCAGTTGACGCCAATTTTGAATCAGATTGCCATTGAGAATAACAATAAATAACGTTGTTTTCCTGGGTCGTTGTAGTGATGACGGATAATTAGTTTCGATATATTTGAATTGAAATTTATCGAAACTTATGCTCAGTGTTGGAAAGTGCGCCGAAACTTCTTGCACAAGCGGATTTATTGTTGAACTTGAGTTCATCAATTGATCATCATAGACAAACATTACCTAATACAATTATATCAATTTATAACAAGAATACGAGTAATTAATATAGGATTTAAATATATTGCAAATTCTAAATTACCTGGTGCAAGTTAGACTCTTTTTTTAGATAGTTTATCAATCCTCCAAGATTTCCATAGTTACGTGTTTCTCCCAAACTGCCTAATCCAATAATTATTAGACACAAACTGTATTTTGCAAACATCATAAGGAATTAATTTTGATTAAGAAAAGAGGCATTTCCGAGCTCAAAAAACGAGGTCTGTATGTTTTCTGAGTTTACAAACGCTTTTTAAAGTGGAAATTCACCGAAAAATCAATTTCTATAGGTCAAGTGTAATTTCTAACATTTTACATAGATCGTATCGTTTTAATTGCAAAAATAAGTTTTGAAAAACATTCAAAGAAATCGATCTATTTTCTTTGTTTTCTTTGTCCTTGAAAATCATTAAATATAAGTTGTACATTACTTGTTGCTTAGGTTTTTTAAGTTTTTAACATTGGAACTTTATTTTAACTAACTGGACTAATTTATGGCTCAACACAAAATTGAATTAAATAATTTTTCTAGTGTCTGGCGAGAAACAAAAAATATTTACCCATAGAATCTAAGTATTTTAGAGCGTTCCCAGACGATTTTTCTAATTTTTTTCCTAAATGCATTTTCCTAATGCCCTATTTTCTTAATAGTCATTTTTCCTAATCCTTTTTTTCTATTTGCTTTTTCCTAATCCAATTTTTCTAATTGTAAATTCCTAATATATATTTTTTCCTACTATTTAATTCCTAATGTGTAATTTTTTTCTAAAAGACAAATCTTTTGAATTATGAAAATCGATGTTCGTTTATTGAGATATTTGATTTTCAATTGTTTTTAGTTCGTAAATGTTTATATTCAATTAACCTTTTAGTTTGACATACATCTTTACAAAATCTATAGTTAAAAATTAATCTGTTATATTTAATTTCTAAATTAAAAGTTGGATTTTAAAAATTAAGCATCATGGATATGGTTGCACGAATTGTAGGAAAAAAGTTGCATATCGATAGATACATCTATTACAGATGTAGGGTTGAAAAGAGTCAAATAAATATTACTTCAAATAAGAATTTGGATATATTACCGTTGTGATAATTAAATTTAGGCCAATTAAGCAGTAGGCCATTTAAATTTTGGAAATTAATACACAAGATTGTTACGAGCTTTTGTGCTAATTGGTTTAAATGAAAATTCGATAAAATGAAAAATAATGATACAACCCTGACAACAATTTTCATTATTTTACTTTCCCAACACTGATAATATTCTCGATGTTTTACACATACCCATCTCTGAACACAATGGCATCCTTGGTCGTCGATACTTATTTCTTAAGCAGCGACTTAAGCTGACACCTAGATTCATAGTCGCACATTGTGGATTGACTTAAGCCGCAACTTAAGCATTTGCTTAAAGAAGTAAATGCTTTTGATTTTGAGATGCTAAGTATTCATAGTCAAATAGGATTTTCTTATTTGACATTAACGGTGAACTTATTTGAACGAATTGAGGTTATGATTTAAAGTCAACGTTATAGTTGACTTAAGCAATAATTTATTAGTGTATTTATAGTGAAAAAAGTGTTAACAATGGATATAATGGATTATTTAAGTGACATTGAGGATGATATTGATAATGAAGATGGTACAAACAATATAAGACGTGCAAAACGATACATTCGAGATGCGGAAAATCCTTTTGAAATAGATGAGTGGGAGTTACAGAGACGTTATTGTTTTTCAAAAGATTCTGTGTTAGTTGGTATTTTACCTGAAATACAGGTATATATATTTAACATTAAAGAAATTATTTTAGAAAAATTATATTTCTAAGAACAAAATAAAGTTTATTCGTTTATAACAAATTTTCAACTTTGCTTCTATTTATTCTTTTGATAATTCATTACTTTTCTGACATTATCCGCCATATTGGGTCGCCATATTGGATCCACCATTTTAAATTTTGAAAATCTGACGTCATATTTGTAATTAGCTACCCAAAAAACCCCTAAAGCAAATCGAATTAACTTCTATATATTTTAAATCTGACTTCAAATTCGGTTTCAGCGACCCCAAAAACTTCTGTATATTTATTATCAGTCAAATCAAATTATATTTAGTATTATTATTTTATCAAAAATTGACAGAAAATTTTTTTTATAAGATATGACGATTTCTGCCAAAAAAAACCGTCTGCCATAAGAAATATATGATTTTAATTTTGTGACCACTATTTATTTTGTTAATTTAACATGTTAAACTGCATAAAAAAAATTAGTTTCAACCTTAAAATCAAAATTTTCCAACTCAACTTTTTTGGAAGCTGAATATGACAATTTAAATGAAATGAGCCATATATGGTCTTAAGCTCGACTCATTCGCTTAAGTCGGAACTATGAATACCGCCCATAGGCTACAGAGTATGCTATGGTGTAACGCCAGTTGCATACTTATGGATTTGACAAAAATGCGCATGTCCCCTATTAGGTTCAAGATAAATATAAATTCTTATTAGTTAAATAACTTTTACATAACATTGTTTTAGAAAAAGAAATTTTAAACGGATATTAAAATATAAAAATTTGTTTAATGTACAATAAATTTTGAACAAACGCGCGTCACCCTATCAGCGGGAAATTTAAAATCATTATATTTTATAAATAAAGTCAGAACATTGTATATCTACACACGTGTATATAGACACACTCTGCTACGCTACATACGATCAGCTGAGTGAGTCGTCTGCTTTTTCATATCAGTCGTCGTCCATATTTGTTTTGCTCAAGAGAGAGATAGAGAGAGAGAAAATTAAGTACATTAGGGTCGCAGTTCATGGACGCGCGGTGAACAGTAGAAAATAAGAAATATGTAAACCAGAAAATATTTCACACTATTGCAATTTGTTATGAGGAAGAAGAAAAGAGAAACAAATAAGAATCGTTGAAAAAAAAAAAAAAAACGAAACAAAAAAGAAACGGTGTCAAAGTGTGTTTATCAAGAGCGGACTTTCCAACCTTATTGATGACCAATCAAAGAATTAGCATTTATCACTCACTGACAATTCAAATGATTTAATTGCACGATATTGTGTTAATATCAACCACTAATTGAACTTATTCGTCAGTTCGTGTAAAAGCGTCTTCTTTGCCATGAAGCTGTTGTTAGTGCGGAATTAGAAATTGTGTCATTATTTTTCTTTTAACATCATTTTTTTTTCTTCCTTTATTTCTTTTGTTTTTTTTCCCTTGAAAAACAAAGAAGTTTCTCTTTGTGGATTAAAAAAAAAGTTAACATCCAACACCTTGTCTGGTGTATATCTGGATGAATGCTTTCACGTGAGTATATATATATATGTATTTATATTTATCACAAGTAGAAATGTCTATATAGTGTCTGGCATGGTCAAGTTGAACAACTCTTTCTCTCCTGTCATTATTGGAAAGTCAAGATCTCGAGCGCTCTCTTAACGGTCAATGAACAGTAAAACATAACTTTGCGTATTCTGGGCTTTTGTACTATACAATGAGAAAAAAACATTCTAATCAACAACTGCAGGCCTTGGATTATACAACTTTTTCTGACTTTTTTCGACTTATTTTAATAAAATGCGACTTTTTCGACTTTTTACATTTTTTTTTTTTACAAAATTTTTAAACAAAATACGTTTTTTTTAGTATACAATGCAGATCTTTATTTCAATTATTAAACAAATTTTTAACTAAAATTCTTCACTGAATTAATAATTATTTTTAATAATTTTAATGAAATTCTTCACAAATTCAATTGTCTTAAACTATTTTTCAATTAAAATTTTTATGAAATTTAATTATTGTTTATAATTTTCAAAAAATTACCAAATAAAATTACCAAAAAATTTTAATTCAAAATCACTTGAAATTTAATTATTTTGCAAAAATTTCAATTTTTTTAAAAATGATTTTTATAACATACTTTAAAAATTCAATTATCTGAATAGATTTTTCAATTAAAAAATTTTGAAATTCAAAATTTTTTTATGTGATTTCTAATAAATTCTTCATCAACAGAAATCACTAAAAATTTCTCTTCAAAGAAAATTAAAAAGCATTAAAATAAGCTGCAACGCTTATTATTTTAATCCAATTTTGCTTATTTTAATCCATTTTTGGTATTAAAATAAGCAAAATTAGATTAAAATCCAAAAATTAAATTATCCAAAATTAATTTTCTGTGTTATTATAATTATTGTCTGAAATTTAACACAATCTTTTGAAATTCAATTATTTTCAAAAATTTCAATTTAATAGCTTCTAAAATTTAATTATTTCTAAAATTTTTCATCTAAATTTTTTTTTTAAATTCAATAATTTCAATATTATAATTCTCCTAAAATTTAATTATTTTAAATGATTTTTAAAATATTCTTCGAAAAATTCAACTATCTGAAACCATTTTTCACTTAAAATGTTTTCAAATTATTGTATTTTTGTCTGCAATTTCTAATAAATTTTTTAGTGAAATCATCAAAAAAAAAAATTTAATTAAAAATCACTTGAAATTCAATTAACTTCAAAAATCTTATTTGTAAATCTTTGAAAATTCAATTAATTTTAAAAAATGTTATCTAAAATTATTTAATAAATTATTTATAATTCTGTAAAATTTAATTATTGTCTGAAAATTATAACAATATCTTTTTAAATTCAATTATTTCTATAAATTTCAAAATTATTATTATTTAAAAAAGAAAAAAATTTTATTTAAAAATCTGTAAAACTTGATTAATTATTGCCTGAAATTTTTTTGATCATCAAAACTAAAAACTATGACTAAATTTTAAATTCGAATAAATCCTACTTACATCAAATTTTGAAAATTTGTCTTACAATTAATTCGATTTTGAAATATTCGAAATAAATTTTCTTGATAATATTCATTATAGAATTATTTTTATTACAAAATTAATAAAATCAATTTAATATCTAATATAACATTCAATACCTATATAAAGTAAAAAATTGATTAATCAATTAAACCAATAAAAATCATTAATTACATTTTTTATTTCATAGTATTTTTTTAAAAATAATTATTATTATTTTTTAGACAAATTTTCAATTTTTGAATTAAAATTTTTGACAGATTTTCATTTTATACGAATTTTTACATAACAAAATTTTTAGCTACCGAATTTTTGTTTGTCAGAATTTTTAAATGACAGAAATTTTAATTCACCGAATTTTTTCAAAATTTTTAATAGATAGAAATTTTGAGACGTCAAATTTTGATTTGTCCGAAATCACAAATGTCCGAACAAACAATCGACATAAAGAATTCGGCGCAATTTTTAAAATTGACCAATAAGAAATTATAAAGAAAATCGTGATTGGTCAATATTTTAAAAATTGCGCCAAAAACCTTTCTGTCCATTGTTTGTTCAGAAATTTGAGATTTCGGACAAATGGAAATTCGGCGTCTTAAAAATTCGTACAAATAAAAATTTGGATAAATTAAAATTCAGGACAATCATGTGTTTCAAATTTTCGAATGACAATTATTTTCAAAATTTCGTTTTTTCTAAACATATTATGAACTTTGACAATTTTGATTTGTCTAAAAGGTTTTTTGTATTTTTTTGCCTGTTTTTTTTTAATGAAAGACAAAAAATTGAATTAAACTAACTTTTATTTCAATTATTTGTCTATTCCTTTTTTATTAAAAAATTCTTTTAAATATGATTTACAGAAATTGTTCTAATTCAAGACGTAAATAATTTTTGTATAAAAATAAAAATAAATGTTTACTCTAACATACAAAAATTTATAATTGTAAAAATAAAATTTATATTTTTTCGGAACAAATTAGAATAAAACGTCGCTTATATAAAATATAAAGTTTTATATCCTGTTGGACTGCTTTAACATACGTCCTTTTTTATTACAATATTTATCGTTTGTTCAAGGTTCAAGGCCCACAAGTTGATGCATTCATTTTTGTTTTTTTTTTTTTAACAAAAAGAATATTTCTCAAAGTTTACCTCTTATAACTTAATTAATCTTCTTCTCAAATTTTGATTGATTCTAAATACAATAAATTATTTCACATTTCTTTTCCTTATTTACTATATTTAATGTTATTTGTCATTACAAAAAAAAAAAATGTTTTTAACGCTCATTTACTATTTAAGTATTTATTATCAATTAAAAATTTAAATGCCATTAAAATCCATTTCTTTTAGTATTAATTGAAAATAAATCGAATTTTTAAAAATATTTGTCCTCGGAAGACATTTTTTTTCACTTATTTTTTGCATCAAATTATTTGTATAAAAAACAATTTTTTTTTAAGTTTTAATATTTATTTATTTAATACTCTATTTATTTATTAAAATTTTCAGAAAATTTAATTCTTAATTAATTATCATTAGTTATAATCGAACTATTAGTTTTATTTATTATTTACAGTTATATATTTGTATTAAAATAATAATTTTTTTTATTATTACAGGAAATTAAAAAAAGTTAAAAATATTACTTAATGCTGATTAGTAATAATTTACTAAAATCATGACGATTACTGAGAATACATTGCACAATAGGCAAATTAATGTAGTTGCGAATGGATTGAATGGGTAAGTAACAAAAATAAAATAAAAAATTAATTTTCATATAGACACAAAAAATATATAATTTTTAAAATAAAATAAAAAACAGAAAAGTAATTAAATTATAATTTTGAAAATTTGTTTTTTAAATCTTTAATTATTAATATTCATATTTAATTAATTTTTAATAATATACTTGTTTATATGAAATTATGGAAAGAATTTTACCTCAGTTGATAAAATGATAAAAAAAATAACAAACAATTTGACCCTCGAGCTTCATTTTTGTAAAAAAAAAAAAAAAAAAAAAAAATCGTCAACATTATGTGAATATAACTATCGTTAACTGGTTTTTCAAGAGTATACAATGATTCTCATTTATTTCCAATAATGACAATAAAAATTAGTCTACGTCTCCACAATCTAATTATAATATTCCGCCATTCAAACATAAAGAATAAAACTGTCAGAATTCAAATGTTTTATCATCGCATAAATTTATTTTACCGAGAACATCTGCGACATCAAATAAATTATTAATTAATAATTAATTTTTAATTAAATTAATTCATTTATTATAAAACTAATTGAAAATATTTATTTGTTAACAAAAATTTTTGATTATATAAAATATTTCTTTTTTTTTTTAGTATTTTTTCGAAAACAATTTAACCATTTAATTTTCATTAATAATCTGAGAATAATTTATTTTTGTTTTTAATTAATATTTGTTTAATTTATATTATTTTAAATTTAATTAAAATTGTTTTTAAATGAAAAATAAAAGAGTTACAATATTTATTGATTAAATTACCATTATAACATTTATCATAATATGTTCAGTAGCTTGAGAACCTCAATCATTAAAAAATTGTCATCTACAGATAATTTATCTCTGTGATGTGATAAAAAAAATTCAGATGAAAATGTGATAAAACAATAACAAATTTTCAATTATTATCAGTAAATGGACTTTAATATCGCTATGCACTAAATTCCAATAATAATAATTAATACAAAAGACGTTTGAAACAGCTTTACTAAAAAAAAAAAAAATTGTTAGTTGGTATCAAAACTACACGAAAATTTTTCAAAAAATCTTTAAAATAAACAAATATTGTTATTTTTGCATTTTTTATATTTTTACTTTTGTTATTTTAATTATTTATAATTTTTTTTAATTTTTTTTTATTTTAAAAAAAACTTTGTTTTTAGTTTTTTTCTTTACTGTTTTTTGCACAAAAATTTTTTTTTAATTTGTTAGTTATTACATACAATTTTTTTTAATTTGCTTATATTATACATAAACATTCCTTAAAACTTGTTATTTCGTATGTAAAAAATTTTTTAATTAAAAAAAATGAAATGTACAAAATAAAAAATTTTTTAAATATTTTTATGTAATAATCGACGAATTTGGAAAAAGAAATTTATGGACAAAATAATCATGTAAAGAAGACAAAAATTTTCAATCTTCAAAATAAAATAAAAAAAAAAAAAAAGTAAAATCATCGAATATGAAAAGAACAAATATTTATTTATGTTTCGTTTCTTCCAACTTTTTTTTTTTTTGGGCAGTTTAAATACCGACTCAAATTAAAAAATATGTATATATATAAATAAAAATATAAAAAAAATATAAAAAATAAATAAATAAAAAATTGCACGCGTTCTTGGAGGGGAATTTATAATAAACATAATAGGGCACCAGAATATGTACGCCCCTGAAAATATTCCCCACCTGTTCCGAGAGGCGTGGCTTCAAATTCGACACTTTACGAAACTTGAAGAGTAGGGAAATTTCGACAATTCAACAGAGTCGAGGGTTAATTGTATATTACGATAATTTCAAGTTTTAATAGTATGCTAAATATATATAATAGGATTATATTATAATATTATATTATAAATATATGGGTCAGAATTTCTCAAACGGATCACCTAAAATTCAGAAATTTTTTTTTTTAGTCTCATTTTTTTTCTCAACGGTTTCTTACACAAAATTGTGTGGGGAATTCAAAAAAAAAATTTAATTTTCTGTAGGACGTCAAGAACACTATTTTTTAATAACATTTTATAAATAAATAATATAAAAATCTATTAAATATGAAATTTTTTCAAAATAAAAATTATATTTAGAAACTACATTTTAAGACGAGAAAAACCCTTTTTTTTTAATTGGTGAACAGGAAATCGAGAAAAAAATTTTTTAAAATAAGACTGCAAAAAATTTCAATTGTTTATAACTTTAACAAAAAATTTTTTTTTGACCTAAAAATTTCAGGGACTTATTTTTACCATGTAAAGAGTCAAGAGAAATGTGTTTTGATTAAAAAAAAAATTTCTGAATTTTAGGTGATCCGTTTGAGAAATTCTGACCCTATAATTTTTTATTTATTTATTTTTTTATATTAAAAAAAAACTTTGTTTTTAGTTTTTTTCTTTATTATTTTTTGCACAAATTTTTTTTTTTTAAATTTATTAGTTATTACATACAATTTTTTTTAATTTGCTTATATTATACATAAACTTTCCTTAAAACTTGTTATTTTGTATGTAACAAATTTTTTAATTAAAAAAAAAATGCAATGTACAAAATAAAAAATTTTTTAAATATTTTTATGTACCTAATAATCGACGAATTTGGAAAAAGAAATTTATGGAAAAAATAATCATGTAAAGAAGACAAAAATTTTCAATCTTCAAAATAAAATAAAAAAAAAAGTAAAATCATCGAATATGAAAAGGACAAATATTTATTTATGTTTCGTTTATTCCAACTTTTTTAAAAATTTTTGTGCAGTTTAAATACCGACTCAAATTAAAAAATATGTATATATATATATATATATATATATATATATATATATATATATATATAAATAAAAATATTAAAAAAATATAAAAAAATAAATAAATAAAAAATTGCACGTGTTCTTGGAGGGGAATTTATTGTAACCATAATGGGGCACCTGATATGTACGTCCCTGAAAATATTCCCCACCTGTTCCGAGAGGCGTGGCTTCAAATTCGACAGTATACGAAACTTGAAGAGTGGGGAAATTTCGACAATTCGACAGTATGCGAGGGTTAATTGTATATTACGATAATTTCAAGCTTTAATAGCATGCTAAATATATATAATAGGATTGTATTATAATATTATATTATAAAAATATTAGGTATAAAAATATTAATATTAAATATTATAAATATAGTATTATTAATATTATTGTAAAATATAAAATTAAAAGAAAATTCACTGGTCCGCATCTAAAGATTTCCTCGAGAATCCTGAAACAAAAAAAAACAATTTTTATTAATTAAAAAAAAATTTCTAAATAATCCGGTTAAAAAGTTTTCAAAATAATTTGTTTACAAGAAGTAGAGATACATACATATCTAGACAATGGTTTTTCTTTTCAAAATATATTTTCTCAATTACAAAAATTGATACAATTTTTTTATTTCATTATATTTTTTTATTAATTTTTTTATTATTTTTTTAAATTTTTATTTATATATTTTTTTATATTTTATTTTATTAATTTTATAACGTTGGCATATTTTCAAAACTACAAAGCATTTTACGATGGAACAAAAATTTATTCAATTTTTATTAATTTAATAAAAATTTAACTAAAATTTAAATTAAGTTTTCAATAAATTCAAATAACAAGGAAAATTTTTAATTTTTCAGTAGTCCAGTCATGTAGAATTGATATAATTCATTCGTAATATAATAACAACATTATTTGTAAATGAGAATTGTTTTTTTGTTATTAAAGATAAACATCTTAAAAACTATTGTAAATCTTTTTTTTTTTAAACATAGCAAGATTAATTCGTAATCTCTGGATGTTTTAAGGCATTTCAACTTTAATAATATATTGTAGAAAAAATAAATTATATTAAAAAAAAAAACATGGTATGAATTTAAAATCAAAGTCAATGTAAAATAAAAAGATAATTTAAAATATTGAGTATTATACACATAGTTCTACATGAATAGTTATCATAAATAATAGATTCCTTCTTTACTAACATTATAGTTTTAAATTCAATTTTATTTTTATTTTAGAAGTACTATTAATATTATTACGTAAAAAAAATTCAAATTTAAATCAATTTTTAATTTAAATTTATTTAAAAAAAGAAAAATAAATAAACAATATTTTTTTTTGTTATCAATTGAATGGAAAAAGATTCTCAAGCGCGGACTTTGTGCTATTCTTCTTGTGTAAACGACCTTTATTCTCAGTCCAATTTGCCTTCCGTGGAAATTACTTTCGAGTTCAATAGCTTTTTATATTATTTTTCATAATTGTCAAAAAAAAACTACTAAGATGTAAAAAAATGTCTTTATATTAAAAAATTGATTTAAAAAAAATTTTTTTTTTATTATGGTGAAAAAAAAATATTTTTACATATAATTAAAAGTGCAGTTTACAAATAAAAAATGTTTTTTTGATTTTTTTTTTTTTTCAACAGTTGCAATATTATTATTTTGTTTGCGGGTCTTAAATTTATGTATTGCGTAATATCCGTGACGATTTATGGTCTGCACAGGAAACAATATATGGATTACGTTCGTTTTGTACTTCCAAGTGAGGAAAAGTGCGTCACGCATTTGTATCTCTATGCATGTATAATACAGGATACGCTTTCCAATTTTTTTTTTTTTTTTTTTAATTTTTTTATTTTATAAAATTTTTTAATTTTTGTCAAGAATTTTATCAGATTAGGATTCGTTATGCCTTTATATATAGAAAGTGTCTACGTGACTTTGGTCAAACTCTGGACCGGTTCAGGAATAAAGTTTGCCGAAAAAAAAAATTAAAAAGAAAACTAGGGGTTGATGATCCAAAGAGTTGTATGATACCTGCGAGAATTGTTTTCATAAAAAAGTTGTCCAACAGTTTTACTTTGTATTTAAGTATTAGAAATTTTAAAAATTCTGTTCTAAAAATTTTTTTTAATTTTTTAATTTTATTATTTTTTTTTTTTTTTATTTATTTCAAATAAAATATTATTTAATTAAATTAATTTATTATTTGACATAGACAATGTGTGGATTTCCTAAAAATTCAAATTAATATCAATTTTATTATTATTATTATTATTATTATTATTATTGTTATAAATTGGAATTTTTTTCATGAAAATTATTTTGCAGCGTATCTAATTATCTTGTTTTTTAATTAGCTTCAGTATAGTGTTGTAAAAAACAAGTTTTCTTCAATTATAGTTGTAATATGGAAGTAATAATTTTTAAATGACATTTTTTAAAAAAATTTTAATATCTATAGAAATAATGGGACGAGAAATATTTAATTGTATTAAACACGAAGAATATATGATAATATTTGCACTTTTTTGTCGTCTAGTTGAAAATCAAGGTGTGTGATTTATTTTTTTTTATATACGTCACTATGTGATAAATAGAAGCACGTTCTGCTTCAAATAACGGCTCATTGTATTTAAAAAAACGCGATTTAAATATATAAGTGTGATTTTTTAAATTTTTTACGGAACTTTGGATCTAAAATCTGTGTGTAATAATAATTATTATTATTATTATTATATTAATTATAATAAAAATTATAAATTTGGAAAAAATTAGTCATTTTTATATAGATATAGCTGATATAAAATTAATCCCCTTCTCCCGAACAAAAAAATTTTAAATATTATTTTATTTATATTTTTTTGTTTATTTTTTACTCTGTAAAATAAAAAATAATAAAAGAAAATATTTTTTTTTTTAAATTAATAATGCAATTTGATTTTTAGCAAAAAGCGCGAAAAGTATGTATGAAGTTTTATGTGAAATAGATTTAAAAAAAATTTTTTTTTTTATAAACAAATAGAAAAATTATGATACTTTAAACAAAAGTTATTTGAATTTTAACATAATATAAATCACGATAATAATTTTTGATATAAAATTTTTTTACAAAAAAAATTGTTTTAAACAATTTGTTATAAACAAATAACAAAATTGTTTAAAAAAAACTAATAACTTCATTCGATTCTAAAGAAAAAATTAGTGCTAGAACATGTATAATTTATTGTTTATTTATGATCGCTACATTTGTTTATAACAAATTATAGAAGCAAATTATAAACAAATGTCAATTTCCACTACTTTTATTTCACGATTCGTAGAATTTTTTTTATATTTACACTCTCTTGAACTCAAAGTCTTAATACGAATATTATTGCACAATAATTGTTGATAACTTTTTTTTTATTAACAAATTACCTTTCATAAAAAAAATAAACAAGTAATATGTACACGTAAATACATAATCTTTGTAATTAAATAGTGTTATCTGTTTCTTTTTTAAAGTAATAATTTTTCTATTTGTTTATAAAAAATTGCTTATTGTTAATTTAATTATAAAAAAATTTTTTTATCATAAAATATTCTCGAAATAATTATTATTTCTTTATTGCATCGAATGGCATTTTAAACTTTGGAAAAAATTTACAATTTATTTATTTATAAAAAATTGTTTAAATAAATTTTACACGTTAAATGTCTTTATTTTGACTCATACCAAAATCCATGTTATTTGTATGATAATAAATACAATAAACACCTGATAAATAAAATAATAAATAAATAATAATAAATAATAATAAATAATAATAAAAATAAATAAAATAAATAATAAATACAATAATTGTTTATAATTTTTTAACAATAAATTGCCGTGCATAAATTCGTAAATATAAATAGTTATTAATCTTCTTTTTTAAACAAAATTTTGTTTATTTGTTTATAACAAAAGAGAAAAAAAATCTTGAAAAATATTTATCTGCAACAAGTTATATACATTGTCAAGTTATTTTTTTCCATATATGAAAAAGTCATTAGTTATTTAACAACGAAGAAATTTACAATTATTTTATTTGTTTAAATAAAAAATTGTTTATAGAAATTTTTTTGCAAATCTTATCATGGAAAATCATTATTAGAAACTATAATCGTTATTCGAGGGGAGGGGGGGGGGGGTAAATGATTATGATTTTTAATTAGGGTTTTGAAAATTCAAAATGACGGATCCAATATGGCGATCGAATATTTAAAAATTGATTGGATTCGCTTAAAATTTGTTAATCGGGGGTTTTCGGGGTCCCTGATTACGAATCTGGTGTCAGTTTTCAAAAATTCAAAATGGCGGATTCAATATGGCAACCGAAAATTTAAAAATTTATCATATTCGCTTGAAACTTGTTACTCGGGGGTTTTTGAGGTCACTGATTACGAATCTGCTGTCAGTTTTCAAAAATTCAAAATAGCGGATCTAATATAGTGGAATATTTTTTTTTAAATTCATCGAATTCACTAAAAAATTATTACTTAGGGGTTTTAGGGGTCGCTGATTACGAATCTGACATCATATTTTCAAAATTCAAAATGGCGGAACCAATATGGGGACCAAAAATTTAAAAATTGACCATATTCGCTTGAAACTTGTTACTCGGGAGCTTTTGGGGGTCGCTGATTACGAATCTGGTGTCAGTTTTCAAAAATTCAAAATGGCGGATCCAATATGGCGACCGAAATTTTAAAAATTGATTATATTCGCTTGAAACTTGTCACTCGGCGGTTTTCGGGGTCGCTGATTACGAATCTGCTGTCAGTTTTCAAAAATTCAAAATAGCGGATCAAATATAGTGGAATTTTTTTTTTAAATTCATCGAATTCACATAAAAAATTATTACTTAGGGGTTTTAGGGGTCGCTGATTACGAATCTGACATCATATTTTCAAAATTCAAAATGGCGGAACCAATATGGCGACCAAAAATTTAAAAATTGACCATATTCGCTTGAAACTTGTTACTCGGGGGTTTTTTGGAGTCTCTGATAACGAATTTAATGTCAGATGCGTAATCAGCGACCCTGAGAAACTGAGAAGAGTTTGAAGTGAATCTGATGATTCAAGGATTAAAAAAAAACTCGAATAATATATTAAAAAAAAAAAAAAAAACAAGTCGTACACGTTCTACAGCTAATTTTTTCTGATAGAATCAAATATAATTATTATTATTTCTTTTTAATGTTACAATTTCTGTTTGTTTAATAACAAAAATTGTTAAACAAATTTTTTTTTTGCAAAAAAAAAAAAATTTTCTAACGTCAAAAATCATTACAACTCATGCCACGTGTTGATTTAAATAGAAATCTCTTGACATCTGAGTATCAAGGTTTGATATATAGAATCAACTCTTCTACACATGATTCAGTTCGACTTTGCTCCTGTGTCGCCTGCATGATACACACATATAGATTTCTATTTTATACATATATATATATATCTATGTATATGTATATACGTATCTCTCCCTCTAGGTCTAGATTTGCCTGATGCCGGGGACCATCGACGGTCAATGGTGATGGTCGAACGTTTCGTCGTAGTTGTTCTACTTGACTGAAAACAGTCCCACTTGAGTCGCGAACGTGCGCGTATCGCAGGTTTCGAACGCTCTAATGCGCTCGTTCCTGCAAACATTTTTTTTTGTTTCTCTTTTCCAATAAATTTTTTCTTGACGCGCAATTTTAAAAGGTCTAATTCAATTGTGTGAAATTCACTATGTTGTGGTATATTCATTAAAGAAAAAAAGGGGAAAAACAAATATTTTGAGAAATATAAAAAATATCAGAATTTTTTTTTTTTTTAATCAGGACAAAGGAATTTATAAAATGGCATGAAGAATGTAAGAAAAATTTTGACACTTTAGAAAAAAAGGAGATTCTTTTTGTGTGATTTAATCATTTTCTTTTTTCATAACTTCCGAGGAAAATTTATTGCGAGAAATATATATAATGTAAATGCGTTTTAGAAAACATAAAGTAAAACGAGAGTGTATGTACGAGTTTTGTTATCATTTGAATCGCGTGTGATGTCAATGAAAGCATGGCAACCATATATACATACTTCCGTTATTTTTATATATCAAATGGATTTTTTATTTTTTTTTTTTGCAAAAAATGAGTTTTAATTAAATTTTTATTTTTTTTAAATTAATTAAATTTTTTTTTTCATTTTACAAGCATTTTTTTTTAGTTAATTTAGTCCAATTTCCAAAATGACAATCATTTTATTTTTGTTTCCTAGTAAAATCCAATGATTTTTAAACTTTTTGATTTTATCATATCAAAATAAATAAAAAAAAAAAATTAAAAACTGAAGAAAATTTTTTGTACTATTTTATATTTAGTGGAATTGACACTTCAAGTCAAGGGACTTAATTACACTTTGTGTTTATTAATTAATTAGATAATAAATTTACATTAGTAGAAGATTATTACTGACGAAATATATATTTTTTAAATTATGTTATAGAATTATTTTATCAATTATTTTAGAATTGATTAGATTTTTTTTTTTTGTTTTTCTTGTGCAATTGACTCTTTATCACAAAACTGTTTTCAATAATATTACTTAATAGTATTATTTATTTAATAATATTGATATTAATTAATCATTAATCATTTATTTATTATTAATATTAATTAATAATATCATTTATTTAATAATATTAATATTAATTAATAATATTATTATTTATTAAATATTATTACTACTAATTAATACCTATTCATGTTATTTATGTTTATTAACTTTCATTATTTATATTCTTATAAATAAAAGTATTTTAATTTACCAAAAATATTTAATTTTATAAAAAACAAAATTTTTCTTTACCTTTCTTTTGATATTAGTATTTTTAAAAAATAAAAAAGGGTTTTTAATAAATATTAATTTTTTTCATATGCTTTTATACTCTAATTATAACTTTTTTTTAAAGTAACAAATTGCAATTGAAATTGAATTAATTATTATTCACTTTTATTTGTTTTATGATAATTTCGAAGGTAAATTAGAAAATAAAAACTAGCTTTCCTTACATGTTGTCAGCAATACTGAAAAAAAATAACAATCCACTTTATATAATTATGATTTACATAACTCATATATATATGAAGCATTCTATTTGAAAACGATCTCCCTTGTACATTGAAAAAAAATTTATTTGATTTAAAAAATCGGTCACTTGACTATCATCAAATAAATCTTTATTTGATTCAAATAATCGATTACTGGAATATTATCAAATAAATATTTACTTGAACCAAATAATTTTTAATTCAATTAAATAAATTGCATTTGAATCAATCATTTTTGTTTTTGAAACAAATTTTTATTTGATTTAAATAAATTTTTATTTGATTTAAATAAATTTTTATTTGATTTAAATAAATTTCTATTTGATTTAAATAAAAAAAATTTATTTACACAAAATAAATGGATTAGAAGGCTGTGAGACAAATATACGTTTATTTAACTCAAATATATTATATATTTGGTTCAAATAAAACATTTCTCTGGGTGTAATTACAAAGATAAACTTTTAAATATCTCTAAACACGTTATCTCAAATTTTGATCAAATCTATCTTAAAATAAAGTTTAAATATTCAATTATTTTTATTTATTTATTGTTTGTTTCTGATTAAAAAAAAAAAATTTAATATTAATAAACAGGAAATTAAAGAAAAAAATCCGCTCTTTTCAAAAAGTATTTCTCAATTCATAAATATTTTAACCTCCAAAATTATTTACTCTGTGAATTTAAATTAATTTCTAAAAAAATGAAATGTTCATTCAAGAAAATAAAAGAAATATAATATTTATACTTTATTTTCACATAGATTTGTTAAAAATCCGAGACATTTTAAAATATTTAGAAGTTTAACATTCAAAATTAAATTTTCTCTATAAATTATAAACATTATTTTATCGTTAAAAAGTTTAAAAATTTTTTCCTTCTAAACTGCAAAAAAAAATTTGCAATTTGGGTTTATTAATTAAAAAAAAATATATTTATTGAAAATTGTCCTACATTGTCAATATTGTTTACAAGAGCTGATGGAGATTCATTAAAAAAAAAAAAAAAAAAACCGAATGCCTAATATATTAAGCTGATTTTTTTTCACTTTTAAAAAAGTCTTTTACTCATGACGTATACAATTTAAATCCATTAGACGTTAATGTAAAATTATTTTTAGACGTTAAAATTAACATTTTCATTCAAAATAAAAAAAAACTGTTCATTATAGAAACATGAAAATTTTATTTAACTTCCTCTTTAAAGAATATGAAGATAGGAAAAAAAAATTACTTAAACATAACCTCAAAGGAAAAATATTTAATTTTTATATATATTGTCAAAAGATATGTCAGTAGTGTTGGAAAAATCTTAATAGAATGCATATTATGCAATAACAGTATTGAAATTCTAATTCATCGAATTTTTAATTGATAGAATTTTTAAGACGTCAAATTTTCATTTGTCCGAAATTACATAAATAATAGCCGAACAGAAAATCGACAGAAAGATTTCGGTGTAATTTTTAAAATTGACCAACTCGAAATTATCAAGAAAATCGTGATTGGTCAATTTTAAAAATTACACCGAAATCTTTCTTTCAATTTTCTGTTCGGCTATTTGTAATTTCGGACAAATGAAAATTCGGCGTCTTAAAAATTCGGTCAATTTAAAAATTCGTACAAATAAAAATTCGAACAAAACAAAAATTCGGTGAATTAGAATTTCGGTCATTTAAAAATTCGATTGAATGAGAATTTTGTTAAATTAAAATTCTCTTAAATCAAAAATCATGTAATGAAAATGACTGTAAAATAAAAATTCTCGCAAAAATTCAATAGCTAAAAATTTTGTTAAGTTAAAAATTTGTATGAAAAGAAAATCTGTTAAATTTTAATTCGATAAATTGAAAATTCGTCTAAAAAATAATAGTAAAGCAATGTTATTTTTTCGAGTTGGCAAACATTTGTCTTAAATTTCAATACTGCGGTATTGCATAAAAATTTGCTTCATATGCATTTTATTAATTTTTACAACAAATTTTTCTAACAGTGGAAATTTACCAAAAAAAAAGAGCTTTTTTGCAAAATATATTACTTCTCAAATACATAAATTAAAAATAATTTTCCTCACTTTGTATAAAATGATTAAATATCACACACACACAAAAAGTATATAAAATATATAATTTACAGGATGTCAACTTGCAAAAGAAGTATAAACGTGACGTAGGGATCTATAAAAGACTATAAAATAAGAAAAAAAAAAAAAAAAGTGATATAACTTGAGGAAAAGAAGAAGCATTTGGCGTTCAGTTAATAACATACTCTCCAAGATTAAAAAACCAATTAATTAAAAATCATTTAACGATAAATTTTAACTACAAGTGTGTGTTTGTGTATATATATATTATAAACAAAATGAAGCTCGAAGGTCACAGTTCACGGGATGATGATTCCAATGGAATTTTATTGCAATCCAGAAAAAATTCAGCTGTTCGACTACAAATTGTGCCAGCGCAGCCAAAAACAATAACCCATTTACCTAAAAGGCCACCTGTTGATTTGGCGTTCACCGACTTGACATATAAAGTTCGAGAAGGACGCAAAAACAGTAAGTCAATTTACTATTTTACATTACATATATTCCCTACGGGGCTCATGAATTTTTCAATAAAAAAATCAATGCTTACACTGAGCAAAATTGTTTAGTCAGAGCAACCAACATTTGGTTGGGCCAACAAAAAAATTTTGTTGGTATTTAACTATTTGTTTGAGTCAATCGAAAAAATTTGGTTGAGTGTTTTTTGTTGGCATAACAAAAATGTTTGGTTAGCTCAACGAAATTTTTTTTGTTAGGTCAACAAAAATAATTGGTTGATCAAACAGTTTTTTTTTGTAAAATTAAAAATCTTATTCTACCCTTACCTCTTTTCTTTTTATCTTTTTTATTCATTTCATTATTTATTTATTATATCAAATTATTTGGTTGTCGCAACCAAATTTTGGTTAGGACAACAAACGATCATTTGGTTTTTTAGACCAAACTATTTTGTTGTGTTAACCAAATTATTTTGTTGTCGTAACCAAATTTTGGTTGGAATTTAAAAATTTTCAACCAAATAATTTTGTTGGCCTAACCAAATGTTTGGTTGAGATAACTCTACGACTTTGTTTCAGCCAACCAAAATTTGGTTACAAGAACCAAAATTGCCTAACCAAACAATTTTGTTGCAAACACTAAATTTTTTTTCTCAGTGTACAATTTTCATTTTAAAAAATTTTACAACAAATTAATTTCAAATCAAACAGGCTAAAACATCGGGACGCATCATGATTATGTTATAAAAATCATTAGTTAGAATTTTCATTTTATAGAATTTCATTTGTCATATATAATTATTATTGAGCCGAATTTTTATTTGTTCGAATTAATATTTTGCAGAATTTTCATCAAAACAATTTTCTATAATACAGAATTTTTATATAACCGAAAATTCACTTCACAGAATTTTTATTTGTCAGAATTTTTATTTGCTCGAATTTTCATTTAACATAATAGGCATTTTAAAGAATTTTTATTGTATAGAATTTCATTGCATAGAATTTTCATTTTATTCTTTCAGATGAATTTTCATTTGTTTTCGAATTATTATTTGATATAATTTCCATATAACCGATTTTTAATACAACAGAATTTTTACTTAACCGAAAAATCATTTAACAGAATTTCTAATTGATAGAATTTTCATTTGTCCGAAATTGCAAATGGCCGAACAATCAATAGATTTTGGCGCGATTTTTAAAATCAACCAATCAAAAATTATCCATAAAATTGTGATTGGTTGATTTTAAACATCGCGCCAAAATCGATTGTTTGTTTGGCCATTTGCAATTTTGGACAAATAAAAAATTCTATCAATTAGAAATTTTGTTAAATGATTTTTCGGTTAAGTAAAAATTCTGTAGTAAGAAAAATCGGCTATATGGAAATTATATCAAATAATAATTCAAACAAATGAAAATTTATCTGAAAGAAAATTCTATGCAATAAAATTCTACCCAATAAAAATTCTTTAAAATAACTATTATGTTAAATGAAAATTCAAGCAAATAAAAATTCTGACAAAGAAAAAATCGAAGAAATAAAAATTCTGTAAAGTGAATTTTTGATTATATAAAAATTCTGTAAAGTGAATTTTTGATTATATAAAAATTCTGTAATATAGAAAATCGTCTTGATGAAAATTCTGCAAAATATTAATTCGAATAAATAAAAATTCGGCTCAAAAATAGTTATGACAAATGAATTTCCATAAAATGACGATTCTAAATAATTATTTTTAGAACATGATTATATTATAATCATGCGTCTCAAAATTTCGTTTATCTAAAATTTAGGGAAAAAAACTTTAAAGTGTTATAATTTTTAATGTAATTTAGATGTCTCATTTTTTTCATTTTGCATTTAAAAGATCTTTCTTTTTTATTTCAAAATCCGTTGGAAAAATTAAAAAAAAATGTTCAAAAATAACAAAATGGCAGCCATTTTAATAAAAAAAAAAAAATTTTAATTGAAATTACTCAAAAACACCACTTTTTTTTTTATCAAAATATTCTTTAATGTGAAGAGAATCGACAAAAAAATTTTGAGCAAAAAAAGAAGTGAAGTTTTTTGAGTATGTACATAATTTCAATTTCAATTTTATTTCTTAAAATAGCCGCCATTTTGTTATTTTTAAACATTTTTTAATTTTTCCAACGGATTTTGAAAAAGAAATGAATGCTCTTTCAAATACAGAAAGAAAAAAATGTGACATCTAAATTACTTTCAGAGTTATAATATTAAAAATTTTCTAAATTAGCATTTTGACATAATTACTGTTTGAAGGAATTTTTAACAAATTTTTTAGCTACCAAATTTTTTTTTGACAGAAATTATATTTTACAGAATTTTTAGTTTACAAAATTTCACTTTTTATCCAACTTTTTTATTAAAATTTTTTAATTTAACCGAATATTAATTAGACAGAATTCTCATTATACAGCGAATTTTAAGTGATTCGAATTTTTAATTGCCATAATTTCAAATAACTCCAAAATCTTCATTTGTCCGAATTTTTATTTACACAAATTTTTTTATTTATGTGATAAAATTTTTAAAACGACGAATTTTTATTTTATCCGAAATTACAAATGACCCAACAAACAATCGATAGAATGATTTTAGCGTGAATTTTTTTAAAATTAACCAATGCAGAATAAAATTAACCAGTAGCAGAAAATTAAGATTGGTTAATTTAAAAAAAAAAAATTCGCGCCAAAATCTTTCTGTCGATTGTTTGTTCGGTCATTTGCAATTTCGGACAAAATGAAAAATCAGCGTTTTAAGAATTCTATTAAATAAAAATTCGTGTAAATAAAAATTCATATAAATGAAGATTCGGTGAATTGGAAATTGTGTCATTTAAAAATTCCAATCACTTAAAATTCGCTGTTAAAGGACAATTCTACTAAATTAATATTCAATTAAATTGTAATTTTTTAAATAAAAAATTGAACAACGATAAATTCTATAAAATGAAAATTATGTTGAACAAAAAATTTGGTACCAAAAAAAATTTGTTAATTAAAAATTTCACTTAAAAAAAAAAAATTAAATAAATAAAATAACAAAATTTAATGGAATTATTATTTATTTACATTTATAATTGAAAAATAAAAAAAAATTCTTGTTTTCGTATTAAAAGAAAAAGTAAACAAGCTATCATGTGTTGGAAGTTCAATTTTATGTATATAAATGTACAAGTTAAATAGTTTTTGCGAAACTTTATGTAATATAGTATATATAGATGGGTTTCAAGACCATGCAAATATAGGAGCGATAGAATTAGAGAAACGTGTCTTAAAATGATGTAATCTATTCAACTTTTTCTTCCCCTTCACCTGTAAAATCACTGAAAACATGTTAAAAAAAAAAAGAAAATTCACATTTCACGTATATGTCGAGAATTTAGATAACATATTTGATTTATATTTCACATTTGTTGACTATTAATTAAGTTATAATAACAAATTTTCCAAATTCAAACTAGTGTAATAATTATTTGTAAGTAAACTAGTTTTGAAAACTTTTATTCTAATTATTATTCATTCAATTCTTTTTGATTTTGATAATAAATTATCATTTCCTTGAGTGTCGGTAATTATTGCAAAATTAACACATTTTCATATTTCATTAATTTAAATAAAATGTGTTATAAAAATATAATTAATTTTATTTAACTATACATTTTTTTCAAATAATAATAATAATAATAATAATAATAATACCCGTGTCGAAAATGAAAACTGGTTCTAGCTTGGTCCTATCTATTTTGCCCTATTATTAACTAATTTGATATTTTTATTTGATTTGTCTATATAAATTTTCAACTATATTTTTTTAATTCTATTTTACAAAAATACTTGAAATCATCCAGACCTTTCACTGTTTTTTTTTTTTTTTGCTGACAAATAATGGATTTAAAACATTATATTGCATTGTTTAATTGTTTAAACAATTTATTGTTATTTATATTAACCTTTTTTTGTAGTGTACCTAGAAAGATGCAGTTTTTTTTCCTAATTTTACAATTTATCAAATCAAATATAAAGCCAGTTAGATTTGAATGTAAAATTATTAATTCAAAAATTGTTTAAACAATTTATTGTTGTTATTTATTAACTTTTTTGTAGTACACCTAGAAAGATGTAGTTTTTTCCTAATTTTACAATAGGAAAAAGTACTGCATTTTTCTAGGAAAATTATGAAAAATGTTAATAAATAGAAACAATTTAAGTTGCAAATTTAATTCTATATTTTATTTTATTTATAACCTTTAAATTAATAACTACTAAGAGAAGGTAACAAATTTATAAAATTGTTCTACTATCTATGTGTATTTAAAAAGAATTATAAATTATGAACAATAAATTGTTTAAACAAATAAAAATTCAACAAAATATTTTTGAAATATATTATTTGGCAATATATATAACAATTAAATAAATTAACAAATATAACTATGGAAAAATGTCTTTAAATATTTATTGCAAATTAATAAATAATTAATTATTTATTAATAATATCCATATAAATAATTATCAATTAATTAAATAAATATTATCTGAGAATATTGTACAAATCCTAAATTCAAACACTTTTTTTCATAAAAAATTTTCTAACACTTAACTATAGATGTTCTAGCTAAGTCCAAGTTAGGACCAGTCTAGAATATATAAACAGGGGCTGCCAAGGTAGGACCAATGTTGGGCCAACAATCATTTTACGCATACGTTGGTGATTTCTACACGGGATAATAATAACAATAATAAATATAATATTTATATGCATTTTCTACTAATTAAATTAAAAAAATAACTAATCTTCTGTTTTAAGGAAATGTTAATTTATTCAGATTTTCATTTCTGCATTGAATTTATTTCAATATTATTATTATTATTATTATTATTATTATTATTATTAGTGGAAATTAATTATTTATATTGATAAATAGAATATTGTTATGTAGAGAATGTTTTGGGTTGTGTCATATTTTTCTCTAATCGTAA